AAGCACATATACCCAAGCAGTGTCCTCATTAGATCTCTGTTGTACAACATCAATTGTAGCATCGACCATATCAAGTGTACTTTTGTTTGTGCATGTTGACATATACTTCTCCATATCATAAGGAAGTCTCGAGAGAGCATCAGCATCACCATTGGATTTTCCTGGCCTGTACTGAATTGAGAACTTGAAATCTGCTAATTCTCCAACCCATCTAAGAGCAGTTGCATTCAATTTTGCTGTGGTTAGTACGTATGTGAGTGGGTTGTTATCAGTGAAAACTTGGAATGGTGGAGAATAATACAAGTAGTCCCTAAAATGATCAACAATGGCCCATTTCATGGCGAGAAACTCAAGTTTCCCTGAATGCATGTGGTAATTTCTCTCACTACGAGTTAGAGTCCTGGATCCATATGCAATAACTCTGAGTTTCCCTTCTTGACGTTGATATAGAACGGCCCCAAGTCCTTTCTGACATGCATCAACATGTAAGATATATGGCAAGCTTGGGTCAGGGTAGGCCATAATTGGTGGACTAATCAAGTGTTTGATCAACTCTTGCAGTGCTGTCTGATGTTCTTCTGTCCATTCTACTTTTGATGATGATGACACTTGCCCATTGTGATTCTTTCTGTCTCTTCTCTGATATTGGCTTTTGACTTGGCTTTCATTAGAAGTGAGTAGCTCATATAGTGAACTTGCAATTATTGAGAATCTTGGTATGAAACGACGATAATAGCTAAGCAAACCTAATAGGTGTCTGACTTCACCAACTGTCTTTGGTATTCTATCTTGCAAAGATGTCACTGCTTTGATGTTGTCTGGATCCATTATATAGCCTTTATCGGACACAATGCGCCCCAGAAACTTGACTTGCTTCTTGAAAAATGAACATTTACTTGGTTTCAATTTGATGCCATGTTGGTGTAAGCGTTGCAATACTTGGCGGACATGTTCTACGTGTTCCTCAAAAGTTTTGCTATACACAATGATATCATCGAGGTATGGAAGGCAGGTTCTATCTCTTAGATCACTTAAACTTTGTTCCATGAACCTCTGGAAGGCAGCAGGCGCATTAGTAAGTCCGAAGGGAATCCGTTCCCACTCAAAGAGTCCCCACGGTGTCACAAATGCTGTTGCCGGTTGACTTTCTCGTCCAACAAACCCCTGGTGGTAAGCTTTACCTTGATCCAGGGTGCTGAACCAGCGATTTCCACCAAGACTGTCAAGGGCTTCCTGTACTCTCGGCAATGGGTGCATGTCCCTGACAGTTTTCTGGTTCAACGCTCTGTAATCAACGCATAAACGCAGTGTCCCATCTTTCTTGCGAACACAAACACAGGGTGACGAATATGGCGATTTTGATGGCTTGATAAAATTTCTGTTCAGCATGTCTTCAATGTACTGTTTTACTTCTCCATACAGTGGACGTGGTATTGAAGCATAGCTCTTCTGAATCGGCTGTGGGTCTGTCAGTGTGATGTCAAGTTGTAAGCCTGGAGCACATCCAATATCGCTATCACCTGCTGAGATTGAATTTCTTCACGAAGCATTTTCTTTACAATTTCTGTTTCATCATGTGTCAGACCACTAAAGTCAATTTTTGACAAGATACTGTCTACATCCTTCTGCAGGACTGTCTCCATTACGCAGTTTTTTAATGTTCCTTTATGCTTGTCCATGGTTTCACTATCAGTTTTAGGACGAATCAATGCAGGCGTAACTGATCTGATCATTTCTAACTTTCCCATTGGTGTTCTCCCTTGCAGCATAATGTCATGATTTGTCTTGTTTACCACTTGCAGCTTCAATATATGTGAAGTTCCTTTCTTCAGTGTCAAAACTGACTCTGTCACACTTAGTCCTGATGGTAACATAGAAGGTAAACTTGGCTCAAAAATCATTGGGGTGTGTCTCTCCAGGTAGCTTGTATTTGCTCTGCAAGGAACATCAATTGTTGTGTTCTTCTGAATAACAAAGTCTTTCTTAGTTGTTTTGACATCACAAACCTCATTTTGAGTTTGAGAGTTATACACTAGGTGAATTAATGCAGATGCTTTGTGGTCCGATATGTTTGTGAAGCTTCTCTGAATACTACTCAAAACTGCCTCCTTTCCAACAGAGTCTTCAATGTTACCACAAATAATCTCCTCGATCACATTATATCCAATAATTGGCCTCTCTATTGTTTCTGCTGTTACAAGAAAAGGTACCTGAATAGTCTGATTTTTCCCCTTGTTGTTGATTAGCTGAAAGCTGAGTTCTGTCCAGCCTTTATATGGAAGAATATCCCCACTTGCTGTTACAAGATTCAAACATGCACCATCTCCTAAAAATTCTGATATGTCCCTGATAGGTCTGTCAGAAAAACAATTGTTAATCAGTTCAGAAGAAATTAATGAAACCTGTGAACCTGTGTCCCAAAGAGCCTCAATTTGAGTCCCGTTTAATGTGCACTGCACATGACACCTGCTACCAACTAACTTTGAAATTCTACCTTGAACCTTTGGAGTAATATGGCAAGGAAAAATATTTGGGTCTTGTCCATCACCAAGCCCCCTATCAGACAATGTTGAGTTCTCAGCCAACTCCTTAATTGCTAGGCACAATATTTTATGTTCATGCCATTGTTTCTTCTGACATTCTACACTACAATATCTAACAGACTGACAGCCACCACACTGTGGAAACTTCTTGTTATTATTTTCTGGAAGACGACAGTTATTACAAAAAAAATGGGGTTCAACTTTCGAGGCTAACGACCACCCCTTCTCGGAAGCCTCCCTCCGTTTCCCGATTTTCTGTTCCTACAGCCACGGAAATAATGGTCAGGGCTACCACAATAACTGCAATGATCACAATCGGTTTTGCCTGTTTTCCTGCAAGATTCACATGTTGGTCTAGACAAGCTGCTTTTTTGTTGTTCTTTTGCATAATTTGTTGTTTTCATTTCTGCAAGTTCAGTTTTTAGAGCTGCCACTTCACACTTGATCTGCTCAACAGCTGCCAAAATTTTGTCATTATTTTCTGAAATTTTGGCTTGTTTCTGGAGATTTTTTTCCACAATTGAAATTTCATTTACTTTGGATGCTTTGTTTTGGAGTCCAAACTTTTTCTTTCTTTCAGACTCAGCCAATACAGCTAATTGCATTTGGTTAATCAGTTCCTCATCATCAACATTTGAATTTTGCAGGTATGGCCTTATGCGCCCACGAATAGCATCACTCAACAGACCTGTCTCCACTGATTGCCGAAAAAGGCCTGTGACCAAAACTGGACTATACTTAAGGTCATTTTCAGACTCTTCCCTGCATGCAAAAATAATTTTCTGCCTGCAGTCCATTGCACGTATCAAAAAGTTAACTGGGTCTTCCTTGGGCTCCTGAGACATTGTAAGCAATTCTTGATATAGATCTGTTGCACTACCCTCTTTATAATGGGATCTCAAAATTTTCCTCAACCTTGCAAGGGATATTTGCCCTGAACCTTCTAAATAGCTTCTTATTTGTAGACCAGGAGAGATAGAATTTATTATTGCATTCACTACTTCCCCCTCAGAATATCCTCTGTCCAACCCAACTTCAACTTGCCTTATTAGGGATACATAAGACAATTTTTCCCTTTGACCCACCTCCCCAATCTGACCTATAATCTTAAATTCCCTTCTAAACATGCTAGTCTGCATGGTCAGATTATCAGGCTGGGTAGTGTGTGTTGTCTTAATTCTTGTGTTATCCCCCTCTGCACCTTCTGCACACCCTGGGACTGTAGATGTTTCTTCTACTTCATCCCCTTCCAAGGGAGGGGGTGACAACTCACCAAATATCTTTAATTCATTAAGAAGGGCTTCAAATTCTTGTTGGGTTGATTTTTCAAAGTTTTCTTCATAAACTGCAGACAATAATTTAACGAGCTTTAATCGACTCTTACCAACAACATCTTTCTTCGGCACTTTTAATTTGTCTGCAAGTACTTTCAATTTCTCCAATTCCAGCAAATACAATATTCCCTCAGCCTGCAACAATAATTCCTCCATCTCTGCCATCCTTGTACTAAATCTTCCTCACGGGGTGCCAAAATATGTAAGACACTCGGTTTAACAAAACGCAGAACTTTCGACATCAATTTTCATTCATCTTTTTGGCATAGGCCATCCACTTTTTACACAAACACGCGGTCGCGTGAAAACGAGGCAAATAGATTACGTAATCCCTAAAAGAGTTCCTTATCGGGAGGGGTTTGAAACAACTTAAATTTACCATCTAATAATATAAAATATATCATTGTTCTTACAATCCAACATTTAGAAGTTATTTTCTTTTATGGGGGAGAACAATGTGCACATCCTCCAGTGTCTCTTACTTTGTTAAATTTGACCCTTGAATGGTATCGGTTCTGTCTTGATTTATGAGACATTTATTTTTGAAAGAAATTACTACAAATTTTGAAATGTAAAATGTCAATTATGTAAAATTTGAAAGAAGTTTACATTATCTTCAAGTAAATAAGAACAGGCTATATGTTTTCGGTCTTGCAATTAAAAGAATTTTACATAATTGAAGGGGATATGAGTATTTTGCATATTGCTTACAAAGCTTACCTCCATGCTCCCAATCTCTACTCCCCAATCTCCAAAATTTTCTGCCTGTTTCCTAGGTTTGAAAATTTTTACTTAAATGATAGTTCTGAAAGTTTATTGAAATCATGGTGTCAACTGAAAAATTTTGTGGTTCATTTTAAGTTTTAGGGGCCTTGGTGTGAAAAAGATCTAGAAACCCACCCCTTCAAAATAATCTGAATGACCAACAATTTCATCAAAATGATATTTCTGAAGTTTATAGGGATGATAATTGAAAATTGTTTATCACCCTAAGATAAACACAAACTAAGATTTTTTAAATGATGCATAACATTCTCTGCAACATCCTTCAGAATAATCCCACACATATTTCCTATTTTATTAAGTTCAACAGAGCTTTAATCAGTTTTTTTAATGTTTGCAGGATGGTAAAACCAAAACTATTGAAAAGCTGTTGCAGCTTGGAACAAAATTTTCAACAGATCTTTTTGGCAACACACCTATTCACTACCTTGTTGAAAACCATCCAGACGTTATAGAAGCAGCTTCTTCACTTGGAAGTAAATTTGCAAGTGCAGGTAATTTTAGTGTCATATTTATTCTTATTTGTTAAATATTAAATGTATTTCTTGAAGACATATTTATTATATGTATGTATTGAATATCTTAAAAGTCAAAACAATACCAAACTAATTTTTTAAAACCCCACCTCATTAAAAGCAGGCATTTATTCTAAGTTGCAAGAACATTGCTTCACTGGCTTATTAGGAAGTTTGCAAAACACTCATAAATTTTAATTTTATTTGTTTAACCTTGAACTTTGGTTTGCTTTTTTCTGACATAGGCACTGGACAGTTAAAAATGATTTCAATTGATACTTTCTCTGTTGTCATTGAATATATTGGCTGCCATAGGTAGCTCAACTCTCCCTAGTTAATACAACTCCACAGTTTTCTGTGTTTAGCAACTTATTGCTGGTATCTCTATTTTTTTATAAATATCATTGAAGCTGGTTTCGCTAGGTCTGTTTGGTATCAACTTTGTTTCTATTTCCTCATAGGTGATCAATTTAAAGACAGCTTAAACACTTTGAACAACTACAGCGAGTCTCCTATTCATATAGCCATTCGTCTTTCGCAAGAGAATGTCTTGAAAATATTACTTGAAAAAGGAGCAAGCTGCAGGTTGCCATGTGGACATATGTTTGCAATCCATCTTGCTTTGAAGAGTCAGAGTGAAGGGTGTCTCAACGTGCTCATAAAACATGACAAAGAATGCCTCCACGACAAAGACAAGAAGTACAATGCTTCACCATTGCACTGGACTAAGTCCTCGCAGGTAAGTTGCCGTTGTTATTGATTGTTTGGTCAGACAAGGCACTCTCAATTAAGGTTAATGGGAATCAGTTTTTATGCAGGTCAAACCGCAGTAATTATTGACGACAAACACAGTTTGCTTTCTTAGGAAGGCGCCAGAGACTAGAAGACATTGATTGGTGGAGATACAACCAGTTAAACGCGCCAAACGCACATATGTTGTTGTGACTCGGTGGCATAGCCGAGGCTTCTATATCGTAGAGTGGATTAAGTTTGAAGATCAATGAACGAAAGGAACCATGATATCATGTTTATAGGTCATATTTTTAGAAATTACAAGAACCATCGCCCGCTGGCGACGGTGTGTTGTTTCTCCGTGCCATTTCAATTGGTGGCTAAGTTAGTAACGAGTATGTTCAAGATATATGCGATGGGACATAGAAGCGAAGCGTATATACTCTGAATCCAGGAATTTAATGATCCACTGGCAGCGCATATTTATAGTAATCTATTGCTAATATCAGGAATAGCAATGCTTTAAAAAAGATTATTGACTTTGTGGTTTGTGCTGCAGACACATCAAGTACTTGAACTGTCAGGAACATTTGAAGTTTGGGTTATTTATAAGCTTAACCTTTTTGTTATTAACCTCTTAAAACCAGATCATTATGAAAGTAGTAAAGCAGAATAGCCTACAAATCTGTATGGCTTTATGGCGAGTATGGCTTTATGGCGAGTATGGCTTTATGGCGAGTATGGCTTTATGGCGAGTATGGCTTTATGGCGAGTATGGCTTTATGGCGAGTATGGCTTTATGGCGAGTATGGCTTTATGGCGAGTATGGCTTTATGGCGAGTATGGCTTTATGGCGAGTATGGCTTTATGGCTTTATGGCGAGTATGGCTTTATGGCGAGTATGGCTTTATGGCGAGTATGGCTTTATGGCGAGTATGGCTTTATGGCGAGTATGGCTTTATGGCGAGTATGCCTTTATGGCGAGTATGGCTTTATGGCGAGTATGGCTTTATGGCGAGTATGGCTTTATGGCTAGTATTGCTTTATGGCAATTAGGCTTTATGGCGAGTATGGCTTTATGGCGAGTATGGCTTTATGGCGAGTATGGCTTTACTAGGTGCAAGATAAGTATGTTTGCTTGATGCTTGATCTTTTTGCCTGACCTCATCCTTATTTTTCTGTTTTTTTTCAGGCCGTCAGTCTTTTGATTGAAAATGGCATTGATCTGGACAGTCGTAACAGTGATGGGCAAACCCCTTTGCATGTAATGGCAAAGAAGGGAAGGCTGAGTTGCATTGTTGCTTTGATTTCCAATGGAGCTGATATCAGCATAACATGCAATGATGGAAAGAATGCCTTACACTATGCGGTCGAGGTAATACTGCAATACTTTGAAATGCACCTTCAATTATTGGTTCTTTCATGGAAAACTACTAACAAATATCTTGTCATGAACGCCGTACTCTTTCGGACAAATGCACCTTCAATTATTGGTTCTTTCATGGAAAACTACTAAAAATATTGAATTAATAAATTTCTTATTGCTCTTGTTTTTATTATTTTATTTTTGGTGTGGAAAATTCATGTAGTTTCATATACAGGGTATATTTTGTTTGCCTGTTTAGCCATAGCAACAGCCTGTATGCTCTAAAGATTATAAAGCGGCAATAATGAGTATTAGTAACCATTCCTAAAATCTTCAAGGCACAAAACGTTGGTTGTGTAAAAGCGTTGCTTTTGTTTGGAGCTGATCATGAACTCAAGGACAAAAACGGCCTTAATGCACACGAGCTTGCCGATCAAAAGCCCGAGTCTTTAGCTGCCAATGAAATCAAGAGTGCCTTGAAGAAATTCGCAAGTATCCACAGAGGTGGGTTGAAGGTTTTCATTGTTAAGCTGTATTAACGTTAGAGAGGAGGGTTTTTAAATGTTTTTAGGATGTAGAAAGAATATGAGATTTCTATCCATCATGTCAGTTGACAAGATTGACGATTATCATTTCATTTTACAAGATTTTATGGCTTCTTTGTACCACAGCTCTTTGTGTTACTCATGCCCACATGTAATCATATACCACATGTCCTGTAGCATGTTGAACAGAAGTTAAAGAATTGTTGGGGATAGTCTTTTATTGTTTTGTTGGCCAGGTAAATGGAATATTAAGTGTTGTCTAGATATTAGTTTCCATGTCTTTAAGGTTTGTGGTATTCATTAAAAGAAGAAGTAGTCTTTGGAGTTTTATTTTAATAGTTTAATGGGCATGGAAAGACATTTCACTAGACTGATTTTAGCTTGTGTAAATATTCGAAGTTGTAAAATCATTATTACATCCAGAAAAGATAAATTGTACACAGGCTGAATTTTGGTTGCAAAATCTGACTTAGGATCTAAAGTTTGCTCCCAATCAGATAAAGATGATTTTGAAATTAAGTCGACTGTTTTAAATGAAAGATAGAGGATGAAAACAGACATCTTACATCTTATAAAATTTCCTAACCTAGAGCCTGTGCATGAGGAACATCCGAAACGAAGTTTGATAGGTCAGGCCAAATCTGTTTACTCTGAGATGAAATGCAAAATGAAGCAGTCCATTCATGGAAAAAAGCAAGCTTCCATATTGAAGTCCAAATACGGCAAAGACGCGGTTCTATGTTTGGATGGTGGCGGGATAAGGGGACTGGTACTGACTGAGCTGCTGTTTGCGTTAGAGGAAGCCACCGGACGTCCAGTATACGAGCTGTTTGACTGGGTTTCAGGAGTCAGCACGGGCTCTTATTTAGCTCTAGCTATGGCAACAGGTAATGCATCTGATTTTGTTGCTATATTTTTTACTGTTTGTAAATTATTGAAATCGTCTAATATTGATTAAGAGGAGAATTCCTCTGGCTAATTTTTGGACCACTAAAGGGTTTTGTGGGGCCATGGGCCACTGCTAAAGAATAAAGCATCTTTTGGGGAAACAACTTGTAAAGAGATGGTCAAATTTTTTTTATAGCTGTACCGCTGTCTTGGGCAAATGCTCTCCGAAAATTCTTAAGACTGACCACCAATAAGTGCCTCTTGATGTTGCTAAAAGGAATTTAACAAAATGGGGGTGATGGGGTTAAATAGTAACATATTACAGTTTTGGAGAGAATTTTGAGCCGTCCATAGGTTATGTCTTTTGAATTTTTTTGAAGGCAAGACAATCCAGCATTGTCAACAGGCATATTTTAGGCTGAAGGAGAGTGTTTTCAAAGGAGGAAGGCCGTTCCCTTCTGAACCACTGGAGCAGTTTCTCATCGACGAATTTGGAAAAGACACAAAACTGGACTCATTCGACTTCCCACGGTGAGTTATTTATCGCTGCTGATTTTTTGTCCAGCCCAGCTTGAAAAAGGCTCAGCCATGGTTTATTCGTATCGTAAGCCCTTAATAAAAATCGAAGTACGATTTAGAAACAAGAATTTTATTGGAACCTTTTTTATTTGGAGTATCCTTTAGGGTTTTTGGGTGTTATAAGGAAGTTTTTTATTCCTTTGTACATGCGATTTCTCAGTTTTATGGCAAAAGCGAGTGGTTATCTAAACTTTAGTGCCCTTTATTTTGGTCCACTTTAATTGACTGATTATAATCTTCATTTGGGTCTCGATTCTTTCAGCTAACTCTGAAAAACAGATGGTCACCTGACTCAGTACTAGTAAAATTGTTCCGCCTTGTCTCATCGTACTTTCCAAGACTTTATTGTTATGTCTACTGTTTCAATATATGCTAACTTTTGGTTTTTTACACTAGTTTTGTGTCTTTTTTCGCAGAGTGATTATACCTGCAATTATGGCCGATCGAAAGCCAGCGGTGCTGCATCTCTTCAGAAATTACGATGCCTCTTACGATCAGCATTTTTGGCACAGAGATATCAGATTCTTAAGGCCAAAAAAGCCCCAAGGTTTGATCTCGATTTGTTTCCTTTCAAATACCCTTGAAGCAATAATAGGGTTTCCATGATGCTATAGTGAATACCATTTATAGGCTTGATTCACATGATATAGGTATCATCAAATTTTGAATTTTCATCTTTGAGAGCACATAGAATTATATATCAATATTTTCTAAAGCCTTCCCTTTTTCGTTCGTAATATCGAAAATATTCTTGTGTTAACAATATCACAGTTACTTTTCTTGCTTAGTAAAGGTCAAGTAGGCTACTGACATTTTCTAAATTCGTCATTCCATAGCTGTTCCCGTTTACACTGTGTCGGATAGATTTTATCCGCATATAATTTGTTCAGGCTGATTTGCGTTTACACTGTGCCGCACAAGTTTTGCCCACTTTGCCCTCCTGTTTACATTGTGCCTGGTACCTTCAGCCACATGACCTAAATCGTGCACAGAACGTCCAGAACGAAATCATCTCTAGGCAACAAAATAATAGCTAAATTTCCGCCAACGTAAAAAAGACTTAACAGCTTAATTATCTCTTCAGAATCATCTGCTCCTCCTTCAGACGAAGTCTGAAGATATTGTCAAAACAAATGAGGCAAAGTTAGTTTAAATAATTCGTTTTCTGAAACAAAATGACGCTGAAATAGCGAAGAAAGAGGGGAAAGCTGACAAGGATTGAAATGTTACGTGGACTGACGAAGATGTTCCACTTTTAACACGAGTATTTATCGACTACAAGGCAGCCAAGATGGCGACTACAAGACAGTGAAAACCAAATAGGAAGAAATAGCCAATCACTTTCGAGCAAGATAAGATGTGGTAAAATTTATCCGGATAAAACCGTTACACTGTACCACATAGCTATCCGAACTAATTTAATCCACTTTCCTAAGTGAACTATTTTGTTCGGCTAGCCACTCTCAAATTCGTGCGGATAGCATGGGTCTAGTGTAAACGCGACGCCTATCTGAACTAATTTCAGTGCGGATAAAACTTATCCGGCACAGTGTAAACGGGGTCTTAAACTTGGCATAGCCAAATGAGACAGAAAAACAGCGCATCTGCTTTTCAAAATATTCAACTTAGAAGCACTGAAAAACTGTGTTAAACAACTTTATATTTCATGAGCTAAAAGACCCTTTGGGGCTCCTTTTTCAAACTATTAAACAGTAATAATAACAGCATAAGTCAATGGGTTGGGGTATATTCATTTCCAAATGCAGCATCCAAGGATATTAATGAACACCTTGCATTATCTCGTAATATCCACGGTCTAAAACTGTTTTGAGTTTGTTTAGTGCGGATAAAATGAAATTTTATCAGATTTAGTTTCCGTCAATCTGATTTACTAGAGGTTTTACTTTTATCCGAATTGTCTTGGCTCTGATGAGGGTAATTCCCTTGGCTCGGATGAGGGTATTTAAGCGTTTGGGTTGGGCTTATCGTGATTGTTGGTAGACTTTTCAACGCTCTTCTCTTTTCCCGTACCCTCCCTCCCTTTTTGGTATCTAGCTAAGTATGTTTACTCTTTAAAGTCTTTTAAAATCTTTTGTTCTCTTAGGAATATAAGCTTACCTACATCACAGTATTCTTTAAAAGGTCCTGTTGTTTTTTAGTTTAGGATGGGTCTGGCTTTTTATCCTGTCATATTTTGTCTTTCCCAGTCATACCTTAGAAATCTAAGGTAGGACTGGTGCATCGGCCCCCTGATGAGGAAAAGTGATCCTTTCTGTCCATTCCCTGCCCAGAACTTAACACTGCTTGCACGTGAGTTAATCAAGTTATATCTAAGGTTTAGGGTTTATTTGGGTTAGGTGGAGCAACTTGTGCCGATGTACCAACGGCCCAACGTTGCTCCCTGTGATAAGGGAATGTAGCCTCAATGCCTGATTTCATGAGGGATGTGGCAATGTTTTTTCTGAGGGAGCTACTTTTATCAAAGTGAAAACATTCCTCTTTTGATGTTATTCTCCCGAGTAAAAAAATAACACTGCATAAAATAACCACTGCTATCCTTGTTTCAGAGTTGGAGTTATGGCGTGCAGCACGCTGCTCAGGAGCTGCTCCTACGTATTTCAGGGCCTTAGATCGATATCTAGATGGGGGACTGATCGCAAACAACCCAACGTTAGACGTACTCACAGAAATTCACAACTACAAAAAGCATCACGAGATCAAGGATAAGAGAGAGCCTGCGCAGGAAGCAACTTCAAGGAATGCTGCGACGACTGCTGACATCACGCTGAAGGGTACCAATGACAATATTGGAATCGTTGTATCTTTAGGTAGGAAATTCTTCTTGCATTTTTGTTTGCTAGTTGGAAACGGTTTTAGGATGTACATGCAAATAACCTACTGCATTCTTATGTTTCAGGCCAAGCAGAGTGCTGTACGTCTTGAAATCTCAGGGTGAAATTTTTTTCATGTACTGTTGCAGGGTCTTTGCAGGTTCTCAAGGCAGATTTGTTGCCAAAGCTGGCTACAAATCCTGTGATATTAGGAAGGATCTTTAAGTAACATTAAGGTACATTATTAAAGTATTATGTTTCACGAGATTGAGGCCTGATGGATTACAGCACATGTACTCTGATTCTGCTGCGAGCCATTTGAAAGTGGCTTTGCACTAAGTGGATAGTGTAGTAGGCCATTTATCTGCTTTATGTAACTTAGCATATCATGTTTTTTTGGTTCAGGAACTGGCAGAGCTCCACTGCAGCCTTTGGGAGGAATTGATTTATACAAGCCGTCGTCAATCTGGGAAACCTCACAGGTCTTCAACAGTGCCAGGTGGTTTGGTGAATTGCTTGTTGACCAGGTACATTTTCTCTCTTCAGTTCCATTTCAGTTCCATTTTCCTTAGTACTAAAGGCTCCTCATCCAGGCTTTTTGCTAGTCAATGTAGACATGAAATTAGAAAAAGTGTATTCGACCAAGCATTTTTCACTTTTTAAGCGACTAGTTCTGAAAATGACCTTCTCGGTGCCTTCTCCGAAGTTGCTTTTTCCTCATTTTTAATCAAAGCTTGGTGTCGAGGTTACAGCCTTTCCTGTGAAATGAGAAACGTATACTCATTAAAAAAGGAAAATAAAATAATCTTAGGCGGTGTGGTAAGCCTGGTTGTGTCCTAAGAATGAGAAAATTATTTTTAAAATATGAGTCGGGTTCATTCTTCAACCAATTATTTTGTGGTACACTGAGTGTCATAGCATTAATTCCAGGGGACAGGTTAGGGAAAGCCCTTTACAGCCAAGATGAAAGCGAGCAATCATGGTTTAGATTCCCCATTATACAAGTTCTAACGTTACACTAACTAACAGTTCATACATTTTTATACCACAAACCATATGCTTGTAACAAAATTGCCTAACTATTTGACATTTTTGTGTGCCCGAGGAGGCAAGATTCTCTTAACTATGCAAAAATTTCTGGCCGCTATTGGTGAATTTGAAAGTGTCGCCTTTATTATCCTATCCCTGGAGAACTAAATTTCAGCTATTGAAGCAAATTTTGTGAACATTTTCCAAATCCTGATGAGCAAGTAAGAGAACTTTTTCCTTCGTTAAAACTAAGGCTATGATTTTATCGATGACAAGTAGCATTGTTACGGGAAGAGATAAGCAGGTATTTAGGTATTAAAAAGGAATTATCACAACTCACCATTCGGCTTTTCCAGCTTAGTTTAATGAGTTGCTTGAGTTGCTTAAATATTTGAAAAATTCACCTTATATTATAGTTTGGCTGCAAGGTCTTAGGGTAACCTCATAAATTGTAGGTAAAGACTTGTAATGCAGAAGTAGAGGAAGCAGGGGGCTGCTGTTAATGCCAACATGTAGCCCTTTTCTATTTCTTGCTAGAGAGTTTTAAGTGTGACGTCATAAAATTATATTTTTTTGGATTTTTTTAATTTCGATCCCATTACTGAAAAGAACACCACGAAATACTTCTAAATATGCAATATCATGTGAATAAGTCAAAAACGGATGAGATTTGGCCAAAAAAGTTTGCAGGTTACAGAGGTTTGATAGGGAAAGAGCCTGTGCAGACGTGGTCATATGTCAGCCATTTCGTGGCATATTTAACTGATTTTGCACATTTTGAGGTATTTCGTGATGTTCATCACTTAAGATATCCATTGTTTTTTGACAAACTTTGGTGACGCCCTCCCCGTTCGTATTTTTCTTTAAAACAGTATCAGCCTGGTAAAGACTCGAATAATCATGAAAATGTTTTACAGGCAACGAACTCTGATGATCACGTGGTGGAAAGAGCAAAGAGCTGGTGCGAAATGGTCGGTTTGAATTACTTTCGATTCAATCCGGAATTGTCCGAAGATGTGGAACTAGACGAATGCGACGACAGGGTGCTTATCAACTTGCTATGGGATACACGGGATTACCTGCACAAGAACAAGGATTTAGTCCAGAAAGCCGGACGTATTTTGATGGGGCTTGAATAAATTGTTGTTATTTTGATAGAAGCAAATATATTTTTAAAGTAAATTTTTCCATCGTAAGTTTATTTAAATTAGATATTTTGAATGAATATGTGATTCCAAGTATGTAGTTAATTAGTATTTAAGTAGTTTATTGCATAAATCAAGAATAATTTATAATCAGGGAATATTTAAGTAAGTTTTACGCCATTATTGTTTAACTCTCAGGGACACATTCTAATCATGATGATGATAATGATTATTTTGACAATTGTCGCCACCTATCTCGGATACACATTTCATCAGGAATAATATAAGATTGCCCAGCCTGAACGCAAAATGTTCATTCAGAGTAATAAGATTTACCAAAATAAAGAAAATGTATCTTGTGGTTTCCAAAATTTTTACCTCCAACTAGTTTTTTTGTAGCGTCGGTCTTTATTTTCCTTAGTATTTAAGAACGATTAATTATTCATCATTCACATCACGGTTTATTCTCGTTTTTTCAAATATTTTTACATTGATCATTAGAAGTCAAATATATTTGTTACTATGCACATATATGAAACCAACTCATCAGTCTAGTCGATAGTACAACTTAACACACACATTTACCTGGTTGTGTGAAATCTGTTGTGTAACAGCGTGAAATTTGTTAATCCTTCTATTTTGGTAACATCTTGAAATTGTTTTTTCTTCCAAACCAGGGACTGCTAATGTACTCCTTAGTGACAGTCGTAAGGGTCCAGGAAATAATTGAGCCAATAAAAGGGTAATTAAGGTAATTTAAGGGGGCTCTTTGGTGAAAGATGTTGCTTCTACCCTCTCAGTTTGGCAAAAAAACTTTTCAAACTGTTTTTATAATTTTGAGTTTGGATATTTGCCATCATTTCATAGATATATTGGCACTGTCCTTTCTTTTAGTTGATGACATGTCTTTGATTTGCTTTAAAAAGCTGATAAGACTTCGGAGGCCTTAGGCTTTTTGTTCCATTTGTCCCTCCTCTTGATGTCTATTTTTGAGAAGCAGCGGCGGAAAACGAGATCTTATTTTGATGTTGTTGAACCGATCTAGAAAAGCTCAAATTTGTGTTTTGAAAATTAAAAAAAAGTTTTATCTATGCAATATCACCACAGTGGTTTTGGCTTTGCAGGTGTCCCATGTGAAAAATGTTTTTGTTCTGAGAGTAAAATGTACTCCTAGCGAGAATCTAAGACATACGAACTTTGCATGAAATTTTGAAAAATATTATGACGTCATTCGGTGGTCCTGAATACACAAATTTAGCTCACATCAGGAACTGTGCTGCAGTCAGTGGCATTAAATAATTAGGAGAGTTTTTGCCAATTTTGACAATTGTTAAAGAGACTCAGAATTTGATATTTGATTATATTTCCATTTATTGGTGAAAGGGATGAGTAGGAACCAGCTTATTTGAACTATGACTCAAGACGTGAAGCTTCTCTAACTAGTCATCTTCGAATGCGTAGGAGCTAATCGCCTGGGTGTTCATTTGTTCTACTTTAATTTCTGCGAAGGAGCCATCTATTGTATTTCCTTTTAGTATTCGAATCCGATAGTTGCAATCAGCCAATCAGAGTCGAGATTAGTGAATTAGAATATATTTCTTTTGTTTCTTCATTGAATGCCTTGCTTTTGAAAACGAAGTTGATCGACGGTGTCTTGGAGGGTCGCAAACAAGTTGAAAACGATTTTCTAAGCATCAACACAAATAATAGATTTTATGCATCGTTGAACAGTTCCCACTATTGCGTTCTATTGTAATTTCAATATTCGCAGGTCGTTTGAATCCTCGAAGAGCTTCAAGGAAAGTTGTCATTTTCCCGATGCTACAACAATCGGAGCGTTAGTATCGATTTGTGATGATGAACAGGACGCTTACCAACTTCCTCAGATTTTACTATATTGATTGTGTCGTTGCCTAAAATTGACTTTGCGGAAACGAAAGGTGGAGATCCGTAAATCTGCAAAGTCTAGCAGATCTGGCGCGTTCGGAGAAGGCAGTCATCATCACTTGCTGTATAACTTGATAACCCGCCTAAATTGTATTGGATTCTATTACAAACCAAGCTGATTAGATCTGGTTTGTTGGTATCGGTTAGCCCTGTTCTCTCGAGAAAGGAAATCGCTGTTCAAGTTTTTGTCCAGAAAGCTGTACAAGGTTACTGAATTCAAGCATAGATGAATTTTCACCACCGGCCTAATACGACTGGATGAAAAACTGTTGCTTCATCACCTTCCTCGTTTGATGTTTTCACGCAGTTTCCCAGCCACGCTCAGACGTAAATTTAAAAGCTGCTGGAAATCACAAACTTTGTGGCTTTCCTAGCGGTCCTGTGATTCTGTTATAGTTAGGAAAAGTAGCTCACTTGTCGTGCAGACATGACTCGGCTGCTGTGGTTTATAGTATCGATTTCAATCGTAAAAATAGGTATGTTTGTTTTGCCATAAAATTCAAAATAAAATCATTGCAATATATATTTCTAATATCTCATTGCTTATCAAGAACAGGGTTTAGGCTTACAGGGACAAATAGTCTATACGCCACATTTCTGACAAGCTAATCTCATTAACACATTTTTTTTGTTAGTTTCATTTTGACAGCCCCTACACACAGTATATACCAGGCTCAAACACCGTAAGCGTGGGAAATATTTATCTTGTAAAAAACTGTCAAATAAATTTTCAGATCAGAATGACATCACATTAGTTAGACTACCTGGTCTTGATTTTCATACGAATAATCTGCTAAATCTGTTTCAATAATGCTAAACTGGTTTATTATAATAATTGAAAATCCAGAGAAAAAAAATTAAAAAAGATTTTTATATATATATGTAAGAGATTATTGTCCATGAAGATGCCAGTAACAGAAAACTATTCACAGCTAAACATTTTCAAAGGAACTAGTAGAAAAGGCATTTCTTTGGTTTCACAAATCAGAAACATCATCAGTACCTTTTGTGTAAGGTCTGATGGTTGTTTTGATCCTAAGTTGTTTGTATTTGACTAGGCTTAGGCCTGTGAAAGCAGCTTGTTTTGGGATAAGCAGTATCTTAAAAGCATTGAACGGAATAATGCTCTTTTCTGTTTTATTTTACACTACTAAGCCTAGGTATTGTCCTGTAGCTTCAATGTAATTTGTAAATATTTGATAATCAGGAAAGGCCTTTTGGTTTAGACAATAAAGGATCTTGTTTAACTTGGCTTATGATTTTGTGCAGATTGTGTTTTACCAAGGCCTTGAAATATAGCATGTTCAAAGTCTGAAGACCTGAAATTTCAAATTTAACCTATTTTGAACAGAAAAGTTCTCACCATCATCATCTCTATATTGGCCAGCTTTGATAATTTTAAGCACTGAATATTTATTGCAAGATTTTTTCATTTTTAAAGCACAAAATCACATAAAAATGAGTGAGTAAACCCGAGTCATCATAAGATTACATTAATTTTTTATTGTTTCTAACCCTGAGTACAAAAATTGCCCTGTGCATTCATTATATATATATATATATACAAAAATTAAATTAAATTAATAAAACTGCACAACAGGTCTACCTCTTTTTAAATGATGCATTTCACAAAAAGGCATTTTAAATATTTTTAAACATAATTGATTTAAAAATACGTATGTTTTTAGCCAACATATCCAACCTTTTTTAGTTTCAACTTCTTTACCTTACTGTAATTGCAGCCCAATCTTACATAACTTTGATTCTTCTTACTTTGTGATTGATTTTCAAGCACTAGTCACTGGGTAGCTCTTCATTCAGAAAACCTGTACCTTTTATAGCTAAGTAGAGGTTGAATGGGGGTATACCTATAAACAATTTTATGCATGGTTTCGGAAACAAACTACTGTACCACTAACTATTTCAGTTGAGAAATTGAGTATTATGATGTTTGATTTTCAGTTTCTGGACAAGATATACCAAAGTTTCTTGTGGAACCATCAGATACAAATGTCGTAGAATACAGCACTGCAGAAATAGCATGCTCAACCACTGGCAACCCAGCTCCCACAGTCACCTCCTGGATGAAAGATGGTGTGCATTTACGTTTTGATGGGAGTAAATCAATTCTTACCAGTGGAACACTTAGAATATCCTTTGTTTCAAGGGCAGATGCAGGCTATTATCAGTGTGTTGCCAAAAACAGAATTGCATCTGTGATTTCAAAAAGAGCAAAGCTTAATGTTGCATGTAAGTTGCTCTTCAGTATTCTTCTTCAGTGACATTGCCTTAGAAAAAAGGTTATAGAATATGTTTTTTAAGTTTGAAAGCCTTGGTTAGCTTACAAGGACACAAAAGAGGGAACAAAAGTGGACATTGGCTATCAAACAGGGAAACAAGATTGGGATAGGGGAGTGTCTAAAGGCAAAAATGTAAATGCATATCAATTGTTTCTTATGTTTGTTTTTCAATTGAAATATTGAAGTAGTCATCAAAATCCAAGCCTTGTGAAGAACAAAAAATGCTCAAACTTGACAAACAGAGCACTTTTCTTGGCTGAGCTCCTAGGCATACCTATGGCACAGCCAACTAGTTTAAAAACTATTAAAGGATGGATGAAGTGGAAGTTTGTTTCTTCAAAGTATAGTAAGAAAATTCTGTGAAAATATTGCAAATCTTGCTGATGTATTTATTTGTCTTGATTAATTTTCACACTTAATTTTTAATTTTTGTTTTTCACCCAAAATGAAAACTTTGACATGAACAGGATGAAATGTAGCTGTATGTGACAATTCCTCTTAAGCAAAAAAAAAGCTATTTTGGGGTAGTAATTGAATGGTTGCTCAACAGGAAAGAAAGGTTGTTAACACTTTGTTATTGATGGCTGTTTGCAGCCAAGTTTAAAGAATGTCAAAAAGTAGTATATTGTATTGTATTGGTCAATTGGTAGCTTGCTTTTGAAGCAAGTAATAGTCCCAGCATATTCTTTGTGCCCTAATTAAACATCTGTTTTGATATGACATTTCTATTCTTTACAGATTTTGATCAGATATTTTCATCTCCAATTTATGTGACAAAAAATGGAGGGACAAGCTTTGTACAATCTACCCCATCTGTCTCCATAAATCCTTTGCCAAAGTCAGTCTATAGGTGGAAGAAGAATGGTGTCAATTTAGTTGAAGACAGTAGGATCAGTTTTTCCAAAGACAATGGACTCTACATTGCTGATCTGAACTCAGCTGATGCTGGAAGGTACACATGTGAAGTGGAAAACCCTGTCATGAAAGCTGCTGGTAAATCAAATGCACAACAAACTGTCAAAATAGTCATCCTCACAGTATCTGGTAAGTAACTCTGATTGGAGTCATAAAAACTATGATCTGCTTAATATGTTATCTTACACTGTAACAATCATCTACTACTTTCATTAATGGCCCATCTGAGTAAAAATTTAGTTAAATAAAAATGAAAGACATTACTATGCAAATTAATAAAAGAAACATAATAATATGTGTATTAGTAAAGGAATAATATAGGTAATCACAGTAAGTAAGACAGTGCAGCAACATGATAACTCATATTATTTTCATGGTTGTTTGTATGGTTTGAGACAGTTTTACTTTTTGAGAACTGCATTGTTGTTCTGATGTTATCAAGCTGAAGTCATCCTTCAGTTAACTTTGGTTACAGTGCAACTAATAACCTACTTTCTGTTTTATTATTTTATAATTTAAATAACCAACCATCTCCATGGTTCAGGATAATTGGTACTTGAGTTCAAATAGAACCAAATTTTTTTATGTTTGTTTTTATTCTTATCAAAATGCAATCAAAATGTCTGCAAATTATAATGATTAGCTGTGGTTTTTACAATATCGCCAGACATTGCTAAATAAAAACTTGGACTTCCAATAGATCTTAATTTATGTTGTAGATCTTAATTTTCAGGCTCAAGTATTAAGATTTTTATAAAGACCATAAAAACTAGCAAAATGCAGCCTATCTGTTTGTAAGCTTCCACAAAGTTGGCTTTTCCCAATCCTGCTCAAACAGAAGTAACACTTTAAAGAGGGTTGTTATCATGGGCTCCTACTTTTTACAATCTGCTTGTGTAACTTAACACTGTCACCTATCACAAGCCTTCAATGTCTGCTAAAAGTCCTTGGAACACCCTGAGATTTCTGTGAATTCGCGTGTTCCTTTCTATTTCCATGTCAACAAGGAGGGTGTTGCCCCCCTTCCCCCTCATATAATGTTGATTCGCTAGCTGAAAACCATAGCTATGTAAAAATGTATCACTTGTACATGTAGGATTATTCATATTTCCGCGGCACAACATTGTACAAAGGGGGAGGGGATGTTGCAGCTCGTGCACAACGTAAATAAAGTGTTCCATGACTTTTGGCAGGCATTGTTGCTTCATGTGGAAGGATAGAGCTTGCTTTGAATTGTAATGCATATTTCAGAGAAAATATTTTTAGTATCTGTTTAGGTCATGCATTCATTTCTTCTTTACAATATTATCCTTATAATCATAGCTTCTTATTCAAGGCCATAACATGCTATCATATTTTTCTCTGTTGCGATGAACTGAATAACATGAAGGACATCAATCATTTCTATCTATCGCTTGTTTTTCTTTGAAAGAAAACCTGCCCTTTTTGCAAGACCCTACTGCCTAGCCTAACCCAAAAGTAAGTTAAAGATGAACAAAAGGCCAAGGTTGAAATACATTATTTTCACCTGCATTACCCCTGGATATTCTTTTGTATCAATAATAATTTTATTAGGTCATTCTGGGCCCTTTCGTAGTTAAATTGATAAAAGCATCTTAATACATTTTTTATAGCTATTTAGAAAATGTTTTTGTACGAGACGTATGCATCGTAAGAGAATACTCGTCCTTCGTTGAGCTTTATTTATGATAGACAATTAAAGCTGACCTTTGCTTGCAGAGCTCTCTATTCTGATTCTATGTAGTCAGGAAGCCTTTTGATTAAATTATTCTTTCACCGGTCTTCTTGCTCGATGGGATGTTTTGATTCATTACAAATCATGAATACTCTTTAGCTTGAAAAGGATCGTGTGTTGTTTTTGTTATTTGCCATTGTAAACGTTAATCCTCTTTTGAGTTCTCAATTTTTTGTTTTAGCAAGTGAACCACGTTATCAAGCGCCATCTTTGTTGAAAAGCCCGATTGACGTAACAGCACGCCAGGGACTGGATCTGAGCAAAGTCATGGAGTGTTTCCCCAACCGAAGGTAAATTATATCTCTATATACAAAGTTTATTGACGTTTTGGTCGATATAACTTAAAATTAAGCTGCCGAAAGTAACAGTGCAGAAGAATCGCAAGAGCTTCTTAGCGAATGGACACGTGATAAACGAATCTTAATTGAAATGCAATAATTAGGCGCAGATATGGTTTGATTGCAAATTATTTTTGCTTCCTGTTTTTATTTTTGAGGGATGCATTTAGTAATACGACTGTATAGAGAATTAATTTTAAAAAAGGTCTTCTTTGTAGTTTTGCATCCAGGATGATTAAGTTGGCGTAGGGTTTCAAGTACGTGTGGTCTTCTGCAGATTTTTTAAAATTTTACGATAGTTTGAGGTCCGATCATCTTTCGTCATGACCAGATAAACATACAAAAAACTAAGCCTTTAGCCGGAGTTAAGACATGATTAGCCTTCTCACCTTACAGAGTTGGTCTTTCTGCTGGTGTAATAGATCGTAATGGTAGAGCGTTCGAGAAGATAACAACCTATGTTTGTCCCAACAGCTGTTTTCAGAGCTTTAGTCAAAGTCTAAGTCAATCTGTTTTTGAAGCTTCTTTCGTAAACCTTACAAAACACTAGTTTGTCAGCCGAAAATATTTTCCGCAACATGATGTTTCGTATCATGTCATTTTTTAGCCTAATTTGCATTTCACGTTTTTGAATTTAGTGACACAACTATTACTTGGAGAAGAAACGGGGCAGTTTTGTACCCAAGCACGAAGTATCGGTTTGATTCAACTAAAAAGAGATTAACAATCATGGCACCTGAGAGAACAGACGAGGGCCAATATTCTTGCGAGTCAGCCGTATTGACGAACCGCGTATCAGGGTCAGGACAGCTACACGTCATAGGTAAGTTTTGCTTTTCAAGTTAGCTTGCAGGGATACCTTCATTGGATGGTACTTCCAGTGGATGATACCTCCATTGGATGATCACTCAATACTTTGAGGGGAAATAGTACTTGATTATTGTGATTTTCGTAGGCTACAATTTTGCACCTATGCTCGAAAGTGGCAGCTAAATAATTATTGCTGTGCCTGGTCCTTTGTTTAAAATCTCCGTTTTCTCAACGCCAGAAGCTCATCGTTTGAAATTTAAGATCTGATTGAGCTTTGGTCTTTGAAGAAGACCATCAAAACGAGTTGAATTCCTCATGAATGGAAACTTTGCTAACAATATTTCACCACGCCATATTCGTGGAGCATTTGGCCTAAAAATTCGAAATGATAATTACCTATATACATTGTATAATTATTGAAAGTTCCGTAACGGGAGCTTTGATATGATTCTTAACTAAAATTTGTTCATCGCAGTGCCACCTGCCTTTCTCACTTCCACAATGGTGACAAACTTGTACAGTGACAACTCGACTATGATATGGTGCAATGCCACTGCTTACCCTTCATACCAGTGGCTTTGGTTTCACAATGCAAAGCGGGTGCTGCCATCGGCAGACAAGGTTGTTATGTTTTCCAATGGCAGCCTCTTGGTGCGTAATGTGGCATGGGTGGATGGTGGCGTGTATCAGTGTGTGGCACAGAATGACGCAGGCCAAGCAATCGCACTGACACGGCTCAATATTCAGAGTAAGTAGCTAATTATAAAGCTCTCTGTTTTGGCGAGAATTTCTTCCACGCCACCAACAGATGATTGTGGGTGCATAAAAGCTGGCAAGCGGGCACACTGTAACCAAGGCAAATGCCACACTTTGAAAAAAACATTTTTTATTTGTCTTAAGAATATCCTCTGTCACCGAAATGCTTTAATCGAATTTTAACCATGTTGGATTTTGGGCCTAAATTTTCAAGTTACTGTTTTTTCAAATAAAAGGTGATCACTTCTATTAGGTAGGTACCTTCCTTCGCATTTGCTGCTGGGAATGTGCTTTCATGAATGCTGCCTAATAAATGTTTGAAGGCTGACTGTCAAATTCTATTGAATCTATACTTCTTTGCCATAGATCATAATCCGATTTTTTCGAGACTCGCAAGTGGCTTGCCTCTTTCATCCTTATGTTACGAACCCCAAAAACAGAATAATCCCCATTTCAGCAATGTTTTTATAGACACGAGTTTTAAGTGCATGTATCTCAGGAATGCAGTTCTTAGGCCTTCAAATATCTTCCTGAAACTTTGAATGATGTCAGGGTTCTAAATTATCGAGAGAACGCCCGTTTGGACTTCATATATATTTACTTTACAGTGTGATTATTAATTTGTTGATTATATTTCCCCTTACTGATCTGCTATCAGTTCCTAAAATGACTTCAGATTTAGCAGGACCAGAATAGCACAATATTATCTTACATGAAGTATCTCGCCACTCAATTCAACAATTCCTATTTTGTTTCAGATATCACTGCCAGGATAGCCATTCCTTTGAGAGACTCTTATTTCCACGTCGGTTCAACTGCAGTTGTTCCATGCTATGCTGTTGGTGCGCCAAAGCCAAGAATCAGATGGCTGAGGAATGGCCTGGCAATCCCACCTGTATGTCAGCTTCATTCTGCGGGGAAAATGTCATTTATCAAAAATCTATGTTGTAAATCATAAATAGGAGGGATTCTATGAATATTTTTTTTCTTAAGTTCTCAGATAACTTTTTATCGTGTACGATTTGATCAAAATATCGACCTTCTAATGTCAGCACTTTTACAACGTGATTTCCCCCATCATAATTAAAACACTTGAAATTGTTGACAATATTGCATACGAGTATACATTCATTGTAGCTCAAAGTGGTTTCGTTTGTCAAAAAGCCCTTATTATTGCTTTCTTATCCGTATAATTATTTTGCTATGTTCAGTTTAGTTTGTGTATTTAACGCTTTGTTTTTAGATGTCTTTATGGCAAAAATATTAAATCAAAATTTTATTCTATTTTAGACCATGACTCGCATATCCACAACAGCGAAGGGCTATTTGCAAATTACCAATTCTATTAAGTCTGATAGTGGCAGATTCACGTGCGTTGCAAATAACGATGGGGTCGATGCCATGTCCACGGCCTATGTTGGTATCGTAGGTAAGTGCAGTCTGTACATTCAAACGTCTCGTTTATCAAGCTGAATGGCCTGTTCATTTTGAACGGTTCATCATCGTTCTCCTTAACCTGTTTGTATCCTTGCAGTTTTGGTGTTTGAAATATCAAATGCGGTTTCCTGCTGCATTCTATCTTATTCTTTAGGTGAATTACTAGACCGAATTTGTGCTTCTGAATCTATACTGTTTTGAAGGTTGTTAGCGAGTCAGTGCTAGTTCCCCTAGAGATACCCCTAGAGAATGTTATAACTGCTATTTTGAGACCGACGTTCCGGCTTATGATAAGAACCTGTGAATTGAAGTTTAGGCTTGCTTGTTCTTAATTTGTTCTTACATTATTAGGATGCAAGCGTTGCAATTGCTATGTAGAATTCTTTAGGGGGGTGTTCAGGCCTCATTTACCAACAAAGTAAATGATCTTTTATTTGCTGACAAGTTTGAAAAATCGCTGAAAAAGCACCCCAAAACGACAAAAAACTCCCTGTTTTTGCGGTGAAACATTGTTCAAAAATTACATTTACAGTAGTTCAGCCTCAACTTTTTCTTAACTTTTGATTAATTTTGTGGCTCGTGTTGTTATTAAATTCTTCTTGTAATAAGGAGTGTAGTTTTCCTAAGTCAAACTGCAACAGTGTTTGGTAGGCTTTGGTCTAGAAGGCAAACTTGGAATTCAGTAGTTTATTCGGAACTTTGTAGCTGATCCTTTCTTATCAAGGCTAACTGAATGATAAAGCACAGTTATTTGTTTATTATTGCGATGCAGAAACTTAAAGTCACTATAAACTAAACTCACAACTGTATCGTAGATCCCACTGTCATCACCAAAGGACCGAACGCAACCACCATCGCTCAACGAGCTATAACAGTCTGGTTACCCTGTGAAGTCAGGCATGATCCAACTGTCAATGTTACTTGGGAATGGAGAAAGAACACAGGGCGTCTGTATGACCCACGGTATTCGGTGCTTGCTGACGGCCGGCTTCAGATTGTCAGTACGCAACAGGCGGATGCTGCGACTTTTACATGTCACGTGTTTTCTCCTGGCGGAAACGCAACCGTCAGTACAGTTCTAACGATAGTCTGTAAGTAGATTGAATAATGATTTTTCTATTCTCAGCTCTTTCAGAGTATGCAAGTCCACGGAAATCTCAGTAGATCCGCTGCGGTCGGAATTAAACACTCCCCTCTACCCCATCTAATTTTTCGAGATTTTTTATGAAGCCCCCTCCCACTCTCTATTCTCACCTCCTGTTCCGTTGGTTAATCGTTTTACTAAAATTTTGAAGTTCGGAATGTTTTTACAGCCACTTTTAACGATACTTTCGCTTCAGATAAGGTCGTGACCTCCCCCTTTCTATCTCAAACGCCCCACTCTCATTTTTTCCTGACCTAACAGTACCAGTGTATTAAGCTTTGCAAACTTATATTCCTGTTTTTGCTAAATTGACAACATCAATAGATCTCAACAACAAAAAGACCAGCTTAAATGAGACCTTGCAATTAGTAAGCAGACCTTGTTTACAATTAAAATTCAGAAATTTATATTTTTTGTCGTTGTCTTTTGCAGAGCTGTAAAATCCTCTTGCTGATATTCTAGTTACGTTTTCATCCTGTTTAAACGCCTGGATTCTTGGCTTTTATCTGACTTGCGATATAAACGTTTTTATCTGTTGCCCTAAGATTTTCGTCTCTTTTGTTTTACGGAAGGGCATTTACTTCTCTTATAGATATTGATACAAGCGTTTTAAACATAGCATGAATTAGATCTGATAAAAGTTATCATTTATAAATTGCCACTGTCCATTCCAACATCGCAGGTGAGACACTTTGTTTTCTGCTCTTCAAACTCATTAATTTGTTTTCGATTCTAGCACTGCCTCTCTCGCCATCAACTCCAACTGCCTCTAATATTGGGACCAACTCACTCACTTTGTCTTGGCTGGCACCAGAAGACAATGGGGGCATCCAACTAAAAGATTATGAACTTCAAATCAAAAATGAAACTGGGAATGTCTTTAAAACTATAAAAATTGTAACTCAATTGTCTGTTCAGCTGACGAATCTCTTGGCGGGAGTGAAGTATGCATTCAGAGTTGCTGCTCGCAATGAACTTGGCAGGGGCAGGTGGAGTGATGAAACAACATGGATACCAATGAGGATTGAAGGTACTGTTTAAAATATGTCATACGATCATTTGTAATGTTTTATTCCGTATACTATGTCTTGGCATGATTCTTAGTATTAAATTAGGAGAGAGTGACCTCATAGCATTCTAATGACGAAATAGGATTGCAGCGGAACGTGCAGGAAATAGGCTCATGGCAAATAGATTCATTTCTTTGTCATCTTATTTTAATTCGACTTCACTCTAACTTTAAAAGAAGCTAGTCTAATTCAATATTTGTACGGCTAACATTTGATAACCGTATTTCAGTTGCTAGCTACAAGTACTAAACCAGAAATTGGCATATCCCATTGTTTTATCAGTCTCTTTATTGTTTTCAGTTAATTTGATTTCTTAAAGCAAAGCATTCCAAATCTGTGGTCCTAACGATAAGAGACTTTTTTACCCGAAAGGAATTTCTTGTCTCTTTCGGGTTTGGTTTATGATTAATTAATTCATTTGAGTTCCTTGCTGAACTTGTTGTTTGTCTTAATTTGAAAATATTCTGCAAAAAAGAAGAATTTAGTTTTAAGACCGATATTGTTTGAAAAAAAGGCGTCCATTAGATTGAAATGTATGTAAACTGAACAAATTGTTTTTGATACGTTTCTTGGTTGTTTGGTAGAAAGCGTTTGGCATCAAATTTTTTCATATCGAAGGATTTCTCGCTTCTCCTGGATTTCCCACAGATCTATAACCAAGCGCTAAAGATTTGAATCTAATTTAAATCGAAAATTGGATTCACTGCGAATTATTACATTGGATTTTTTGTGAATTTGCTGGTCTCGCTGCCCTGTGGAATCTGTCATTGGACCATAGAAAACTCTATTCACCGTCTGGTATACTAGTTCATCAAGTTTCTAAGTTTTCAAATATCTGTTTTCTATTTACTTAGCTCCATCAAGACCACCAACTAATGTACACGTTGTTTCCACTGAGCAAACAAAAATTGAACTTCGCTGGACGGTAAGACTTTCATATTTTCAATTTGCTTGCATTCCAAGAAAGTATGTGTTTCTCGGTGCAGTATTTCATCAGAATCGCCCTTCAATTTCAATTCTAAATTCTTCAATATTTTTTGCAATGGCTGCTTCTTACAGAAAAGTTCTTTCTTAGCTTTTGTCAAAGTTTTGTTGTATTCTTAATCTAAGTTTTTGTTTTGAATTGCGTTTAGTCCAGATGGAGACACTCTTCCTTAAAATTTACATATAGAATCTGATCAACCTCCTTAACCTTCTTTTTGCAGCCACCACCTTTTCAGTATCACAATGGCAAACTCAGAGGCTATAATGTTTACTACCGAGGTCAGGGCTACAAAGATTCTGCGTTCACCATAAGGAGAGCACCACCAGGAGCGCTAACAGACATCTACATAACATACTCTTTAGACAATCTATTGACATTCACAGTATATGAGATCAAGGTCGCTGCATTCAATGACGCTGGCGTTGGCGTCCAGTCAACACAGATAACTGCAGAGACGAAGCCTGGGATACCGAGCGTTGCACCTACCGAGGTCTCAATTGACGTCTTGAACGGGTCAGCTGCCAGTGTAAGCTACAAGGCGCCTAGGCAGATATACTGGAATGGGCATTTGATAGCTAGTCGCGGGTATGCCTATTCACCTGAACGTCCGCTTGATGTGTACACATACGACGCTCCTTACAATCACGCTACCAGATATAACCAAACCTTTATTATGATGGGTCTTAAACCAAGTACAGATTATGCATTGCGTGTTGCTGTTGTCACCGCTTCTGGAGCAGGGCCTAAAAGCAAACCTGTTTACTTCAAGATGCAAGAGGGTAGTCCTGGAGCGCCAAGGAATTTCATTGTTACAGCAACGTATGCCCATTCTATTCTACTGAGATGGAGTGCCCCTTATGTAACCAATGGAATTCTTCGGGGTTTTAAAGTTGGCCATCGTAAATATGAACGGGATCGAGAACCATGGATTCATAGAACAACGCCTGAACCAGCCGGGTCAGGTGGTGCAGTGTATCGTAACCTCGAATTGAACACGAGGTATGAATTTTATGTCCTTGCTTTCACAAATGCTGGCGATGGACCTAAAGTATTTATTGTTGCTCAGACGAGAGAAACAGCGCCAACACTGCCAGGACAACCTACCAAGCCAGTGTTAGTTGAAAACAACGGTACGTCGATTACTCTGAGTTGGGTTATGGACGAAACTGGTGGCACGTTAATGAGTTATTATTTGATAGAAGCTAACAATCAGACTAATTACAAGAATTTACCAGAAGCAAGTCGCCAGTGGTATCTTGTTGTCAATCTTACGCGAATCCAAGACATTCCCACTAGGATCAAGAACCTCACAACAAACACCGTTTATCGTTTCCGCGTGACACCTGTCAATTCTGTTGGTCGTGGTCCTACAAGCAACGTTTCTGAAGATATTCTTTCTGCGGAATCACGTAAGATTACTTTTCATGATAGAAAATTGCAATTGTTAAGTGTCTGAATCCATGTTTTCTTTCAAACTTGATAGATATTCTTCCTGTCTGATATACTGAATCCATCTAGAAAGCAGCTTATGTATCATTGATTCTGGAATTTTTCTAGTACTATGCCTTTTTGTGTTGTGGAATTAGCTCTAGCAGCAGTTTATCATTTTATCATACACAAAGCACATAGTAGGTACAACAAAATTGAACTTAGCTTGAGCTGTAAAGAAATACTTCACGGTTTTGAATTTTCTGCAATGCAGCAGACGGTTTAGGATTTCCTATTTGACTTCAGGTCCATCTTCTCCACCCACGAATCTCCGAGCGTCTGCAGTTGATAGACAAAGCCTGCTTATAGAATGGGTGGTAAGTTTTGAATTTATATCTGTATTGCAATTTTATCTGTTTTACCCTGTTTTGTAAGATAAGTATTCTGACCGGGTAAATTGAAATCATGTAAGGTGTTGTTATCTGTACAATCCAGAATGACCAGATTGGTTAATCCAAAACACGTGATATGATAGCAAGCAGTCGGTCAAGTTGCCTTTATTTTTTGTTACTAAGGCTTTGTTAAGAAACGTTTAGAATTTCAAGAAGAATAATTTTGTAATTCCATGCCTGGCTTAGATAGTTTAACGTGGTGAAAACGGTTCTAGGTAATGTTAACCCCGTATCTTATACATTATCTTTATCTTTGTTTTGTTCGGAGTCTACGTTCGGGCCTAAGTTACGAGCTTAAGTTTTCCTGTTATGCCATTCATTCAAGTGAGTTAGCACAGGTTTAGATGGGAGTTTTCTAGAGTTTGTCATTTATTTTCATATCAATGACAAAATATCTGTATTTTTCAAAGCCACCACCAAAATATACATGGGGAAGCAGTACCATATTTTACAAGATAAAACTAGTCTCGATTGGGAAAGCTGACAGGGACGAAAGAATTGTGCACCAGCGAGACAGTCAGGCGAGGCAATATACAGCAAGGGGGTTGGCCAAATGGACCAGATTCAATGTAACGATTGCTGTGTATAACGCAGTCGGATATGGTCCGACAGCATGGCCGGTCACTGCAAGGACTGCTGAAGACGGTTAGCACGTATTTTGTGCGAATTCGTTTATGTCAGTAGAGGATTGTTTCTTTTATCATTGCCCTTTGTCTGAAAAATATTCAAAGTATTCATGACTAAACCTGAAACGTAGTTCTAACTCGTTCCTGTGAATGAGGCAACGAAAATTGACACGAACTAATGGAAATGTTAGCAATCAGATTTATAGCTGAAGTAGTTTTATTCCAGAAGTTTCTGGTAATGTCTAATTCACCAAAGCATATGCTGATTCCTTATTACGGAAACAGCTTTTCAAAACAATAGAATATTCGAAAATGATTCAACATGGGATTACAATGGAATTGTAGTCCTGTCTGCTTGGATTATAATTTCGACAGGTCATGTTTTTTTTATTTCTTTAGGCTACCAAGGAGTCTTAAAGTTGCCAAATGGTCTCCTTCTGCTACTTGTCCTGATTGCTTATTATGATTTTGATGTATGTGATCTGTTACATTATAAGCGATATGGTCATTTCGGTTTAGTTATTAATCAAGAAAGTTGTTGCCAGTCATTTACGTTAGTTGGTCTTGTTTGTGTTTAAACAAAGGTCGTCCCCAGAGTTTCCAGCCTGCGTTTTGATAAAGCAAATTTTTGCCAGTCATTCAAGTTTGTTAGTCTAGTTATTTTCCAAGTAAGTTCCAGCCTGCGTTTTCTCATTGCCCTGATTAAAAAGTTTCTTTCCACAGTTCCGGATAATGGTCCAGCTACAATCACTCCTGTAGCGGTGAGCAGCTCTGTGGTTAATGTTTCTTGGACCCCTGTGCCTGTTGACATTCGCAATGGAATTATACTCGGATACTATGTAAGTTGGGGTCGTTTTCCTTACCTTTGCTTGATTTGTGTTTAACATTTGTTACATGAACTAACATTATGACTGCAGAATTTTTTCACATGTCAGGTTTTGAAATTAAAACTGTTTGTTTATTGCGTAAGACTGATCTTGATAAAGTGAGAGACATAGATAACGTCCATATGTGTTGTTAAAAACACCTTGGGCAGCAATCCTAAATAAAAAAATAGGTTCTAGGCGAAAGTTGATCTCGGTTCAGTATAATTCATGTTTGGTAGTTTTAAGTTGATCCAGTAGCATATCTTTTATTGTGTCCTGGTGTCATCATATAAGACGTTTATGTTGACTCAAATTTGATAGCGAGCTTGTATTCTGGGCCAGTTTTGTTCTGAAAATAACTATGAATGCAAGTAAATTGTACCAAGAATAAATACTAGATTATTGAATAATGACGTTTCGAGCATAGCCCGTTATCACGTAAAATTGAAAAGCTATGCGCGAAACGTCGTTATTCAATAATCTATTATTTACTTCTGGTACAATTTACTCATATTCATAGCTATTTTCTATTATATTGTACCGCATGCAATCTAGTACAGTTTTTGTCCTTGTACCACTCAGTCCTTGTATCAATAATTTGATTGTGAAAAGAATATCATCAATCAACGTATTAACAGATAGGAAATTTTCCATGCAAGCGATATTCGTTCTTTTCAGATATATTACAACATTCGTACTGAGCCACTCGTTGTCAACCGAAAACCTATTATTGGCGGGAATACCATGGCCTCTGTCCTGACTGGATTGGCTGGCTACGCAACCTACCAAATTCGCATGTCTGCTTACACGAAAACCGGCGAAGGGAAGAAGACAGATCCAGTCGAAGTCATCACTCCTGACGGAAGTAAGTGTTTTGTTGTTGGTTAGTACATGAGTAAATTATGAAATATGTAAGACTGACATTTTTAAACCTATTCTGAAGTATTTTCCCATTATAGACTTGCTAGAAGAGTTTGTTTTTAAAATCGTGCAATCATGGCGGATATCTATCTACAATATTTCTGATATTTTAGATACATTGTAGAAGGCTTTAGAATACTCACAAATTTGCGATGCACCTTTGACAGTCGTGATCAACTTTTGTGTTCATGTTACTGTCAAAAAGACAACGAGCACTTTCTCCTGCACTGCCCCAACTTTGACTTGATGCGGCAAAATCTCCTCGATCGGTTCTCTGAGAACCCTGGACTTAGATTAGACTTAGAAGACAAAATTGTCATTACAATGTAATTACCAATCTAATACCATTTATGAAAGAAAAGAAGAGTTTTTCAGATCCGACTTTAAGCAGAAAACTGTATTGAAATTTTTCTTTTTACGTGTAATTCTTTTCCGCTAGGTGTCTTGCTAAGAGTTACGGCAATTTCGGGAGGTTGTTGTCGAGCTGCTAATTGTTCTTCCCTTAATTTTAAATGTTTATGGCATAATCCCGATGGCATAATGCCCTTTTTAGCTACTGTAACTATAGAATATTCAAATGTATAATAAGGTATTTTCAAGTGTTTAAATAAAATTGATATTTCTTGGGAATTTTTTTAGCGTGGAGAACGCATTTGTAGTAGACCCTAGGTAAATCCATTCTGCTGGTTAGAGTCCCGTTCAACTCCTTAGGTTTTCAAGAAACTTTTGAATTTCTCTTGGCAGAATTGCTCTGCTGAGTCTAATATCCCTAGTGTAAATTATCTTTCTATCTATTCAATTCTTAATCGCTTTTTCACCTCCAGTTGCTGGCAAGCCTTACAAAGTTCGTTTCCCAGTTGTTCGAACTGATTTTGTTCAGGTCACGTGGCTGCCTCCGTTGCGGCCAAATGGAGCCATTGTCAGCTACGAGGTTCAACATAAGCTTAAAGATACAACTGGCGATTATAATATCGTCTACCAGCCTCGAGTTGGACCGAATATCCTAAGTGCAGATGTGAATGGTTTAATTGGAAACAGATACTACGTATTTAGAGTTTACGCAAAGACGAGGCTTGGTAGAGGTAATCCTGCGGAGGAAATCGTCTTCACCACACCCAATAGACGTACGTACGAGTAAAATTGCATTTTGTATGTGGCATTTTGTAAAATTTGTCATAAGACTATCGCTTTTTATCGAATTATATACATTATTAGTTATTTGTCAAATTTTTAAAGCCATATTAATATCTTCTCAGTTATTGCCATTTCCTAAAGTATTTTATAGCACAAAATTCCAGCATTGTATGTAGGTTCATTTTTAAAGAATTTACCCAAATTATCCCCACTCACAGAGAAATTGAAAAAGTGCTTGAAAGCTGTTGTTTGCTACAGAAGGGATTCGTTCCTTTCAACAAAGTCATCAAACGCACTAGATTAGTACCCGACTTCATATAACCTGCCGTATTTGTACTATGGGTTTCCGTATGTTAATATATAACAATCATTTTGCAATATCTATACGCCTTTTTTTCGTTTGGTACGAGCAGAAGTGCCCGAAAGCCCGGTCATGTTGCCCATCCCTGTCTCTGATGTCGATGCAACGACCGTGTTGGTGAAATGGAAGCCCCGCGATGACGGTAAAAGCCCAATACGCTCTTATACGTTGCAGTATAATAAGCAACCGGATGGCTGGAAGGATTACCTTTCTAACGTCACTGGACGTGTTGACATTGACGCGTTTGTCAATCAGCTGCTTGTAACCAGACTAATACCTTCGAGTTCTTACAATTTTCGCATCAAAGCGACTAACGATGTCGGTGACAGTGCATGGAGTCAAGCTTCAAATACCATCCTAACACACCATGCAGGTTTGTTGAAATTCCGCGTATGAGAATACATTTGCCCATCCCACTCTTCGTTTCTAAAGCTAAGTAAAAACCATAAGTATCTAAAACATTCCAAAATAAAAACCGTTAACTACAAAAGCCTTTAGATGGTTTCTTACGAAGCATTCTTGTTTTTTTCCAATTGACAATGAAGATGACAGTTACTATTTCATTTATGTCAAAACCGACATTGATAATACCTCAATCTTATTTTGTATCCTGGTCATTTATCCCATAGCCTGGAAAACCGTTTCTGCTTTTATCTCACGCAAACTGTAACCATAATAGTGGATTTGAAAGTATTAGCAATTTTGCGTGTGAAGTTGCAAACTGTCTTTTTGTGTCAAGGCTTTAAAACCATCTTCATATTTTATGCCAAAATTCAAACTTCTATCAAAGTTTATATGCAAGTTTATATATGGTCCTGATTCCTTTTAACCATTTCAAAACGTTTTAAGAGACAAATCTTCAAGCAGTTTATTTCCAATTCATTTATTTGCTTTTTTTATTCCAGCTCCAAAAGGTGCACCTAGGAACCTCAAAATCAGACCCTTGTCTCCTAGCTCTTTGAGGATCGATTGGGAGGTGAGCCATTTTCATGGCTTTATTCATTTTCTACTCATATTAATCTCATAGTTTGATATTCGATGTTAATTTGCAAATATGATAATAATACGCTTCTTTTCAAGAGTTCTCTTGCTCTTTGGTCTTTATATAGGGGTATAAATTTGATTTGCGGAGGGTGAAAGGGTCTACATAACGTTATTGTGTATCTAATTTCAACCGTTTGTCAGGCAGTGCCAAGGAGTAGGGGACTAACAATAGATTGTTAATGGTTCCATTTCCCTTTTAAATAGCCATCCTATGAATGTTAAGGCAAATTTGTTCTTAAACACAAGGTCCTGAATTAAAAGACAGCCTCTTTAATTCATATGGTGCATTGGCGTTGATACATGCTACCTTGAATTCCACTGAAATATCTAAAATTCTGTTGTCTTTCCAGGCTCCTACATTCGAAGATCTTGGAGGTTTGCCTGTTGAATTTCTGTTGCGCTATAAAGAGCAAAGCAGGTCCGAATGGAGTGCAAGTCGCAGGTTACCAAGAACGCCTTTGTATGCAGTGATTAAAAACCTTAAAGGATACACTAAATATGATATCTCAATGGCTGCCAAAAACGATCGAGGAACGGGTCCATGGACTGAGAAAACAGGCATCACCGGAGAATCTCGTATGTTTTTGCTAAATACAACCTTGAAGTAATAATTTGTATCTTACAAGTTGAATATAACAGTTGATAATTTACACTCTTTTTTAAAAACAACCAGATAATTTTTGCCGATGCGCAGTGTTCCTATTTTTCGGATACCTTTCAAACACATTGTTTTTTTTCGATTTTCATCCAAGGCTAGATATGTTTCTTACGTTGTTCTCATGTTGCAAATCGAGTCTCGATGTTCTTGTGTTCTTATAAAAGAAGAGTGAAGGTGATAAAGACATTGCATGATAGAAATTAACCCACTATCCCGTCTATTCCTGTAAGATTTTACTAACTTTTTTGCTGGTTGTGCTCATGTGAGCGATCTCTGCTGATTTTTCAATACCGAGCAGGATTATTGCATTGATGACTACTGAAAATGGTTCCCCTCTTTCCCCTAGCTCCCACTGCAGCTCCGACAAACATAATATTAACAGCAGAAGATGCAAGTACAATCAAAGTACGGTGGACCCCACCACTAACTTACACCATTCGTGGAAATCTCCTTGGTTATAAGGTAACTTTGCTAACGACAATGATTGGTCAGCTATATTTATGTGGTATTGAATGCTTTGCTGCCTGAAGACCCAATTAAGCTTTAAGAGACACACGAGCAAGATATGACTACCAGATATGAAAACGCTAAAAATGGTGGGGTTGGGGCAGGGGAATTTAAGGTGGGAAATTGATAACTTAATACAGGCGTTCTGTTTCCAAAATGAACTCAACCATCGAGCTCAATATTTTTAAGTTCGCCTCCAAATTTTTCTTTTCTCTTTATGAAAGAAGCTGGAAATATATTTTTGTGTTGAGGTAAGGGCTATTGATAGGTTTGGAGCAAATCATTAACACCAGTGAGTCTACGTCTCAGATGATCGCTGTAAGAATTGCCATGCAGCAACCACCCTGTTCTATACACCATAGCGTGTGCGGTTCTTCCTTTTGCCGATCCAGCACTATCGAACTAACAGATCGGGAAACTGTAATTTTATGATACTGTATTGTACGTAGTATTGTTTTGTTTACCGTTAGATAATATTGCTTTGTATTAGATTGTTTAGCATTGTTTTGCATAGCACAGCTCGCTAGGAATGAGCGAGATTTCTTATAAACTTTACTCATCAGATTGACTGCAGCATACAATTTTTAACCATTGTATTTCACGTTCGGACCACGTGTTGCAAAGGCACCAGACTTGCAAGCCGTAAAAAGAGATTTAATTTTACTTATATTTTCGTTTTAGATCGAGTATCAGCGACTTGGCGTACGAAGTCGAAGAAGGCGACGAAGATCTACAGATTCGCTGTGCCCAGCCAAAGATTTTAGCGTCAAAACGAAGTTCGCAAGCCCTTATGTTCAAGAAGAGACAATCAAGAATGTTGGCAAATTCTCTCGCTTTAAAATCACCGTCAGAGCTTACAATGGTGCAGGGGATGGGCCGAAAAGTGGCGATCGATATGTTAACACTCCTGAAGGAAGTAGGTCTACTTCAGCATTGAAAATATTTTTTGCTAAGAAGCTCTTGGGTATTTCTAGGAAAACATTGTTGTGAAAAATGCCTCTAAGGAATGAGTATTGAAGCTTTTAGAAGTTGGTTACCCATTTCATCAAGTTATATAAAGCAGCATGAAATACAGTGCTGCTTTATTTATAAAACAAAAGTTTTCGAAATGTTAGCCTTATATCAAAATGTTACCCCAAATAGCTCTTGCGTGACTTTTTGAAACTTTTAGAGAACTTCTCGTGCTATGTAAAGATTTTTTGATTTCCTGCTTTAACTATATTTGCTTAGTATAACGCCTACCTGAAGTTGTGGTGAGCTAAAAGTTTTCAGCTGTTGTGAATTGGTTTTTCTCTGCAGCCCCAAGTCCGCCAATCATCATATGGACAAGAACGTATATAAACGACATAGATATTCAGTGGAAAATGCCGTGCTCTCCGAATGGTTATATCAGTGCATATCAAAGGAAGTTTTGGCAACTGGGTTCGTCTGATGTGAAGACACAGGAGTACTCATATCATACGCATACAGACAGGATGTCTGGACTAAAACCCTCAACAGAGTACAAAATACAACTCAAAGCAGCAACCCGAGGGTATGGCTTCGGTGATGCTGCTGTTGTTACTCTGAGGACAAGAGGTCCCTTCCCAGGGCCTGGTATGTATCCAGTTCAACGTCCGAATTGTGTTCTTCGAGTCTCCTTGTGGCATCGAGACTTGTTGGATGAAATCGCAGATCGAGTTCATTACGCTCTAATGGCCAATAGGAATACAACATCTCTAGTTAGAACGTTATGAAATCTGCTATGCAATTTGAGCCCTTACTGTAGATACAATGCCTGCCAAGAATACTTTGAAAACCCAGCAATTTCCGTTGTATTTCATATCTTTCATTTCTTTTCCAAAAAATTACTACTTCCAACCCCCTTCCTTTAGAACAATGTTGATATTTTAGACAAATATCATATAAGTATGGAAAAATACGATACTTCCAATTCTCCTACGCCATTCTGTAGTAACCCAATATTTTTCCCAGGGAGGGAAGGGAATGGCCGAATTTGACCTTTAAAACCGACGTAAGTGTCTTTGTCAGGCATTGTAGGAGGCAATAAAGAAATCGTTTTCTCCCTATTGTGGGCTGTTGTTTTTTCACTAGTCGTTTGTTGGTATTTCACGTTTAAAGTGTGTATTTCTTTGGAGGCTATAAGATTTCTTCTACATACCTTAACTTTATCAATATCTCTGTCTACGTTTGCTATAAGCATTACATTCAACTCCAATAATCATAATCATGATTCTAGTTAAATTACTTACTTGACCATCTTTTGTGTCCTTTAGTTCTCCCAGGTAGCCCAGGAAAACCAAAGATATTATCCGTCACCGAAACTTCAGTCAAGCTGAGCTGGCAAGAAGGCACTGATGGCAACTCCCCAATTGTTTATTACAAAATTCAATACGCGAAATCAGGTAATTTGTTTAGTTTAATTGTTTTGCAAACAAAAACACTAGCGATGATAATGAAGTTTTGTTGTTTGAATGAAAAAATGTACTAGTTATGTTTCTAGCCTTCTAAGAGATTATTTTGTATAAGACTTACGCTTACTAGCCTTGATATTAGGTATGTAGTCAAGACTTGACATTAGCAAGTCTCTAATTTGTTACTTTTTTCCCGAAATTTCCATGCAGGAGAAACCTTCCTGCAACCGACACCTCCAGCCAAGTCGACACTTCTCTGCAACCAACACCTCACTGAAAACCAACACCTCTTCGCAGCTCATACCTTTCTGCAGTTCAACCCTTCCAGCAGTTTACCCCCAAACGGCCGATACTTCCCTGTAACCAACACCTCTCTGCAACCCACACCTCATTCCAGCTGACACCCCCTACGAACGATACCTCCCCGAAATCCACACCTTCCTGCTACCCACACCTCTCTGCAGTTGACACCCCAACAACTGATACCTGTCTGTATCCGAAACCTCCCTGCAGTTCACACCTCCCTGTACCCGATACTTCCCTGTATCCGACGTCATTGCTTATTTACCTCCTTGCAGCACACTGTTATTTGGTTCAATTGTTATATGGTGTCCTCTGTTTATGAATATCTGTCAATGCCCGTTTTCTAAACACCTCCCTCTGACTTCTGTGCCATTTCTGATTTAAGGTGGAGACTGGAGGACTGGATGGGATGTTCGTTACGACCAGTGGGGACGCAATGGCTCAATAATATCTTACACCCTCAACAAGCTAGATCCTGACACTCAATACTTGTTTAGAGTTATTGCTGAGAACCGAGTTGGCGCCTCTCTTGCAAGTGATGCTGTCTCCTTAAAGACAAGTATGAATGCACTTTTTTAAGCTTACTTTATAGTCCTTTGTTTTTTTCGTTGTTCTGGCTTGAATACTCAAGTTTCTGGAGACCTGCCTCTGGTAGCAGGCGTTTTGATCAGATAAATTTTTGTATGAATATTCATAAGTGGATGGCTAGTGAGAACTTTTTCACGTAAATTTTTCGGTTTAGCAGGTCCTAAAGGCCATGGCTACATAAAACAAAGTGACAAAGGTATTGGGTAGGAAAAAGGAATAGAACAGAATCCATGATTATACTGAACAAATAAATCAGACCTATAAGGACAATATTTGGTTGTTTCGTTTGTTGTTTACTTAATGTTTGATGAGATCCATGGCGTCTTTATGTCGCCAAAAGGTTATATTCTATGACACACAAGATCAAAGGTAAATTCTTTGATGATCTTCAAAGTCAGGAGGATAGCCCCTACATATTTTATTGAAAACCCAAATTCAGCCAACATAAAGGTTCTAGTTAACATTTTTCCAGAATTACTTTTTTCCTAGTTTTTGGATACAAATCAATTTTTCATGTACACATTTCTTTTTTTATAAAACCTCTGGAGGGACCATTATGGAACCAAGATCGTACTGACCTTTTTAATGCTACCCCTGTCATTTTTAACCTGGGGTATTTTTAGTCTATGTTATTAACTTCTATTTGTAATTTTAAATATCTGTAATTAGATCTTTTTCTTTTTCTAATAATATCTGTAATTTTAAGTTGTAATTTATTTAATGGCAAAATTATACATACATATATACACGGGCCTAAATCTACAAGTGGAATATTCACAGCTGGTCTTTTGTGTGGATACTTTGCGGTTAGCAGCTGCTAGAAATCAAAAGTTACAAATTTGATGAAGGGTTTTGGATCACTTCCTTACGCACCTATCTCTAAAGGGAAGAATCTTGCAACCGTTATTGAAGCTGCAATCTGTAACTTTTTTGTCTCCGTTTTTCCTTTCAGATGTCGAGAATAAAAAGCCATTCCATGCTGAACTCTGGTTCATTTTACTGATCGTTGTTGTTGCAATTTTGATCGTCGCTCTCCTGATTTTGTTTATCTGCCTCAAAAGAAGAAGAAATGAAAAGAGCAAATACGGTTAGTGTTTAATTTTCTCTGATTTTAATTTAAGGTGACAAGTTAATTTTCCGGAGATGCTCCAGCAACTTATGAATTTAATGAATCTTTCAAAACTCTTTGTATCAATGTGTGGTGGCTTTTTGTATTTCAATATTGATTTGTTTTGACTTTGTACATTTATTTTGGTATTCCTAATTGTAACTAGAGAACGTGATCATGGCAATCCGATAGTGCTCGTGTTGTTTACACAAGCTGAGTTATAAACAGGCTTCTCAGTCTTAATGTTTCGTTGATGGCCAACTTGATTGCTTCGTAACTTAATAGCGACTAACGTACTTAATGATATATCACTTTGTTGTTCCTAGCTATTTATCAGTGCCTTACAACATTTACACTTTTATGATTTTTGTATTTCCGATATTTATACAAACCCAAAAGCTCATTAGTATTAACAAATAAAATTAAACTTTTATAATGTTTCTACAGTCAATTTTCCTTGCTAACATTTTAAACCCAATAATTTTTCCCTATAAATCATCGCTATTGGTTTAGTCCTCTAACAGATTTCCTAAACTTTAATGCTTTAACCATCAGGCTAAAATGCTAACCCGTTTATTAAATCAAAAGACTCCAATTATATAATTTTTAAACTGGGTGAAATGCAATCTTGTTTGTCTTCAGGGATACAAGAGTAGATTCGAGATAGCCTTCCTTTTGTGTTTATTTTCTTTGCTCGGCGTCGCTCACTTTAAATTTACAGGCCTAAATACGATATATTTTTTCTTACGCCAGTTCTTTTCACTGGATTTTGAAAGTCCTTTTCAGGCCAAAGCCGAGAAAAAAGTCATTCGCATGGCTGACGTGGTTAAGGCCACTGAGATAAAGGAAACCATAATACCACCCGAAAACCCTTCATTTTGTCGATATTTTTTAAGTTGGAGATTTTTTGTGGGCTCTGACTCATGCGAAGGTTAGTGTGACCAGATAACCCAAATGTTAGGCATCATAGCATTCAGTGGTAAATAATAACCCTGGAGAATTGTTACATGAAGTAGTACTTTTCCTTCACATTTATCATTGGACAAGTTATTGATGCTCCTCTAAATAAAAGTGATTATCGAGAATGAAAGCCAAATCAATCTGTCCTTTTCATCTCTGACCTTTTTTACCTTTCAAACTAAGTGAATGATGTCTTTAATATGCTTTTATCATTTTATGCTGTTCCTTCAACCTGGAGGACATATTCCCAATACTTTCCAGTAAAACAATTGTTGCTAATTAATAGCCATATCCCATCTACACTATGGCCCCTCTATTTTCATTTTCACGAAGAAGCCCATATCAGCCACTCTACCAACTCTTTTAATATTTGCATGTATCTGATTACTCTCTGACCTCTTGGTTACCTCAGATAAACTTCAGATAACCATTTGAAAACCCCAACTCTAACCATACTTTTAAGATAAACTAACATTTAAACCTTTCACGTTAAATTGTTTACTTTACAACGTTAAATAGTAAATTTAACTTAAAATTGGCCATGTTCAAACCCTGTTGAAAAACAACTCGATGACTCTTGCCCTTTCTTTCATACTGCTGCAAAATAGTGGTTTGTAGTTTTTAAATTTATTCACATCAACACAGTCCTTTGTGCACAAATAATTAATCACCTCGCAACTGTACAAAATATCTTTTTGCAATGCCTCAATTCTGATTAATTGCACTTTTTTACATTATTTTGATTTTATTTGTTTTTTTAATAGTCGTAGATAGCAAAGTTTATGATTTTGAATTTTCCTTGCATTGATCACTGCTCGTATTGGCACTTTTAATTCTATTCTTTTTTTCTGCCAGAAAACTTTAAATGCAGCAGTATAAAAGAAAAAGGGCGATAGTGCGATAAACCGTGTTTCACATTAAAACCACCCCTTAAACACGAAAGTTTCTTTTTAATTTGCAAAAATGCATTCATCTCGCATCAAAGACTTCAATAATCATTTATAGGTATTTGAAATTTCATGAAAATGGGTTGAAAATTAAATCTCGCTTTATGCTTTGTTAAGCCATCCCTGTTGTCTAGCCATCCCTGTTGTTGAGCCTTCCCTGTTCACGATTTATCGCACTATCTATCCTAGGCACTGACGTAACTCCTAAAGATATCAAATTACAACAGCAGTCACGTGATTTAAAAGTGCTGCAAAGTCAGCGCAACTCTGTGTTCTTGTCCGCGTACGGAGAAGAGACTGGAGAAGAGGCTACGGAAGACATTGAGAAAGTGAAGTCGTCTTCGGACGTTTCTGATGTTTCTCTTCCTAAAGACATCGAGAAACGGCTGCGTTCGGGAACAGTAACAATGCGAGATCGTAAGAATAAACTAGAGAAGTTAGACTTGAAGCCACTAGCTTTTGAAGTGCCAAAGGTTCCTGCTTCTCCAAAGAAAGTTGAAAGGCGAGCCCCAGACGGAGAGGAAGAGATAAGCATACAAGATGGACTCAGCTCACCACTGAAAAAGTTTTCAAGAAAAAGCCACAATGAATCTCGATTATCAGGGCATGGCGCTACGGAAACTAAACGTTTTTCATCTTTTGGCTACGCATCAGAGTCTGACGAGAAGTCGAGCCAAATCGATTCAGATTCAGAAGTTCAGTACCCTACTGTTATACGCAAAAAGCCGCATCAGAGCCGCGAGGGTTTCGATGATGCTTCTTTTGTCATGAACCCAAGCTACGATGCATGGGAAGACTCGAATGCTAATGACTACCAAGAGAAACGAAAGTCGCGGACCCCAAGAAAGGAGGTACCTTCTCCTAGGCATTCTTATGAAGAACACAGAAATAGCCGGACAGCTCAAAGTTCCAGTGATCTTAATAGAAACCAAGACCGGTCTGAAAACCCAGTCCGCAGTGGGACCATCTCACCAGAAGATCTGAGAGCGAGGCGGGCAAGTCTGCGGAAATCAAGAAATCACGAGGACGAATACAGAAAAGCACATGGATATCGAAGTGAAGGTGAAGCTTCAGCAAGGGCACATAATAACAAGGTTGCTGATCGAGTCAGGGCTCAATCATCAGATGAGACTTCTGATGCTCCAAGGAATCTGAAACGAAAGTCCGTCAGCACCACATCACTTAGATATAATCAGTTTAGTTATGAAGACAATGATGACGTTTTTGAGAGGGAAAATGAGTTGGTTGACAGGCGATCCTCGAGACACAGTTCCCAAGGAGACCTTCGTGAAAAAGATTATAATCGAACAGGTGTCAGGCGGCGTTCTGGGAAAGGCAGAGTTCCTGGAGACAGAAGTGATGACGATCGACGATCGCGTGGGAGTCAGCGCTCTTTAGCAAATGGAGATAATCGAAGCGATGAATGGGAGGTTGATGTTGACGTAGTGTCGGTCCCATCGACACAGAGAGTTTATCATGATGATGAAAATGAGCGTGATTATAGAAGACTTGTTAGGGATCTAACTAAAGGCCGTTCGCGTACTATGTATGATGATGAGTATAGAGACCGGGACATGGCTGATAAACGCGCTCGTTCAAAAAGCCAAAAAGGTTTGTAGCAGGCGAATTTTGTCCCCTGGAAAGGTCAGAAGGACTCCTTGTAGCCGACACGAAGCAACGCAAAGTATTCTTTCAGTGTTGGTGCAATTATATAGGGGCTGTCATGGTTGAAAGGGTTAAAAAAATTTGCGCCAAACAAAGATGATAATGTCTTGTTGTTTGATCGCGTAATCTTTTTGGTTCAATGTAGTTCTGACCTCTGTTTCTGGAACAACATGCTATGATCTTGGTGATGAATAATAATTCCTGTTGTTCTTATTTAACGAATTGCCACGTCATGAATAGCGGCACCAAGGGGTATCCCCACCCCCTCCCTAGCCATTCATTTGCCATTATATTAATCACGGTATTCTATTATAAAATGGATGGGAGCTATTTATGTTTATAAATTGTTGCTAATGGAAAACATTGACCTAAAAAGGTGCAGGACAAAAATTTGGTGCGTTTATAGTTCAAAAATAGATCTAGCCACGAAAGGTTTTCGCAAAGCCATTGCAAAAAAAGATAATGTGATTACTCGACTACGTCACAGTGTCTGAGTTTGATTGTTTATTTTTTAGCCACGGCACGAGCTAGTGACAAACCGGGCCTAAGCAGCTTTGAATTAGCTATGGTCAGAGACAGAAGAGAGAGTGGACAGCGGTTGTTAAACAGTGATACGGCATCAGTTGCGCAGTCATCACGTTCACTTGCATCACAGGCTTCCAAAAAACCAAAGTCGAATGTCGACAGGTACGCTAGTCTATTTCCACTCAAAAGTCTTTTTGTTATGAAAGAACGTTTGGCCTATTCATGAACAGAGCAACATTGAATAACAAATATTGCATGCAAACACCATTATGATATTACCTAAGTGCAAAGAATTTTTTCTACATATGATTGTTAACTAACTGTAATTGAAAATAATGTAATTATACCATTTTTACGTGGTATAAGCTACTTCTTTATGAAGACACCTGTCTAAGGAGGCAATTTAATTTTCTTTTCAGGAAATCAACGAAAGATCCCTTGGAAGAGCGGTCAAGTAGCACAATGTCAAAGCATTCCGAACCTTCCGACAATGATGCGGACAAGTCTGGTGAGGAGTCAGAGGAGGAGGGTAAGCTGATGAGAGGAGCGGCCGCGGCGCCATCAATTGCCAGTCATTATGCAAATGACCCGTTCTATAAAAACTGGCGCAACTCTTTAGATAAGAAAACGCGCAAGGCAATTCTCACGGAGTATCATGATAAAAATAAAGCTGGAAAGCGTGATTCTGTTGACAGCTTTGGCTCAAGACCTCACCGCTCTGCTTCAGAAGAAGGTCTTGATCGCATCGCGCGGCCGCGTGTTAGGCCTGGGCGTGCAGATCTTTCGGAGAAGAAGAAACTTGCTCAGTCAGATCCATATTTGAACCAAGAGCCAGCCCCAAGTGTGAGTTCGTTCACACCATCTGGCGAAGGTGATCGACCGCCAAGAGGAAGACCTGGAAGAAGGCCAATTGACAGGGCGGCTGCCCGCTCGGAGCCATCACTCAATGCCCAAGATTCTGATTCAGATCCAGAAAACGGCTTCCCGCCACCTTACGAAGATGAGGGTGGAAGGAGGAGGAAGAATAGTTTTCTGCGTGCAACAAAAGGGTCAGCGCAGAGCCTTCGAAAAGGCAGTCTGGACAATCTGGATGATGCTGGCCGCGCTAAGAGAGATCTTGTCGCAGAGCTTGATAAGGCAGCAAATTATTATACCAGGGCGCCTCCACCGTATGAAGAAAACTCTGATTTCGAAGCAGACCCTAGATCTCCTCCAGCCTATACACCGAGACAAGATAGCAGCGATGATTCACGTCCTAATGTTGGATATAACCGAGCGAAGAGAAATTGGCGCCCGCAGCGGCAAAATGGCGACCGGCGGGATGTATCGTCGCCGATGGGTTCTAGGGACCCTTCCAATAGAGAAGACGACGATGTTGATGGACCATCACGGACTTCAATGACGCTTGTATGAAGCATGTATTGCAGTGTTGCAGATGTGGAAATATGACTGAAGTAAGATTTTCTGGCAGTGCAAACAGGAGCATCAACTGTAAAGCTTCTTGTAAAAAATAATTTTAAATGGAAGTCGGTTTAGCTTCTTGTTGCGCTTTTACCGCACAGTACGGACATCATGTGCATTTAGATAAACACTTCGCTTCATTTTAAGGTGTAATATGTTGAGAAAGGAATTTTTTCGTCCTTGTTGCCTAGTTATATATTTTTATTAGTAATTTTCCACGCATTCTTAGATATTGCTACTTTTGAAAAGTAGAGAAGAGACATGAAACAAAGGCTCGTTATTAAACTTGGATTTGACTTAGCAGATTTTGTACATTGGATTGGTTATTGGTTATGGCCAGAGCTTTCCAAAAAGTGTCGCCATTTTGATATCAGCTGGCAGCCTCCTTCCTCGCGTCAGCTGCTGTGCCTAACACTCAAGGAGATAACTGGCACCAGATCTCTCTTAGATATAACTTTAAACACACTTTGTCATGAATAGTAAATTGTGTAGATGATTTTGTTTTGTCTATTGTAATTTAGTTTGCTATACAGCTTAACGCTTTTTACAGGCATAAATGTTAGAATAAATGAAAAGATACCGGAGATCCTAGAATAACTTTAACAACCATTCGCCTAAAAATCATCATTGATAATCCGTCAATGAATTGCATGGATCAATGAATTTCAAACATGTCCTTGCTCCAAACGTCGGATTGCAACTGCACCGCACAATGAATCGCTTGTGTAATTTACACAAATTTATTTTGCGCAATCTGCTTGCAATTTAGAATGCGTGATATCTTTTACAAGCTCTCGTACAACGAAATTAACCCTTGTCCTCATCAACTGCAAGTTGTCCCTATCCATTTTACTGTACTTTGCAACGTGTTTGCCCTGCAGGAATTATCTTTTCCCTTTTTGTCAAATTTTTATGAAGTTCTTGCTTAGGTCGCACAGACAAAGAGACGCGAAGCCTTTTCTTTATTTCGTTTTAAAGAGATTTATGTGCGCGTTCACTATGACAGGAAACAACAGGAAACAACAAGAAACTAATACAAACGAGGAGAAACGATAAGAAAACAAAATGAAACGATTTGTCATTTAGCAGAAACGACTAATCTCCAAAACGAGGGAAGCTTGTCTATCCACGTTTGCACGGTGATCTTTCTTGCAGTGGCCTACGTGGTCGGTCATGTCCTTCTCCAAAGCGATCGCTGTTGTCTCAGATCAAGTTATGGAAAGCTCAGTGATATAGTTTTTTATACAAAAACAACAGAAGCTAAAATAACGAACTGTAATATACGAGAAAAACAAGCTGTATAGGCTGAAAATCTAGTGCTTCTGAACAATGTTTGAATGTTTCGGGAGAGGGCCTAACTCAAAGTTTTTTCACTTTCTTTTAGGTTGGTAACATTTAGGTTGCAATGAATTTTTACTACACAAATAACATATTAATCACTATCATCATAGCTATTAAGGCAGGGTTTCCACTAAATAAATTAAATTGCAGCCGCAGTTGAATTTTTTCCTACTAATTTCTGTATATTTCATAGTCGTTTCTACATGTTTCTGCTTGTTGCCTTGTTGTTTCCTACTCTTCTCTTGTTATAGTAGCCACGGATTTATGTGGCAAAGAATTAGTTTTATGCATCCTATGACCTTATTTATCAAAGGCAATGGTTTTGTCAGTTTTTATGTTGATTTTATTTTCCCTCGTTATTCTTTATCTGAGTAATCTTGTATAGTGCAACCAGAGTCTCCCAATGTTGAAAACGATCTCATTTCTTATTCGTGCGCCTGCATTCAGAAACCTTTGATGTCTCATATTCTGGTATATTGAAAAATTAGGTAAAAGTTGAGTGGTGAGGCAAGCACAGTGAATTTACGAGTTTCTTGATTCAGCGACTAATTTCAAAATGAGGCAGTAGCAATACCCCCACTCGATTTAACTTCGGCCACCAGATGTCAACTTGCTTTATCTTGTATTCAGGATTCACCTTGGCAGTTTTGCTTTTGAAGCACACTAGCAAAAGTGATGCCTTCTTCACCAAACAAGATGGCATCCATAAGAATGGTTTAGCATTGGTGTTTCCACTCAAACTGTATCTTCTAGTAACCCTTTAATTGGAGACATACTCTATTACTTACCAGAGGTGGCGCCAGAAATCTTCCGACAGATGGGGTTGGAGCTTCCGACAGGGGGGCTAAAATAGCTAAAATAAGCTGTTTTCGTACGTTATTTTGTCAAATTTGCTCTGACAATAACCTAAAATTTCCTCCGATGGGGGGAGATAGATGCTTCCGACTGAGGGGCTGTAGCCCCCTTAGCCCTCCCCTGGCACCACCACTGTTACTTACACAATTACATCAAACACTAAACATTAAACAACCCAAACAATTTTTTTATCAGGTGGCAAGCTGAGTCAGTCCTCATGCTTAAAAATCCTTCATTGAAAGACCCTGGATAAATTAATAATGCAGCATGATAACTGAAAAGTTATATGCCTAAGACCTTGTCCCGACTAACAGGGCTGGGGTGCCATAGCACATATCAACAGAAACTGCTACAAACAAAAAATAGCAAATTTAACAACTAAAATACACTTTGGATAATTGATCATGGGTCACACTAAGTTGTAAGGATGCTTCGTTGCAATATCGGACCAGTTGTGTGTTTCTTACTAGAATGTAACAGAATCTTCTGGCAAAGTAGGCATAACACAAAGAAACATGTTATTTGAATTATTTCAAAGTACATCATTTCAGATTGAATCTTTTACATCTATTTTGAATTTCTTCCAGTTTTTAAAATCTTAAATAAGACACAATTCTCCGTTTTAATTTAGGTTGAAAGGATAAAATAATTTTTAGTTTCAATACAAGAACTTTGATTCTTCAGTACTAAACACAAATTATATCATAAAAGTACAGTAGACTCCCCTTAAAATCACTCTGCTAAAAGCAACACCACTGGTTACAGCAATATAAAATTGAGACCCAAATATGCAAATTCAGTTTAATTTAGCTCTTGTTATTCTTTTCAATTTGGCTCTGTTCACAGTCACATTCTGTTGAAAGTCTCAACTTTTCAAGAAACATTTGATATGACCATAACTGGAGTCTACTGTATAAAACAGAACATCCACTAAAATTTAATAAGCAATGTGTAGAAATGCATTGCAGAAATGCATAGTGTATAAGTGTTATATTATGCTGGTGCTGTTTACTCCCGACCAAATCGGAAAGCAAACTGCCACCCTGGGTTGTTTTGCTGTACTTCTCTGTTGACTGGCGCGTTTCGAATTGAGTTTAATCTCCGACAGAGTCTATTGACTGCATCAAATGGACTAATGACGAGCATCCACCAGAACATAATATCGCAAATGAAGAATGGAATGAATGGCCAAAAGATTTTTAACAACAAGCTGATCCCAAGTACATATATCAGGTTTTTTAACATCAGTCCTGGCAAAGTCCTGTGAATGAAAAATATTTTATTTTTAGCTATATGGATCTTTTTTAGCAACTAGTGACAAAGATGTGACTTAATGCAAACAAATTTTTCTGTTCATACTGCAACATTTTAGCCAATGATTTTCTCAAAATATTTTTATCATTGCATCATGGATGTTGTGGAAATATTTTTGACCAAATAATGAAAATTTTCATTCATATAGAGAGAAAACTCAGTAGTCAATCAAAAAGGCAGTCAGAAACAAACTATATTCCCATTTCAACAGCATTCTAACAATTATTATTTGATCTTGCTGAGTGCTATTTGCAGTGACATACTTCTTAAAGGAATCAGTCATTTAGACAAATTGTTAGACAAATACTCGGAGTTTAAGTGGGGGGAGGGCATGATAAATAAATGCAGAGGGCTTTATTACATGAAAAAGGTAATTTACTGCCAATGGCTTTGAAAAGGTGAACAATTTGAATTATACTTCAGCTTTTTGCCTGACACTCTTCAGAGTATAAAATGTCAAAACATAAATCAGAAAGTTTGCCAGATCAAGAGCTCAAGTATGATTCAAATGTTTGCTTTTTCAAAATCATTTTTCAACTTTGTACCACAAAATGAATGCTTGGAGAGAAAGCCTACTTGTAGCCTCCAGTTATTATCCATCCAATGTAAGTCAGCTCCAGACATCCCATGGCTACTGCATGTACAATGACAATTCTAGAAATCCAGTAGTTGATAGCAAGGTATTGGGATGCAAAATATGCGATCATATAATAAGGGGATGTCATCGCCCAAAGTATAAATGAATGCCACTGCTCCCATGATGGCTGTATCTGCAAAAAATTGGTTTTGGTGGTAAATTTTTCAAGAAAGTTTGTGGTGAATAGCATGGAACATAAAAGAGCTCCAACTGATTGACGGTAGGAGGAATGAGGCTAGAGCAATTTGAAAATGATTTTGGGAAACCACTCCAGCCATTCAGGAAATACTGCCATCAATAAACCAGAATATAAATTTGAAAGAATTATCCTGCCATATGAATGTAGTGCTAACTGCTATTGTTGGTTTTATCTAAATTTGTTGGTTATTTAATATAATGACTTAATCTTCTTACCAATTCACAATAATTCTTATAATAAAACAAGAGTGCATACAATTTTGGAAGGCAACAAATTTTGTTTAACATGAATTTCTACATTTCAAATAATCATACATCAAGTTTATACTATGAGGAATATTTGCAATGAATACCTTGCTGCCAGGATCCTTATCATCCCATGAAGCAATTTTTTCAATGGCACATGTATCTTGAAGGAATGGAAGGAAAATTTCATGATAATCAAAGACATATAGATACAGGAACATTGTACGAGGAAACTCCCTGATTCCAATCTGAAGGAACAGTGCTTTTGCTCTGTTAGCTGCCTAGAAAAAAGGGAATATAACAGATTAGAAGCACCACTATTTTTTGATGTGAACATACAGTGAACGTGTATTTTTTTCAAAACTTTTTGAAATATTTGGCATTTTTGAAAATAAAAGCAGCTTTCTTCAAGCTTTTAGAAAATAAAAGCAGCTTGGAGCAGCTTTCTTCCAAATAGCAAGTTAATAAATAAAAAATTATCACTTATTGTTGAGGTGGCTTCACACTAAGAAAAATCAACCTCCTTCCAGTCCCAAACAATATTGGTTGCAGACTCTTGATTTAAAATCAGTTCATTTTCATTAGCCATTTTTGAACTATTAATATCTTAGTTCAAATTTCTTTATAAAGCGAATACACAGATAGATAATTTGAAGAAATTCTAGTACACAGTTAATTCAGAACAGTTGCCTGATGATCCATTGCGCATTAAAATTTGAGTAGCAAAACCCTCCTCTTATGTGCACTTAAGACATTTATTTATATTTGAAGATAATGGGCCCCAGAATTCGTCCTTGTGTAACTACTATCTGGATTTAGTAAGAGTGGAAAATCTTTATTTTTCTGACAAATTGATATCCTAGCATGAGGTAATCTGGTAAGAAGTAATCTCTAAAAAGAGGTAATCTGTAAGCTCACTGCCCATTATATTATAGCTTGGAAGTTATCCTATTAGTGGCAATTTGGTAAATGCATAAACAGTTGCAAAATCTTAAAATGCAAATTAGTTAAATAATGCAACCTAGTCAAAAGATTCTTTAAAAATCAGCCTAGTATGCTAAATTGAAAAACACTCACTTTGAATTCCCAGAAATCACCTGGTCTTTCTTTTTTCCTCAGCTGAACTTTGGCCAAAGCATCCATAAAAACTCTTCTGTGTAAGCGTAAATGCATGTTGATTGGTGTACCCATTAAATCTTCTTCACTTATTCGCAACAACAGATTTCCATCAATGCCAGCTTCCTTGAAGCGCTTATCATAAACACCTTTTGCCCAAACCCCTTGCTCTCCAACCCAATATGCAACATCATCAGGTGTCCATTCAGTGACAATTTTGCTGTCCAACAAAACATCAGGACCTCCTACCAATTGTCTCCAACCAAGAGTGATGAGCTAAATTAGGCAAATCATAAAAAGTGAGATACATCCTTCACTGATAACTTTCAGACCTGTTTTCGTTAGAGTATAGTAGAATATTGACATAGCAAACTTTCATGGACCTAGAAAATGGTTTGTTTATAATCGATGTTTGTTGGGAGCATGTTATAGATTAATTTGTTAGGGCCCAGGTGGCATCAAGGGGACAAGATCATTATATCAATAAATTTTCTAATTTCATTCCATACAATCAGGACTCCACTTTTATTAATAACGTAAACCAAAATGGAAGAATTGAATAAGTAACTATACAATATTTGATTCAAATAAGTCTTTGGTAGCCCAAAATTTGAAGATATGTTTCTGCTGTTTTGTGCCATCTTCAATAATTAAATCCGAAGACAAAATAAATTTTTAAAAAGCATTCTTTGTTTAGCTAAATCTGCAGAACAATTTTGTCTCTTTTCTAGATCATAATCATATTGATTCTAGCCTGGATTTTGCTTAAGATTGTTGATAAAGATTTCAGAAATCATTAACTCAAAATACAAATATCATTAGAGAAAAACAATGCAGGTTGCCAAACTGCAAACAACATTTCTATAAAAAACTGATGCATGTTTTGTTTTCAAAAAGGATAAAACATCTGCTTACAACAATCACTGCAATGATTATTGACAAGAAAAGGAACAATCTTCCACAACTAAAATGGTTGATAGCTGATCTTCTGTTGGATTGACTGCTTTCAGCATGCTTGTCAAAGGCAGCTATTATGGACCCATAGTTGGGTAGGGATTCTTGTGTAGCTCTCTTCTCTGCAACTTCATCAGGGAACAGCCTTTCCAAAGTATTTCTAAACAAGATTTTTCAAAAGTTGTATTTCATTGCATAAAAAGGATTAGAATCTACATTTACTTTCAAGGAAGATTTTAAGAAAAGTAGAGAATCTCCATGATTATCATTATGTAATTCTTAGTAAAAGAAACATAAAGAGATTAGCAATACTAACAACAAGCATTAGCAATTACAATAAAATATAACAAAGTAGATCAAGGTACAAAAACATCATTTATATCAAAAGGCATTCAGTAAAGGGCATTCACCCTAGGATGTTTTATGTTACATGGGGTCTTTGGCTTGCCCTTTTGGGACATCAAGAATATGATCTGTCCTGCTAGTAATTACAATACAAAATGTGTCGTTATGAAGGTTTTATCTTGTATCTGGGATAAAAATTTTGTCTAATATACCCATAACCCTATTATAATCTCCATCTCATTTTAAAAAGGCATTACTAAAAGTTTTTTTTCTATTAAAACTTTTATTTGTGTCACCATTCATATATTATTGCAGATTCATACCAGAAAAAATTCTATAAAAACTTTTTCCATTACCTTAAGGTAAAGTTAATTTTTGGAAACTCTGCGAATGGTCTTCTACATTGCAAACATTCTGTCTTTCTCGATGTACTCAGCCAATTTGCAAGACAAAATCTGCAGAATGTATGGCCACAAGCCAATGTTGTTGGATCCAGCAATATTTCATAGCAACAACTGCAAGTAAAATCATCTTCAGTTATCTCTTCTTTGTGTTTTTCCTCATTGTCTTGCACCTTTTCCTCTGTTTTCCTCCATTTGGGCTGATCTGCCATCTACAGTATCATAATAAGTATTGCTTAATTTGCGTTGCATCATTTCAAGGCACTTAATGCTATCGTTGCATGATTTCTTGTGATAAAATCAACTAACTGGAGCGCTGAGTGGAAATGGTATTAATCCTACTCCTTTTTTTTAATGCTCCTTGAGTAAATACTCCAGATTGGTTGTAAAGCCTTTAGGAGTTAACGATTGAAGATTTAAGAAGATTACCTTCATGACTTTTAACAAATAAAAATAATGGCTATTCAAAGAGGGAAGGGACCTGCGTGTGTGCCCGACACAATCCTACAAATACACTACACGCTTTTTTATAAGAACACTTGGCTCCAGTTTCACCCTGGTGTTTCTTATTTTTTCATATAATTTCACCCTCGCTTGTCTTTTATTTTGTTTCTTATTTTTAATGGAAATTCCAGTACATAGTAGTGTCCGGAAAAAACATGTTCATGATAAAGTAATGCCATTTTGCAGTAGCGCCAGACAATTTAGAAACACGATACCGTACCGTCCCATTTTACATAATGATGTTATGACAAAATACCGCATCTAATCTATAAGGAAAGCTTTGAAATTTGCCTAGACTTAGTGCCCCAGATCCAGCTTGCTTTATACATACATACCTCTTCCTTCATTTTGTTTCTTCAGGACATTGACCTCCTACAACTAATAGTCGAATACCCAAAGAAGACAGCTACATCACAGAATAAGGGCGACATCATGCTAAAATTTTCAAAACAACGTCATTTTTACGCCGCCTCATATTCGGAACGAAGCTACACAGAACAAAGTGACGAAATTTCATGATCATTTGGCTCATCGATCAAATACATACTGTAGAAATCTATAGCAATTTTTAAATTAAGATCATAGATCTACAAATAATGTGGTAGAATACCTCCAGATATGCAAAATCAGGTAAGTATATTCAAAACTGACTGAGGTTTTTCAAAAAATTTTCAAGGTTGTGTCTTCCCTCTCTCCATTAAATCTTAGTTGTAACGTCACAGTGGCGGATTCAATTTGTCCCTCCCTGGCCGATTTGAAGCAAGTCTGGTGCCTTTTTTTGAAATTGTGCGCCCCTTTTGAAGAATGAAAATCAGGTGACAAAGGTTTCTGAGACTTAAAGCTTAATTTACTTCAAGGATTACCTCAAAGTATACAACAATTACAATGAAAATTTCCTTATAAAGTGAATAGAGAGCCTTCTTTGAGTAGTAAGGGTCTGAAATTGTTGTATACAGCGTACACTCGTTACCAATTTCTGAAAATTTTTTCAGCGCCCCCACTACTTACTGCCCCTCTTTCAAATTTGCTCTGGATCCGCTCCTGGTTACATGCATTTTCAAACACATTTTTGCGTTAAGAGGTAGCTGCCACTGGCTGGACTAATTTCGATTCGATTAATGCCATCCTAAACTTGTTGGTTGCTGCCTGAGTTTCTTTCGGTTTAATTTTAAGTCTTTGTTTTCAATGTAATCTTGTAAGTCGTCAATATAAATGAGAACTAATAAGGGCCCAAGGACGTTGCCTTGCGGGACTCCACTCCCTGCGGTTGAGCAAGGAGCCTTAAATCCATTCAATATTACTCTCTGCTCTTTTGTCTTGGAGGAAAAGAGTGATCCATTTGAGTACATTACCTCTAATTCCATATGAATTTAACTTCGAAAGAAGTCGTTGATGGGGTACGGAGTCAAATGCCTTTGCGAGGTCAAAGAAAATTTCATCGATGCTGTTACCTTGATCGAGTGGAGATGTTTATTCTTCTAAAACTTCTGAAAACTGTGTTACACAGGAACGTTTTGCGCTGAAACTATATTGATCAATCGAAAAAAATCATTTGCGTCTAGAAGTTTTGCAACTTCAGTTTTGATAGCCTCAATTTTATCAACTTCAGATAATCTATAATGCCAAAATAAAGTGAATATTTTGCAACGCATTTTCAAATGAATCACATTCAATGGAAAATGTCAAAATCATGTAGATTGTTTCGTTTCTCCGGTGACCTTCTAGAATTTCAAAAGCCTTTAAAAACATACTGTTTGTATACTGACATTCATATAATTTCATACCATAAGAGACATAGCTATTTTTAAGTCCACTCTGTATTTAGCCCCCTACTCCATTGCCCTCTGTCTCTATCAAGCCCCTTCCCTTACGTTGTACGAGATGGATAGTTTACACAAATACAATAATTTAGATGGAAATGGATTACATAATCAGGGGTGGCACTACCCTGGGTGCCAGAGCCTCGCGATCCCTTCCCCCGTTCTTCATCCCTTGACTCTCGGAGGCTCTGGCACCCAGAGTAGAGTGGCACCAGGCACGTAAATAACAGGGGGCGTGGGGGGCGTAACGCCCCCCCAAAGTTTGGAAAATCCAGTTACAGTTGGAAAACGTAACGGTTGATTTGGAATTTTTTTCTTAAGACCAAACTTGTGAATTTTTTATTTTAAGAAGTTTTTTTATTTCAAATATAAAAATTCTAAACATCAAGATTCACAGGCTGAAGCTGACCCATCCAATCGTTTTCTATTGTGAATCCCGTCTCCACTGGATCCAAATTGCACACTTGCCCCGTTTTCTTTTTCTTTCTTTCTGACGGGAGTTGAATCAAATTACGAACAGGCAAGGTGAATTTCCGGATAAGAAACTTGAAACTTACAGTTTGGAATAATAATACCCGCATTGATCAGAAAATATTAGAGTGGGAATTTTTTTAAGAAACTACGAGTAGTTAATTCAATAAAAGATTAAGAATCTTTCAGTACTAAAAATTCTCAACGCTTCTTATAAAAAACGAGTTTATGCTAAACTCCCCCTGTTATTTGTTAATGTCCTTGAGTCCTTATCATAAATTCCTATGACAAAACTGCTGTGAAGCAAGAACACATTGCAAAAACTGCAGTAGAAGTATTTGATCAAAGAAGAGTGTTTCATCTTTCGAATCAGGCATATGCACAAGTTTGTTCTCAAATCATCATTTCTATTGTAAAGAATGAAAAGGCATTTGGCCCTCTGAAAAATGTAAAGGTAGTTTTCTTCGATCAAGATCAAAAATAAAAGGCTCAAATTCTTGGTGCTTCTATATCGTGAAAAAATGTATTTTAGATAAAATTGATCAATTGATCTGAAAGAATACTACTAATCATTAAGTATATCTAATACTGGTTTTGCTTAAATGTTGCTTTACTTCTTACAGTAAGTTTAATTTTTGTTTCATGGTAATCAAAATTTTGAGATTTAGGCTTTTATGCTTTAGGCTAATTATTGAGTAAAGATTTGGTAATTATAAAGAAAATAGAACTATGGTGTTCGGGCTATTTACAAATATCAATTTGGTAGGTACAACAGATTTACTGGTCGAATGAAAAATTTTGCACTTAAAGTTGGAATTTTCATCCTTCCACGCCCCTCCAAAATTAGCAACTTGTTTTCGTCCCTGAGTGGCACCCGCCCCTATCCTCGAAAGTCTGATTTCAATGATTTTGAAACAGCTGGTCAAATGTTTTTAAATACCCAATAAAAACTACAGGTAAAGAAAATTGTAAAAGGTACAAAGTATTTTGTTACTATGCGATCAAACAGTTGTTTTCTTCGTGGTGCAATCTTCGATGGTAAAAAGTTACTATGGCAAAATAATACTATGAGATCTCCTTGACTAGAAAGCGACGACCCAAATTCAACTGCATAATAGTATATGCAATGGCGTAACAGAGGCATCTAAGGAAAGCTGAGACGGGTCCCTATTTAGCGACTGCAAGAAAGTCCTATCCAACGTTATAGAGCATGTCAAACACAATGCAAAAATGAAATGATTTTTTCGCTTTTAGGAGGAGTCGAGTTCGTTACACAAGCTTCTGTTGAAGAACAAAAGAATGAAAGTTTGAAGTTTTTGAAAATGAGCTAAACTTGGGCGAAATCTTTAAAACGTTGATATCAAAATGATTTGGGGACCCCTTTTGTTTGGGGACTCTTAGTTATCGAGCTGAGGTGCCCCAAAACTGCGTTTAGCCACTGAGTGTATGTCTAGCCTGAGTTTCAGACTCTGACTAAAAGAAGCAAGTATGGGATCATGCCAGCCCTATGTATATATATTGTTTCGTTTATAACATTTGTGCCAATATTTTTAGTTTCTAACAATGTTGTTGATGAAATATTATTTATTGGTAAAATTTGGGGGCGTGACTAAGTTTACGATACCGATGGTAATGTTTTGGAGGGCCATAACGAGGCTTGCCGATAAAGAGACAAATTTGTTGTTGGTTTCAAACTCAGAGTTCACTACTTTAAGTTTCCTTGTCGAAACAAATCGTGGATTTAAACAAGCTCGAAGATGTCATAAGGTTCCTTTATTGCAGTCAAGATGTCCTACGATGACGGTGTTATAGCTACAAATGATGATGCTGCAAGCTGCAAAAGGTACGTACAAAGAATGTTACTCTGTATGTTGTGATGTTGCTGCTGGGTTGGGTTGGACCTTCAAGCCAAGTATTAATTATTTACTCCGCTTTATTGCCGTTTGTAGCCGCATTTTGTCAATGCTAAGCTAGATACTTCTGTTCAAAGGTCATTGTTGTATTATTTTCAAATCTTGGGTACCAATTGGCTTGATTACTTTCCTCCACCCACAGGATAGATGACCAGATCCAAGGTTTTCAGTTTAAGTGTGAAGTGAAGAAAACCACTGACACCTCATACAGTCGGCTGTAGACCGATTTCGCCCCACATCAAAGCCGACCAGTACAGCTAGACTAGGGCCATCAATTAGGCTGTCAGTGGCAATGCATGTGGGAGGTGGTGTAAAAAGGAAAATAAGTGTGCATGAGTCTTAAAGACTTGACAATCTCTTTAAGCAATTTCACCAAGAGCTGCATCACATGCAATTTCATTTATTGATAAGTTGCAAGCCACAAGTAACAATATCAATCTTATCAATAAATTTATGATATAAATGCATCAAAATCTGTGAACAAAAAAGAGTTTGTACAATTGTATTGTCCAAGGCTCTTGTTATGTACAAAAGAGACAGGTTGTTTTTGGTTGAGTGTGAAAGAATTGTGGGTTGTTTTACATCAAATTGCAAGTTCTCTTTTGTGCAATTTTCGATTGCATAATTTGCCTGCCATTTTAGCAAGTTTCATGTGCTAGTAAAATCAAGCTTGCTTAATCAAGAAACCCAAAATCTATCTGTTTGAACCACTGTTGGAAAACAAGAAAGCTATTCCCAAATAGAGAATTGTAATGACAATGAATAGAAAACACCAATTCAGACTAACACGAAGCAATTTCAAGGATCATATAAGGCAGTTATATAACTGCAAAAAACCGCTTGCACTCACTTTCATGGAACAAAGTTGTTATCAGATTTTTGAAGCCTTTGAATTTTCAGCTGTTTTGATTTGATTTCACCTGGAAGTGAGTTTCAGATTTCCCACCCTTGAAAACTGAATTATCTGATTCCATAATTTGTAGTTCTAACCCTTGGTATCAAATGGGGAATTATATCGGGATCTATAACTAGGGAAAAGTTACTTTTTGTTAAGGCACTTTCTGGCACTTTTCAATATCAGATGTAACATCCTCTTGATGTACAAATATAACTGCATGATTTTGTGTCACTTTGTTAATTCTTTGTAGTTTTTATTGATTTTAAACTCCAAAATATCTTCGTTGTAGATTTGCAGTTAACAAAGGCTATTGGAAAGATGATTATATTCAATATTTTGTAAGGATGATGCCTGAAAGAAAAGCACCTGAAATAAGCAGAGGTATATATTTGATAGAGTCTTGTAAGTTTTCTAAAAAGACAGGAAACATATTCAGATTGCAAACAGACATATTCTATATTCTGCAATAGTTCAATTAAACCCTGTGTGTGTGGGGGCTATTCCAAACTTTATGTTGAGAAGGGTACTCATTCGAGAAGAGAGACTGTTCAAAGCTCATAATTCTAGACATTTACTTAAATTGGAATTATCATTTCTTTTGTGCAAAAGTTTGGATAGTGAGGAGAACTGTAGTTTAAGGCCTAGTCATTTTCAACCACTGGGTTAGCTTAAAAAGGTTTTCAAGTACTGAAAAATGGGTTAAACAAAAAGCTTATAAATTAAGTTAATGTATGAAACTAGAAATTGTTGTGATAATGCAAAAAACATTATCCTTTAAAACAAGTGGTCTTTCAAATGAATTTGACATGGTTTTTTGGGAGAAGGAGCTTATTCAAAACTCAATGTTTGAATAATTGATACATAGATAGATACCTAAATAAAAAAGCCTAATTACCATCTATATATACCTTAAAATCAAATTAAGAATTTTCTCTAAATTGAAACTCGAAGGCATTCAGAGTAGACGCCTGCTCCAGCCCAACTGAAAAGCTTTTCCCTGCTAAAAGAAAACTTTTCTTTGCCAATTCTGATATTCTTAATTGGAATCCCTCTTTTCATTAAAAAGACTTTAACTGCAACGATTTCCATTTCATGAGCCATGTCTACATATTATAGATGTCAGTGGTTAGCTGCCAATATTTTTACAATGGCCCAACATCCTATGTTATGATTTTGAACCTTCTGCCAATTTAACTTTTTATCATATGTTTATTGCCCATGTATGTTTCTACTGTGTAAAATACCACAATATGAATAAGTAAAAAAAAGACCAAAAGATATACTGCTTGAATCATATGCTTAAAAATATTATTGATAATGATAATATTTAGTTACATATTGATTATAGTATTTCATTATTTGTAACTTTTATTATTGTATGGATTTCTATTTACTGTTTATTTTCTTTCTCCTCTTTAATGACTGAAATATGAATAATATTTACATCAAAATTCTAAATCATTAATTGTTGATCTTTTTCTAGGATATTATGCTAGAGTAGAAGGAATGAAAATTCTTCTGACCCAGTTTTTAGAAATGACAGGCAGGAACTGTCAGGTTGTCAATCTTGGGGCAGGCTTTGACACATTATTTTGGCAACTACATGTGAGTTTGAATTTCTTTTTAATGGCTTAATAGTTTTAAGTAAATAAGCATTTCATATTCATCATAATCTTTGCATACTTCAGTTTGTACATAATTTTATTAGGTTCTATTCGTTAGTTTCTATTTGTTTCTTGCAGGCTGATAAGATGTTTCCAACACAGGGATTCTTTGAAGTTGATCTGAAGCCTGTTGTCACTAGAAAATGCATGGCCATCAAGTAATAACTCTTTCTAATTAATTATATTCAGTATCTAGATACAATAATGTTTTAACAATAATGTTCTGATTAAATCAACTTAGATGTAAGGGTAACAGACACATGAATACTGGGGGACATAAATACTCAGTTGACACACTTCCTTAATCTGAGTAATTTGAAGTTTCAATTCATTATTCTGATGCTTGAATCAAGCATCATAATGCTTATGCCAAGAATGTTCTAAATTCAGAAAATGACTGAACAGTGTTATGTTGGTTCTGTTCTGTTGGGTAAAGATGATTTGCATCATCATTCAAGCAGTAACGTTGGTCTCCTTTTACCATTCAGTATTCTGTTGATAGAATTTGTGCTACTTTCGATAATATGATGTGATCAAAATAAGAGGAACCTGTTCAATGATCATGCTCAAAATTTCATGCTTCTCCTCTGCCACAATAAACCATCTTTTTTACTTTGCAGGTCAAGGAGACAGCTTCATGATGCTTTCCCAGAAGGGGGTTTAGTTATTGGTAAGTTATTAGTTAGTAAGTAAACAAGGTACATCTTCTTATCTATCTGTCATAGTATAAATCTACATCTTAATTTCAATCTTTTTTTCTTAGTCAGGGATTCTCTGTTTAGTATGAATAGATTGATTTAGGATTCATGCTGTATCAGTACAGATGAATGGAATGTGATGCAACTGAAATAAATCTTAAGATATTACAGCGGGTCATGCTATGCCCCCAAATGAGGTGTAAATCAAATATTTTGCTCAAAGGCCAAAAACTGCCCACTTGAGGATTTTTTCCAGGCCACTAGATGGGTAAAAGGTGTATGATGAGCGCACTATCTTGATATGATAAGATGTACAAAAAAGCTGAAGCTAAGATTGAAATATAAAATGGCTTCCATTTTGGTATTTAAGGGGTGAAACCACTAAACTTACACACATGCAGAAAAACGTTTTGAAACATAGCTAGTTAATTGATATTGACAAGTTCATTTAATCAAACATTGTATTTTGTATTTAAATTTTTGTGATAAATACCTATAATTTTTTGTTTTGTGCATTAGTCCTACCACTGTGATCAGTTGTAGTGCACATATTCTATGAATGATAAGCTGAAGCAAATTATCCTTTTAAGGAATCTGAAGTGATTATTTTATGTTTCAAAAATGGATAATACATTAATTAAAAGGGATGACTAAAATTTTGACAGTTTTTGTCTTAATTCTATGAAAACTTAATTATTACAAAAGAAAAAACTTTCCACTTTTGCACTGAAGCAAAATAAAAACAATGATTTAGTGTTACCTATAATGTAATCATCCTTTAGAGGTGTGGGTATTGTTTATTAAATCTCAATTTGGTTGCAATTTTAAGTTTAAGTCTTCAAGATGGATCATAAACTATGTTTTGCAGAAAGATGAAATATGTAATTTTACCAACTTCACTGATTATGGTTTGTTATATGATTTAGAAAATGACGAGGCTCACTCAAGTTTATATCACCTGATTGCTGCTGATATTACCAATGTAGCTCAAATGGAAGATAAGCTGCTTAAAGCTGGTTTGAATCTAAGGTGAGCAAGTTAATCAGTTTGGAAGGGCACAGTTTCACATAAATAAATTACAGTGTAAGCTATGAATGATATTTTAATTCCTTTGGCTAAGTATAGCTGAACAACATCTTTGTGCCTGCAACCCAATAGTTAATAGTAATTTGAGACGGTAGGATTATCAAAGTAATCTTCTAAATTTATGTTAATATATATTTGCATTTGTTATTCTTTTTAAAACAGAGACATTTTCATTGTAAATGCTGATACTTGCTTATTATATTGTATAGTTTCAATAACTTCCTGATAAGCATTTCATATTGAATTGAAAGGGACAACATGTTTAGCTGATATATCTGAATGCAACAAAAAATCCTGGTTGTCCAAACCCTTTCAATCGACTGTGTATAAGCAATTTGCAGACTAGCAAGTCCTCTAAAATATTAACACTTAAGTGGTTTCATAATAAATGATCAGTTTTGCCCGGTTCAATTTTTTTCCTGTTCTGCACTAACTATTGTTGTTCTGCCTTCTAGCATCCCAACTATTTTCCTGGCTGAGTGCGTCTTGATTTATCTCGACCCAAAAGACAGTAATGAAATCCTAGAATGGGTTGCTAGGCGATTTGAAACTGCCATGTTTATCAACTACCAACCGGTGTGTCTTTCTTCTGTTCTTTTTGCCCCTGTGGCACTGATTTTGATTGACAAGTTTCAAATAATATCTTTCAAGCTCAGCTGAATATACAATTTTCTGACTTAGAATTTCCCACTGCAATGAGACTTCTTTTCATTAGAATAGCTTCAATTAATTTTACTTTCTAACTCTTAAAAGAAAAATGCTGCTTTTTATAGCGTATGGTTACCTACAATCATTTCTTTTACAGAATACTCCTATTTCCGCACCCTCTTTCCCCCTTAAACAATGTCGATAATTTAGAAAAAACATAGAATCGCAGAAAAAAGTAATTAACCCCACCCCCTCTATATTCCTCCCTGGCGCCCCCACTGTTACAAGATCCTATACATTTTTGCTTAAGCTTGTCATGTATTCGAGCACCTCAGCGGCGAATTTAAGGGGGGGCAACTGGGGGCAGCCCCTTTTTAGGAAGTGGTGCGAAATGGCGTGAAAAATTTCTGAGATCGATAGGTTAATTTGCTTCAAGGATTACCTCAAAGTTATGTTGTTTATTCCGAAAATGGATCTGAAATCGTTGTATACAGCATACTCTCGTCATCAATTTTCGAAAAATTTTCAGCGCCCCCACCACCAACTGCCCCTCCTTCAAGTTTGCTCTGGATCCGCCCCTGAATCCCCTACGTCGTTTTGTAGTAAATCAACATTGTTCAAAGGGGGGAAGGGGAATGGCTTAATTTGCCCTTGGAAACTGATGTTAGTGTACCAAGACTTTTGGCAGGCATTGTATGGACATTTGATAGCAGGGACTTAATTTTGAAAATATCTGTCTACATAAAAACAGTTTGATGTTTGTTTGATATTGGACATATGAAATATTTTGATTTGAAATGAATTTTCCTTTCTTAATACACTATTCAGAAACATTCATCGATTGTAAAAATTGCTACCTGTACATTTATTCACCTCCATGAATAATTGATTTGACTTTAATTTCTTCATTAGGTTAATTTGACAGACCGATTCGGGCAAGTAATGCTGGAAAATTTACAGGTGTGAATTTAATCAAATACTTTAAAATATTAAGTCCAACAGTCAAATAATAAAAATATTGTTTAATTTGTCTTGATTGTTGGGTTTCATAGTTAAATCAAAGGCGTTCTCCATGATCACACCTTTGCCATTGATTTTTTCATTTTTTAAAGTGCGCGGAATATCAGCATCTTCTAATTTTTTCTTATTGCTTCTGCCAAGGGAGTGACTTAAATATAATCAACGTCATAATAGCTAATAAAGTTTTTGTTAGTTGCTTTATTGGATCAAAGAGGAAAGATTTTAATCGAAGGAAGGAATTCATGCATTTTGAGCTTTTGGTCAGAGGAAAAGGAATTTGCAAACCTTTGTAACTGATTTACAGTTTAACTTTGAAGCTTCTAACAAGGCTGGTATTGGTAAAGGAGCCAGATAAAATAAAATAACTTTCTATAACCCTCGTTTTTTTGGAAACCTCCGAATTGTTTACTTTGTGCCTAGAATTTTTTTAATATCAAAACATTTTGTTTGGTAGCATTTTGTTTTGGAATACTTTATTTTGCTTGCTATTTCTTGATGTTGTTGTTCTGCACTTTACATTACTATGTATAGCTCAACGTTTGTCTTTGATATGTAAAAGAGGACAGTACCGAGTTGCTACACTGAGTTCAACTGCCACAATCCAGTTGGCTGACGATGGTATTTGGCATGAGACTAAGTTTGTTGCCGACCGCGTTAAGCTTAAAACTCGCTGTAACTACTCAAAGACGTTGTGTTCTACGCTTGAAAAAACCAGTGTAGCAATAATTTTGATTGAAACTGAATTAAGAATCATGAATTCGTCCATGACTAGACTTTATCGCACTTTTTATTTGAAACCAATCCTTAGAGTCGACACTGCACACTCCTTGGAGCTAAAGGCCACCCAACAGTTCATCACCAGGTAAGTAGCACCACATAAACCAAAAATAAAAGCATAACGTGGTTCTGTTGATGCAAATATATCACCATTACTTGACTGAAGTGTCTTTTGGTTTTTATCAATCATGGGTCATTGCAGATAAAAAATCAATTTAAAACTAAACAGTTTCAATGCTAACAACAAGCACATAAAGCGACATGCATCTTCCAGATGGAGACTAGGCTCTAGTTACGTCATGTTACAACCAACATAGCGCTACTCGATGTTTATCGTAACAAGGCAAGCCTTAAAGTGTAAAGAAAAGGAAATGCTGGCATTTGCAAAGCGAACAAATTTCTGAATGTAGATCAAGTAAATTATCCAATGACAGAGCAGTATGACACCCAAATTTCAATCTAATCTGATGAAGTAAACAAACATACTCAAATATATATAGGGAGTCCTTTTGGTTCGAACAAAAATAAAGAATAACAACTCGTTGCTTGCACAGGTAATTTAACTAATTATTGCACAAGTAATTAATTGCTCACAATCATCTTTATTGTTCTTGTTTGAAAATGACTGCCACCAAAACAAAGTCTCTTTTCCGCAACGTTATTTTCCATCGATAGTTCTTATATTTATTCTAATATGCTAAGCTTTATCACCGGCAGCCATTTCTGTTCGTTTAACTTATAAATTATTAAAAAGATTTTATTTTCAAATAGCTGGGTTTCAGTCAGAATGGTATCATAGCTTCGTTCTAAATTTCATTTATATCCGATAAGAATATAAGCTTTTTCAATTGAAGAGTATTTTGATTTAGTTTTGTTAATGTGCTTTTGTTTACAGTTTGTTTAATGTCAAATTTTGTGCACAAAATAACCAAAACAAATTTCGCTCTTTATTTCTTATTTCTGGAATATTCTTAACAGACAACTCCAGATCTCTCTTTTCATTGTTTACCGATAAGTTTATAATACTTTCTGTTTCTGTGTTAGCTTGAAAGTATATATTGTCTCTGAGAATTGTCTACGTTTACTCAAGGTCTTTATTTCTTTTGTCGTATTTTAACAGTTGATAACAACATTATTGTAAATAGTTGTGCTCTATGTGGTCTTGTTTAACTCGCAGAAAGAAGTATTTGTCAAGGTTGGCTGGGAAGGAGCAAAAGCCAAAGACATGATGGAAGTATACAGAAAACTGCCGAAGGAAGATGTCACGCAGTAAGGCTATTCATTTTGCCTACAGTTCAAAAAAATTGTTTTGGGATGTGTTAATGATTAGTGCAGGCAATCATATAGTTTTTTAATCAAAGTCTTTTAGCTGAGAAACAAATATCACTTATTGCCATCACTAGGCCCCAGTCCTTTTTATGATACCACTGTTGGAAAAGCTCGACGTACGAATAGGCCCTCTCTCTGCTCTGATATTCATAAATTTTTAATAAAAATCAACCATTCATTTCAAATTATGTCTGAGCTTTTTAATGAAAACAACTGTGGTACTTTTTTGTATATTTTAATTTAACATATTTTCTATTATGAGCACTAAAATGCGTTCTTGTGCCCCTTTGCAGTGCAGTTCCTCGGCATTTGAATTTTTTCTGTGTCCGGCCCAACGTGAAGAAAATGGCCAATTTTTAACAATATTTTCTCCTCAAACTTGATTAATTTGCTCTACAAATACTTCCAACTGTAGATTTCAAACTACATTTTCATTTCTTTTGCCCCCAATCCCCGCCTAAAACAAGATTTTCTTCTCTAATAAGGCCTTCTAAATTTTAAAAAAGCATAACCGACCACTTTAATGAGTTATTACTCTGTCAGAAAGGGGGATTCAATACTATTGGATCATATGTAATTCATATGGAGCTATTCGATCGTATTTTTGAATAATCAGGTGATTTAAAAGGTGCAGCCACGAGAAAATTGCGGTAGTACTTTGTTGTATGAGTGTTGATGAGATGTGAGCCATTTCCTTCGTTTATTGGATACCCGTTTTCAAGCAGACCTATGAACCTAACAGAAATCCCTGTGACGTTCCAGTTAAGACATAATAATGACGGCCAACAAACTTATGATATAACCAGTCCTGCTTGAAATCCCATTAGCAGTCGCAGGAGCAAAACTAAGTGACGATGATATTTAATACCGTTAAACGCCCCAACCTCTTTCATTTATGCCAATTCTATGCGATTATTTATATGCAAGACAGTATAATCCCTTTTTGGTCGCTATTTAAACAATGCATTCTGGGGTGATCCCAGCCTGTGAAATTTAAGGTGGAGAAAGCTATTAATGGCCATCCTAGAAAAAGGAAGAAACATCAGGAAGCGAAAGATTTCCCTTTGCAAAGCTTTTTGGAATTAAGTCTTATTTCTTTATTATATTAATACATTCATTTAGCATTCTAACGGAACCCTATGTTCCTCTAAATTTTGGTGCCATGAAAACATGATGGGAATCATAAGGCCTTAACTCGATCTATAACTATAGTATACAGGGACTCTCACGAAGGAGGGGGCGGGGGCCATGGCCCCCTCACTTTTTTGCAAAATAAAATAGCTTTTTTCAAATTCTTTTGCTGTGATTGTTAAACTTTCTCTTGGCCTTTTACTGTAAAGACAAAGACATGAGAAGAGCGACGTTTTACTTAGGCCTAAGCTGCACTAATAATTGCTTTCTTTTTTTTCTTGCAGCGTTGAGAAGCTGGAATTCTTAGATGAAGTCAACTTACTGCACGATTTACTGCGACATTATTGCATTTCATGGGCCTTCAAAGATAAAAAAAAATTAGGTAACAAAGTTTTTCATTGATTAGTCCAAAAATGGAATGTTTCGGAACATTTTGAAATAGAAGAAGGGACGGTTGATTGTTTTCCTCGTTCGCCCTGAATGTACCTTGCCAAAACAAAAAAATCACACATTAAGGATTTATGCGCTTTCGTAACCTTTAATTTGATAAACTGGATCTCATACTTGAAATAATTGGTTTCTATTAGCTATGGTTTTCTTACGTAAATAAAGTCCTTAAAGAACCTAAATCCTTTAATTTTGTTGCAGGCTCTTCTATCATCTGCTGGCTGTTTTATTTAACTAACTTCGTTTTCACGTCATTTAGAATCACCTGCGTTCCTTTTGCGACAGGCTCTTCATGATAAGATCTATCTATGATTAAAACTAGTTTTGTACCGTTCTAGACAAAGCTTCAGGATTCAGAGTTTCATAGAGTTTCAGGATACTTGCATATCTAGAAAGGGTTATCTGAAACATTTAAGATAGGGATGCTCAGCGTATCTTTTGGGTATAAAAGTTTTTAGGGGAGCTACTTGTTCAAATACCTGCTTGGGTTCATGATAATGCTGGAATATTCTTGGGGTCTCAATTTACCTCAGAATACCTTTTCTATCCTAGAAAAATTTATAAAATTTTATCCTCTTTGCTCCTTGATTTCATTAGCTAATACTTGAAAAGAATTGTTGGCATCATCCTTTCTCTTAAAAGCTCATGTTACTATGGGTATTTCTGGCAAGGGAACCAGAAGTCGGTTTGTATTAGCAAAAGGTCGTTATACTAAGGTTTCGTGGTACACGAAGTATTACAATAAAACTTGTAAGCCAGAATCCAAGGGACTGGACTTTTAGAAGGGAAGTAAGAGCAGGAAGCTTTTAAAAAGTTGGACTCCTAATAGCGGAATTCTAATTAGTAATAGCGGGAAATCTTACTTTGTGAGGTTTTTGCAGGCTCAGTCTTGCAAAGTAAGAATACAGATATCTTGTTTTAAAAATTTCCTCTTAGCTTTGAGGCCATTTTAACGGGTATTGAATGGAATTCTACTCTAAAAAGAATTCTTGCATGAGTCAATGTAGTATATATAGCATCTGAATTGAAATGGTTTGCAATTGACCTTTTCAATTGTTAGCTTGCGTATGAAACAAAACCTTGACAGCTAAGATCTTTTTTTTCATTTGTTGCAGGTTTGGAAGAGATAACATTCTGAAATGCTATAATGGAAAAATCTTGAACTTGACGCTTCTGGAAAATGAAAAAGCATACTTTAGGTATTGGCTAAAACACCTAAGTTTTGTTTACACATCACAAGGAACCATTTTGCATTCAACCTGTTCATGGATTAGAATTTTAATTCGATTTGTTTTATCATACAACTGTTCAAAATTTGATTCTGAAATATAATCTTCTCCAATATAATGGAATTTAAGTAGAATTTAAGTGAAAATAAAAGTGATACCCCAGTTTTCTGTCTGTCTAACTGTTTATTTTAGACATCATTCTTTGTGGACTTTTTGTAGGGGCTTATTGAGTTGCGATGGGATTTGATTTGCTGATGGTTGGTTCTGCTTCAAAATATTTTGTAGATTTTGTTTCAACTTGGAGATTCATTATTCTCTTATTTATATTGAAATGGCTTGAATCTATGTAAAGACTGAAATTCAATCATGGTTGTTTTTTTTATACTGGCCCCTTCAAGTGGTGTGCAACCAGCATCACTTCTATGTTGACAAAGATATTTTAATAATATGATGGTGATCAAATAACTATCCAGCACAGTTTATTTTTTTAAATGATTGCCTGGAGTTTTTCATTTTTGTGCTAGATGGTGTGTTACCATTTTCTTGGCCCCAAACAATTTATTGCATTCCCATTTCTGTCAACAAAACCCAATGTTTTTTAGCAGTTACTTTCATTCAGTTTGAACAGAGCCTAGTCTTTTCAAACCCTGCCTTAGTTGGAAATAATGTGCAAACTCTAGCTAGATTTGCCTGGATTTCCTAACATGTTACACGAATGGCAAAATAATCTTTTGAATTATAGTATACAAAGTTTTATAAAAAATATCAGTTACATTTGGAACCAATGATCAGTGGCTTAACGATGGCAGCCAGGGCCATTGGGTGTTGAGCATGTCAAAGCAAGGTCCTTTCTAATGGTGTAGAGCATGTCAAAGCAAGATGTGAAATTGATAATTTTTCTTGTTAACTATGGGGGGGGGGTGAGTTGCATGCCTCAAAACATGGGTATGAACATATTTTCGGCCCTTTTGATTTGGGGGCCCTTAGTTACAGAACTAAGATGCTCCAAACTGTGTTACACCACAACCAATGCTCCTTTATATAGATGCATGTAAATGTAGAAAATTATGAACTCTAGATAGAAAAATGAAAAATCCCACCAATTCAAGAAGAATGTAGAATTTATAATTTCTCTATGGAATCTTGAAAGAAAGAGTCCCAAAATACTCAGGACAATGTCCCGAAGTCTCTAAAATATGAACCATTAGTGGTTCAGATAAGCTGTGACGTCCTATATGTGTCCTTGCTGTCTTTGCTAAGACCCTTCTTCAGCCTTGGGTGGGGTAACCACAACAGGGACGTGAGCATGGTTCATCACGTAGGAGCTGACACTACCAAGGAAAGTTCTGCGAAGGAGATTCATCCCACGAGAGCCCATAACAACACCATCTGCTTGTTTGTCTTTCACAACTTGGCAAATCTTCTCGCCAGGACTGTCCTCTGTCCCCTCCACAAACACCGAACACTGCACACCAGCCTTCTCGCACATTTTTTTGTACTCGTCGGCTATTTTCTTTGACTTCTCGACATTTTCATGAAGCTGCTTATGCCATTCATCTGGAGTTACAAGCGGTCCCATCACCATAAAGGAAGCAGGAACTTTCGGAGGCTCCACGATGTTAAGGATGCCAACATGGTCGCCTTCCTTGTACATTTGTTTCAAATACCAATCGAAAGCTCTGTTGCTGTGGTCAGATCCATCAACGGGCATAAGAATGAATCTCGATTTGCCAGGATCTCTTGCCATTTTATGTAAACTGACTGTCAAACAAGAAAGTATTCCAACGACGTGTCCTTGCCTCGTTAAACAGTGCACGTCGAAAGCCGTCTTAGGCCAAGGGACAATCCACGCAACCGCAGCAACATTCAAAGGTCATTCTGATGAGGTCACACGTCTATGAAAAAGTTTCTGATTGGCTTAAAATCACCGGGGAACGCCCGCTCGTTTTGATTTCAAGATATCTTTTTATCCTTGATTGTATCTTTAGAATCTGATACTAGCTTAAATTTCCTTAAAGCTTTGGGATGACAAACGGTTCTTATGGTAGGAGCATAATAACACATAATAATTTGTGATGATTTTTCCGAAGATGATGAAATACGTCAATTTCGTCCCTGCATACCAATGTTATTTATTATTTTTGTAATTTTCGTAAGCTAGAGACACTAGGTAATGTCGACAAATAGTCTATGTATAATACAGTGGTAGATAGATAGATAGATAGATAGATAGATAGATAGAAATGATGTTTCTTTTGGGAGAAACTTATGCACCAAATATTTGCTTCTCCTTTTTTTAATCAAAACACACGCCCTCAAGAACCTCGCAAAAACAAGTCATGTTGAGAATATATATCTTGTTATGTTTGATGTTTTTTTCTTATATACTCATTTTCTTGTGATGTAAAAATTTCTTTGAACATTTTTTGGATCAAAAGAAGGATTATTTCCCCATTTCTAAATGCACCGTTTCAGATTCGTGCTTCGAATTCTTAAGAGAAGCATTAAAAGCCAACTTTACAATTGAACGCAACATGTAAGGCGACAGGGTAATAACCAAACAACTAATTAGCAAAAATTAAAAATGGAGAAGATATATATAAGTATGTTTGGAATAATTGAGAGGAGAAGCTCCGAACTCCCTCAATAAGTAGCTGAAGTAATTAAGGAGGGATCATCCCATGTTTAAATCAAAGAACGCACCAAGTAATTAAAATTCTTAGTTTTTCAATGATTACACTGTTGGGAAGTCTTTTTAAAGCTATACAAAGAGCAGCTGAGAGAGAATCTCACGGAAGCAATGAATTTGTTTCTAGAAAATAGGGGATGTTGCTCAATGATTTTCCACCCCAAAATTGTACAAATCAAAGACCAAGCTCGAATATTTGCTGATAAAGAGTCCATTTTTAGAAGCTTTTAACATTCATTTATGATGAACAGATGCCACTGATTCAGTATCATTTTTATTTTTTAAAAATAGTTAGCTACAGAAAACATTCATAAGCAAAGCAAAGTTGAAATAAATCTTTAATTAAGCTTCAGCATTTTCAGGTCAGGGGAGATGGAAGATGACGGATATCGAAAAAGTTGCCTTTTTAATATCTATAGTTAGCAAGAAAAATTAGGGGTCATGCCCCCCCCTGTGGCGCGGGCCCTGAAAGTGTCTTTAATGAAGAATCTTAAAAATTTATTGGAAAGTTCATTCTGACGAAGCTTTCAACCTGAATTTTTATCAATAAAAACTCAATAGAAATATTGATATAATTAGTTAAACCTTTTTAGTTGGTATCTTATTTTTGTTTCAAGAAAATCAGAAGCAGTATACTGAGGAGAAAAAGAATGAAAACTATATTTCTTCCATATTCAATGATAATCGTTTCTATCGAACTGTTTAGGAAAGTCATGAATGTAAATCAAGAAATATTTGGGACATGCACAAGGCGTTGTAGTACTCAGTGGCCTTGGTCCCCCCCCCCACTTTTTGCGAAGCAAGTAGTTTTAAATCTGCAGTAAAGGGGGTAAAAAGCCTTGGCCCCCTACATTTTAGCCTGGCTCTGCCACTTCAGGCACCGCGAAGCAGAGGGGGCTGGGGGACTTTTAGCAAAAAATGACAAACACTAAGTAATAAACTACCAGTAAAGCCTCATTTTATACGGTTTTAGCCCCCCCCCACTTTTTTAGACCCCCACTTTTCTCAACGCTCCACGGTGCTTGCACTTTCAAATTCGTGGCGCAGACCCTGGTACTCCACAAATTTCAATTGACTCCAGCCATCAAAGGCAACTCTACGCGAGCTCTACAGTGTTGAAGCTCATCAAGAATCATGCTGTGGTTTACAACATTAAATGTTATCTTCTGCTTAGTAACAGTTTCGGGTAGCATGAAAGTTTTTGAGTGACTTGGCAGGCACAATGAGTTTCAAGTTACTTTATGTCATTTCTTTTTTAATTTGCATTAGATTGTCTATCAACAATCTACATGATTAAATTAGGCTTATAGTGGAATTAGGTTTTAATTCTTTCTTTTTGCACAAGGCCAATTGTAAACAAGGTTTTCAACGCTGTATCAATAACAGGGCCCACGCCGCGAATTTGAAAGTGGGGGGCCAAGGCTAGTGAAAGTGGGGGGCCAAGGCTACTTTCACCTTTGCTTGCTTCACAAAAAAGTGGGGGGCATGGCCACCCTGCCCTCTCGGTGGCGTGGGCCCTGAATACGTTTTATATCAAATAAAGATGAAAATTATGCTTTTTATGCGAAAATATCCGATTTGCAAGGTAAATTTCCTGTATTATCGATTTTCTGCCGTTGGGTCCGGGCTAGGTGAGTGTGAGGGCCTTAATTGCTGTGGTGCTTGATTGTAATTTGATATGATTTAAAGACTTTTGCATGTTCCCATGGCGCATATTTGTCTGTCTATTTGATAGCGCAAAAATCCCATGGCGCAGGTTCCCATGGCGCAAAATTTTGGTGCCACCTTGTGTTCTAGGGCAAGTCTGCTGAATTTCACCCCCTGTCTCGATTTAAATCCAGTGCGCGCTCCAGTTGATAACATACCAACATAGCTGCGGTTTCTGGTCTTCCAAATGTTGAATCTTTTGTTTTGTTTGTCCTCGAAACGCAAATGTTGTGACTGAAAATTTACGAAACTTCCTGATAGCCACACCACCCCCTTTCTTTGTAGCTGCACAGGAGTGTAGGATCAGACTTGCTCTAGATCCGTAAATCATTCTGGAGAAAACAGAGGACCCCGCAAATTGTTTGCCATTTTATGCCGTATACTGAGGAGAAATTTTACTTGAAACAATTTAATAAATCGATCTGGATGCTGGTACAGGAAAATTTGCAATTTTCAATCGCTGTGTAAGTTTTTTGCACTTTGAATTTGGCGAGTGGGTGGAGGAAGCGATTAATCAATATTGAATTGTAAAATTTTGCCTGCAAGCTACAAGGGTTTACTGCGTTCGCCAACAGTTACAGTTCAAGGTAAATAGCCGATTTAAATATTTTCATCGAAGTGTTAGAGAGCAGCCATAAAACGGAAATTCACTCTTTGGATTTGATAATCCATAGCATTAATTCTGGGAAGTGCCCGTTTTGTTTTTAGGCCGCATTGTGGCTCACGCGAGCTGTCAAATTCCACAGGAAATCTAACTGCATATTTCACACTTTGGTCTCGAAGCTTATCAAATTTCTGTAGCTGCTAAGTTACTATATTTGGCTATCATTTCGGCAAATTGTTGAATTTGATTCACGGCTACTAAATTGTCGCAGCAATTTGCAAAGCTGCACAAAGTTACGTTAAATGATACCTTAAATTTCTTACAATGATCATTAACTTTCCGTGTGTATGTTACTCAGAGCATGGTAAAAATTAAAATTCTTTTAATTCTTTCTTGCTAAATCACAGTTTAGAAATCTTCAAAACAATATCTTTGTGGTTAACAGTTGCAGCAGAGCGATGGTATACAGATCTCAGTGGATGTGTTTATGAAGCAAGCATGTACTGGAAGGTCACATGAAGCTTGAGAATAGCTCTACATTTGGCATGAATAAGTATCAAACGCTCTTCGCAACAAATTATCCTTTGAAATAGAATTATCGGCAATGGGAAAAGACACGGAATTGCTGAATGCTGTTAAGAATGGAGATGTTTCAATAGTTAGGAAATTTCTACTTAAATTCAAATCAAACCCTAAAGGAAGTAAGTTATATTTTGTTATTATCCTATTTATTAATTGATCTGAAACTATCTAGTTGTTTAATGAAGCCTTCTCATTTTCTGGTAGAAAGATAGTTTCTCAATAATTGGGGGGTCTGTCCCAAATCAGTACTTGTTTGGATTACTTTTGTTTAGATTTTTATCTTCATTTATGGTAACATGTTTTTGAAGCATACTTACGGGCATACATACCTCATGCTGCAAATTTGATATCCAATCAGGCAGATGAAGTATCAATTGAACAGTATGCTGAAAGACCTAAATAAAGAGCCATTTGTGTCAGGAAAAATTGCTATCAGCTCAATATTTTAGCTTGAAATTTTAGCAATGATAAACCTTTTCTAAAAAATAACTGGGAAAATAGATGCAATTCAAAGCCCTTCGAACAAGTCAGTGGACTACATTGAAAATAGATTTTTCGTAAAGTATAAGCAAGCAGAGCAAAACAAGAAGCTTCTTTTGTTTTATTAACATTGTCAAGATAGAGTATTTATTATCAATTCGCTAAAGGTTTAAAGCCAGGGGCATAGTTACTGCATGGTCACATCTAAGGAAATTCTTGGGAGGAACTGGCCCCCACTGTCCCCTAAATGATACACTCCCTGCAGGCTCCAGTTCAATATCAATTAAGCAACACATTCTATCTTAATTGTGGTTCACCGAACTGAGACATCAGTATTTGTTGAAATCATTACACATGAATACTATCAAAATCTTTTGTGTTATTTTGAGACTTTTATTTGTGATATCAGTTGGGCTGAAGGTTGCACTCATCTTTGATTTATGTGGTTCTGGTTCTAATTACGCATGACTTGGTTTATAAAGTTGTGGTTTTATGTATAAAAGACATTTGGTAAGAATTATCAGCAGGTGGCCAATTTCTTCTTGCATTGATTTCGTCATGAGTATGGGTAAAGATTTAATACAAAAGTACAGGTTTCCCACATCAATTAACCTCCACTAACAAAATTTTTCTTTGCCAATTTTCAGAAAAATCAGTGAGCAAAAAATTGCATATCAATGTGCCAGATGATGATGGGTATGTAATTTGAAGTTCTCGTATATCAAGTTTCATATGCTAAAAAATAAATTGCCATTAATTATTTATTATCTACAGATAATATATATAAATATATAATGTATGTATTTATTTAAGTTTTAAATATTAATTTCTCATCAGCTTGTTGGCTGGTTTGTGCTGAGAACCTGAAGGTGTTGATTCAGTTGCTTTGTTTGTGGGATTAAATAAGCTTCACTTGAATTTTCATCAATTATCAATTTTAGGTTCACAATACTACATCATGCATCTCTTGGCAATAATGTTGAAATTGTCCTTGCAATTTTGGAATTGGAAGGGGACCCAAATTCAAGGGACAAAAAAGGTGAATTTCTGTATGGTATCAAAATTTCCTTGTTGGATTTTGAAAATTACCTTTACTTTTGATAAAAAATTTTTTACTGCAAAGACTTTAGGGTCTAGGTTTATGCCACATGTCTTTTTTCATACCCTATCTACTTGATAATCCAAAAGAACATTAATCTGTTTTTGAATACTTTGCACCAGATCAGGTGATCATTTGCACCATTTGACTTAAACACTCACTGACAACGGGTCCATTTGACTTACTGTAAAAGCTCTAGGAAGCAAAAGTTTGAAAAAGTCTCTCCCTCTCTATTAAGCCCCCTCTCTCAAGCCCCTGATGTCAACCAAAGAAAACATGTGCAGTGGGTCTCTTTAAGGGTGTGATGGCAATAAGATTGTGTGCATCAGTTCCAGCCCACGTAAATATTTACTTGTGCGCCTTAGAAGTCAGTCAAAACTAAATGATCATGGTGACTCTGAGGAAGTTGAGGCCGTTATAACTGATTGATTTTAAAAAGCTCTTTTAGCTGCTAGCAAATTCTTTTAGAACATTTTTATGACATTTTTATAACGAAAAACACAAGAGGGCATTTTTATAACATTTTTTACATTAAATCATTAATAAATCCCCTCTCTGATAAGCCCCCTCTCTGATAAGCCGCCTCTCTTTTAAGTCCCTTCAAGGACTGAAAAAAATAAATAAGCCCCCCTGGGGCTCAATAGAGCTGTTATGGTAACACTTTTCTGTTGACAAACCTCTTTTCATTGGTCAAAACAGTTATAGAAATTTTGTTCTTGGTGACAGAGGCAAGAATTGAAAACAAAGATTTTATCTCTCTCATAAAGTTTTACAACAATAGTCTGAAATATTTATTATTTGTAATATTTTCATAATTTTAGCTAACAATTTAACAAGATAAAGGGAAGATCATTTCAGTTGTCTTTGTGGATGCATTTGCTTGGTAGCAATGTCATCCGATACATTCACAGGCAGGTTGTCTTAGGACATGTTAAAGGTAATGTGTCCAGCTAAAGCAAGCGAAGATGTGGGGGTTTTCGGAAACATGTGATTTTCATGTCATTGCCCCAACTATTACGGTCGCTCTGTTTATCTACCCTGCTGTGAGGTTAGCTTTTCATGTGAGCAGTTTTGCATCACAAGAATACTGACCAATTGTGAGCTGTTATTTTGATGTACTTGACAAGTTGGGTATAAGCAGTCCTTTTATATGGACACATTACCTTTAAATTAACAACATTAGCAACAACCTAGCTCTTTTTCTAGCAATAAGACAAAATGCTAATCAGGCCTCATAAGGAACAAAAAGCAGACGCTTGACAAACTGAACACCTTGGACTTTCTAGGCGCATCATCAAATATTATCAATAACAACAAAATTTGGTTTTTGGTATTTAATTTTTAGTCAGCATAAACATGCTAGGTGCTCGGAAAATCAAGCTCCTAGAACCTTCTAGGCGAGTTCGGAGGTGCTTGATCGAGCTTGAGCTCCTCTCCTTGCGAGGCCTAGTGCACTTTAAAGTATTATCCAAATATTATCATCATTTCAAACACATCAGATAAAAAAGAAATAATTTTGTCTATAATTTCCATCCAATGCCAAATTTTTGCAGAAGTGGCAAGGGGTTTCTATCTTGTTTCATGAGTATTCAATGATGATCAAATTGTGTTAAACACAGAATAAATTTACAAGTCCTGTCTCCTTTGGCCAGGGCCTTTAGTTGCTAGGACCATAACACACCATAACAAAGCCACCCAGTTGTGTCACATGTCCAGATATCATTGTGGGTTTTTGGACTTTTGGGGACTTTTTACTTTTTTAATTGAAACTCATAGAGGTTCGTAAGTAATCATGAAACTTGTTATTAATTTTCCACCAGACCTAGGGTTAGTTGGATAATAAGCTATAAAGTTTATTAAGCAAAATATTAAAACAATGTATTGCTTCTGAAAGAAAGCATTATACAGCAGTAAGTTTGCTCAAAATTAAATCAAGTCAATCATTCAGTAACAATCATAAAAAGTTTTAAAAGTATACAATTTCTAAGATTATAATAGATATAAAAAAATTACATAACAATGTTAGGATAGCTGACTAAACGTTGCCAAGGAATACACTTGTACATGAAAGACAGTAAGATTTGAAATTTTACGTGATTTGCATTTTTTAGTATAAAAAAACAGTAACAGAACAAATCAGAAAAGGGGTAAAAATAGAAATGAAATTGAAGAAACAACTAGAACTTACACGGTAGAAATGATAGGGGAGAGGGCACTGCACTTAGCTTCAAGATGGTTTGTATTGGAGGGGGTTGAACTTGATATTCATAATATACCGTAAATCCTCGAATTGCCCCCCCCCGAAAAAGCCCCCCCCCTCGAATTAGCCCCCACTGCTACTGTAAATTCTCGAATTGGACCCCTGAATTTGACGGTTTTTGCCATCTGAGGTTGCCTATGGCGTTTTATTGAATTACCATGACAAATTCGTACTTTTGGTAGTAAATAATTAAATGATCATAAAGAAATTCCCACTAAAATAAACAAGGTCTTTTAATAATGTCTTCTTATTGTCTATAATTTTATAAGCCCCCCCCCTCGAATTAGCCCCCACTGCTACTGTAAATTCTCGAATTGGACCCCTGAATTTGACGGTTTTTGCCATCTGAGGTTGCCTATGGCGTTTTATTGAATTACCATGACAAATTCGTACTTTTGGTAGTAAATAATTAAATGATCATAAAGAAATTCCCACTAAAATAAACAAGGTCTTTTAATAATGTCTTCTTATTGTCTACAATAATTTTATAAGCCCACCCCTCGTATAAGCCCCCCTCTCGAATAAGCCCCCGTCCAAAAATATTAAAGATAAATAAGCCCCAAGGGGGCTAATTCGAGGATTTACGGTAATTGAGTGCTTGAAGGAAGATTCGTGATTTTCGTAATGTTGCAATAACCACTTATAAAGAAATTTAATTTATTTGTACTTGACGTAGGACGAATTTCTTAGGGTGTTTCATTCCATATTTTGATACCATTGAATGTAATAAAGTTTTTACGACATTCAGTTGGCGAGTCTTATAGCTGTGCCGTACATTGATTTTTTGAAACAGGTCACATAAAGTCGGGGTGATGTTATTATTGCTAACATCGTGCATGAGTTTTGCAGTTTCAAATTTATAAGTGTTTTCGAATTTTAGTAAACCTAGTTTAGAAAACAAGGGTTTCGTCTCAGCTCTATAGCCTCCAAAGTTCGTAATTCTAATCGCTTTTTAAGACTTTCATTTGAATCGTTCCTAGCAGATTTTGAAGCACTACCCGAATTAATGATGATGAGCTGAGACGAGGGGAAATAAAAGCATGATACAATTGTTTTAGTACATTTAATGAAACAAAGTGTCTCATCTTTGCCAGTATTCCGATGCTTTTCGAGACAGCGACACATTTAAAGGTGCTAATGACAACGAGACATGGAAACTAGGATTGTTATTCACAATTCAATGGCTTTCACACTAAGCCTTGAAATTAATTCGTTTAATAACTCATATAAATACATTTATTACTCAAACCGCTGCCCTTAAAGTGTTTAAAACCCAATTAAAGATCGGAATATTTTGGAAAATAACTTGTTCTACATCAGATCCAGCGAGAACCACAGGGTGCTGAGAGAAGCGCGTCCTTAATCTCGAGATTCTATTAATTTTAAAGAGATTTTCTCCAACCTAGGAGGATTTATATCGACCAGAATGTCGTAAATTATCAATATCGATGTTGGTTGGCTGTTGTTTAGATTACGTGGAAACCAATTTTCTATACCGAGATTTAAGTTACAGTATGCGGCGATTTTGTTTTCTATTATTGATGATCTGTTGGGCTGGCGATACAGGCAATTTCTAAAAACTTTCGAAAAGTCCGCAGTAAACGTTTTTATTTTGTATCAACAGTGCGTTTCTCAAAGAGGAAATTATTTACTAAAATCTGCTTTGTGTTTTCCATTAAGAAACTTGATTAGGGCAAGCTTTATGAAGATTTCTGAGGCCTTACCGAGGAACTCAGTATACTATCCATAGGGAACTCAGATAAGAAGAAACAATCAAAGATCTGTCTTGGGTTTATTTCCTTTAGGGCCTTGGGAAGTTACTTTGTCAACTCAGTCCTATATAGGAAGTGGTTTTTAGTTGAACGTTTCCTGTTTAGCGTTTAAATCTTTATAATAAGTCTTTATAAGCATCATAATAAAATTAGTATTTTTTTAGATACAAGTATACAATTTGCGCGTTCTACTGAAGATGAATTGTGCCTGAGCTAAGAAGTTTTTAAATCAAGTTGCAATTTAGAAATAAGAAAATTTGAAAATATCGCAGAAAAGCGGAAACAAAGCATGATATAGTATTTTTCGTCCGCACTCCTTCGAGTATAAAAAACCGGAGGTAAGCAGAAATCTGTTTCCAGATACGGGTGTAAGAGGAAGAATGGCGCTTTTGATAGCGATTGCCGATCGATAAAAAATAATTTTAGAATCAAACGTGCCTTCAATCTCACACTCTATTTTCGATCCTCTTCTAGATATAAACTTCTGCTTGCCTTTAGTCGCCATCCTGAATTTATACTCTTGCGGATTGTCGAGACTTAATTACTTTTGTATGCTATGTTTCGGCCTTTTCGTACCATTTTCAAAAGTTGCAATTCCAAAACTACATTAAACAGTTCAAGTTGTCTATTCATGACATGGTTGAAAACAATGGAGAGCTACAATCATTGCCAAAAGTGCATGGAACACCCAGATATTTGCGTTGTGTTTTTATGTTTTTCAATTCTTTTCCCGAATACTCCTATTTCTGCACCCCTTTCCCCTTTAACTTTAACAATGTTGATAATTTGGAAAAATACTCATTATAGAAGTCGCGGGAAAAAGCGTACTTCTTAATCTCCTACGTTGATTTGTAGTAAACCAACATTGTTCAAAGAAGGGAAGGGGAACGTTTGAATTTGCCCTTTAAAACTTACGTTAGTGTACCAAGACTTTGGCAGGCATTGTAAATACTTGTGAGTGTGGGCCTTGAGAGGTTCAAGCCACAGGGTAATCACAATTTGATAATCAATAAAGTTATGCGTGTTGTACGTGGAAAATGAACAAAATCACAATTTGATATCTACCATTAACCTAACAATTAAGCCTAACATTACCTAAAGAGTAGGAGTTTAATTCTATTGGTAGATGCCAAGAGGGGTCTCATTCATTTAAAATTATAGTCAATAGTCAAGGGGGGAAACAAGTTCATTTCATTTAAAATTATTCATGCATGGTAGCCTCGTTAGTCAGAATGACTGTTTTCAGGGGGTCGAGCTAAACATTTACAAATTGAAAATCAACTGAAACAGATAATTATTAAAGGAAACTAATTACAATCCTAGACTATTTACAATAAATTTGCAAGCGACTTTCATGTTGTTCTTGAAAGAAGATAAAGAAGGAGTTTGCTTAGCTTTACCGCTAAGCTCATTCCAGGTCTTTCCACGAACCCCGCGAACATTGCATCCCTTCTAAGGAATGGCATTGCGATGCACCCTTGACCGCCAGCGCCCAGTTATAAAACATTCTCCAGTGAAAGACGGCGAGACGACCATCATGCTAGTTGGCGATTACAAATTTTTAGCTTTAACCTTCCTTATCACTCATATCGGTAAAAAAATCCTTCAATTTGCCAGAAGCAAAGTTCATTGTTGAAATATTTATGGTCTTTTTCACGACTTTGGTAAACATTTTTGCAAAGGCCGAAGTTTTTCATTAAATTTATCATCATATCTCTACACAGTTAATTTTGTTTACCAAAAAATCTATTTTATCAGCTAGAAATCTTCCTTTATCGCAGAACCTCTTTCAGAAAGAAAATGCGTTTCCTTGAAACGTTTATTACTACCATTTATGTTGCTGAATCCATTTTCTGTTCAAATTTATTCTTGTGTAGGCGTTTATCTTGAACGGGCTTTAACTTCATCCTTTGAGAAGTCGTGTAGCTTAATGCCCTACCCAAACACCCACTTACATCTCAGGAACTGTAGCAGTCATACGGTTAAAAGGCCACGAAAGAAGTATCTGTATTAAAAGGAAATTCAACCCCTAACTCTAATAATGTTTGTGGCCATGTCTTTGAACGGCCTTTTTATAAAAAGCCTTTTGTACCAGGAAGGACTTTTGTCAAAATGCTATCGACACATGTTTGACTAGAGAACTAGAACCTTGTTGTTGAGCCACATGTTGTTATTAGAAAATGGGAAGAAGCGCAAGGGGAAGTGACATTTATTTGTACATATTGAGAATAAGAGTGTGAGGTGTAGTTATTGATAAAGAATTCTTAGCGACGTATTGGAAGTTAAGTAGAAGATTGATGCAATAGGAAAACTGTTAATATCGTGTCTTCTCAGTATACACGTTGGTTGTATTGCTTGATTCAAGTCACTTCAACGAAAATTCTGTATTATAAAACTCTAGAGGAATTTTCTTTGATCTTTTTATGATCGATGTTTTGTCTTACACACGCATTTGACCAAATCCCTCCTTTTTTAGCTACAATCTCGGCCAAAACTCGCGAGACTGGATTAAATATCTAATTCATTTCTTGTTCAACTTCATGACTCCCTCCCCCTTTCTATATCAATGCTGAGGTGACTGTTTGAGCCAAAATTGAATGCTGGGATATTTAGCTCTCATCCAACACCGACATTGATATAGGGGAGAGGGAAGTTGATATGTTCCGATCTTTCTTGGGAACAACTTATAGCATGCTAAATTTTTAATACAGTGTCAAGAATATTTTGTTCGAAAGAGATTGTAGTATAGTTTTTGCACTTTTTACTAATGATCGGTAAATATTCTACAGGAATGTGTCCGCTACACATGGCTGCATGGTCAGGGAAGGATAAGATAGTGAAAACCCTTTTGGAAAACAGGGCGCTAGTGAACCTGCCTTCATTTGGTGGAGAGACCCCCCTTCTTCTAGCGTCTCAACATGGTCATGGCGGTGTCGTGAGTATAATTGTTGATTATGAATTGAATCGAAAATGGAACGAAATTGTTTTATTTACCCGCTTTATCTCGACAAAGTAGGCTTTGATAAACTGGAATTTGCTCTCTTAATTCCTTTGAACTTTATGTAGCTAATATGCTATTTTGGAAAATCGATCCCTCTTCCCCTGGTCAATGCTGGTTGAAGCTTAATTATATAACAACCTGGTTGCTTTCATATAGCAAGCATTTTTTCTCCCGCTTATTCTTCTTGTTTTCCCTCTACTGCTTCTTATTCGCCCTTCCTTAAACTTTTATGTTTCTTCTTTTACTTCTTCCCCTTATTCTTCTCATTCCTCCTCCCTCTCTTTTTCTTTTTCTTCTTCCTCTTCTTCTTGTTGGCACTCTTGCTGTTTGTTCTTATAACTAGTTATTGGTGCAGTTATTCTTTTGCGAGTGTCTGTTCTAAGACTGAAGATAAGATTAATAAATCAATCAATCTTTTAGAGGTTGTTTGATATGATTAAAATTTTTCATATGATCTAATGTGGTATTTCGAGAACTTTGGCATGCTTACAAGTCAGCACTAGACAATGATTTTTATGCAAGCTGTTGGTAAACTATCACTGGATCAACTAATGACAGACCCATGCAAAAGTTCTGGTAGTTGATGAAAGTATTATATCTCAGGGTTTTTCGATTACATTGAAAATGCATTAATTCTAACATTGGTGTTAAGATTTGTTGGTCAGGACACTCACCCCAGTGCCTCTTCCTGTCCACAATGATTTGTTTCAGGATATTTGATATATATCTTTCTAGGTTGAAGTTTTGATGAAACACAATGCAGATCCTTCTATAAGAAACAATAATTTAGAATCGCCGCTGGATTTGGCTTGTCAGTTTGGTCATACAGCAGTACGTGTCATCTTGAATTTATTTTCTAACTAAGATGCCTTAATTTAGCTACCTAAACTGACGCATGTATTAATCGCTGTCACCTCATTCTAGTTGCTGAACTAGCAAGCAGCTTGTTGATTTAAAAATAAGAAATTTTTTTCAATGAACATATTAAGGGGTCTTTATTGGTATGTGGAAATTTGACAGCAGAAATGCTCTGATTGATTTAAGATCACGTGAGTGACATATGCCAAGGCTTTAATGCATGGCTCGGAGTTGAGTCAATTAAAATTGCTTTTATTCGACCTCTGATATCTTACTGCAACTCTTGTAAAAGTTGATAACTAGTAGACATAATTTTTTTCATGTCTATGTTTTCTTTCATCTCATAGATGATCAAGGTAAAAATTAATAATTTCTTGTAGTTTTCCTCTTATTTGCAAGTTTTTATTTTTAAAATATCTCTACAGATTTGTGAGTGATTGATGGTCGATTAATTGAAAGGCAGGTCGATTTTAATCAATTAATTGACTGATCAGAACTCGTCACAGAAAAGTTGTTCGGTTTCGTTAGGTTGTTCGATGTTTACTGATGCGAGGGGAAATGGTGCAAATGCTACGAGAAAGACAAACTGATCCAAGATATAAACAGCCCCTGCATCTGGCTGGGAAGGGTGGACATGCTGATGTTGTTAGGTAAGTTGAATTCAGTTTTCCCTTTAAGATCAAGTGATGTAAATCCAAGAAACGTTATGTTCCAATATCTTCCAGTTATGATGGACTTTAGCTATTGCCTAAAAACAGCCAGTTAAAACAGGTTATCTTTCCCTAAGCCATCATTCCAATAGACTTTCAAATTTTTCTTGGACTTTTCGTTTGTTGAAAAGGTCCCCGCTGATATTAGACTTCCCCCTCTTTATGCCCTGTTTGAATCGATATGATATCAATAATGATCCTTAGGATTTAAGACAAAAATGGCATTAAAGAGCACAAAGAAGTCTTCTTTTAGACAGTCAATGAATTAGCAGTGGGATGACCTGGCCGCTTTTTCCTACAACTTTAATTCTTAATTAATTAAGTACCAAAAGAAGTTTATTTTGTAGTCACTGATCCCACTGATGCCCACATTTGTCGTGATATAAACCAAGATATCCCTCACTCCACCTTTCACTTCAGGGGGTACTTAGCAGGGGGTAGTGAAAAATTATCATGCTAGTCTTTCCTATTTTGTATAGTTCATGTAACTAGCTTCCATTTCGTTCAAGATTGCTGATCGAAAACGGAAGTGACGTCAACGAGCAAAGCCCCCAAGGAACCTGCTTGCATTTAGCGGCTTTGTACGGAAAGGTTGAAGTTGTGAAACTGTTGTTGGAGGTAAATTTTTATAGATGCAAGTGTTGTATGCACTTTGTATGAACACTGTGCATACACATAACAATATAATGTCTCAGCAAAACTGGAAAGAAAAGAACAAGAAAAAATGGTTTTCTGAAAAAATGGTTTTCTGAAAAAATTAGAATTCTGAAGATTTGTGCAGATATTTTCGCTTGTATTGAGTCTAATATACACTTCTTAATATACTGTTTCCTTGAATAAAATATTATTTGTTTTCCTATTTTCATGCTATTATTATAAATCTTATTATTTGCACATTTAATGATTCATGAGTGCGACAAAACTGTTCTAAAATTTTCAAAATAAGCTTTTTTCTTGTCCACAGTATTGATTTACTGAAGATTACCGCATAAAAAATAGAGTTAAAGGTTAATTAAGTTAAGCAAAAGGAAGTTTACAAGTAGATTTAAGCTCAAAGTTGAATTCGGTTATCTGTCAAGTTTTCATGTTTTTCTCTGACGTTTTAAAATCTTGAATTAAACTTCTCAGTCAAGTTAGTGGAATAATCTTTTTAGGTTGGTGCCGATGTTCGCGCTATAAACAATAAAAATATGACGCCGTTAGATATGGTCAACCAGTATACGAAATCGAATGCTAGCATTGAGATCAAACAGTTATTACGAGGTAACCTAACAGAACATTTTTTGCAATTGTTGTTGTTGCTGTTTAAAAATAACAATCCAATTCAACTGATATATGCCGCAAACCTAGTTCAATTCAATTTAATTCACCATCCAATTCAATTTTGAACCTCCTTTATTGAATTTTTCTTGATATAATAATTATATATATACGTATACTTGAGAATTTACAAAGAGGGGCATTGGCTAAAACTGTGAAATCAAAAGGTTTAAGCATTTTGCAATCAATTATGCTCCCTTGTGTTAACTTGTTTTACACGATGTTTAAATATGAAGACATTGTGGCAAAATTCACGACAGGATGGATGATTCAATGATTAGTTGAGACTCTACTGGCTCCCAGTTATAATTACATTGGTGATTTGTTAGCATTCGCATACTAGAAAACTGTCGCAATACCCCATAATTAAATGGCCTTTCCCATTAGCAAATAGATGTTGCAATTTTTTTTAAGCATAACTGGTTAAAGTGGTGCTTTAATTTCTTAGGCCGTTTATCCTCACTTTCCAAGTTTTTGTCTCCTTCGTAGAGGCTGCCGGAGAGCACGTTGTTTTTGCCACAGCTGTATCCAACCACATCAATGTTTATGATGAAACATCCTTATCGTTCAAGGCTGGAGACACAGTTATGGTACGTTACCTGCTCTTCAGCTTGTTAACCCTTTGAAAATCCTACTGTAGTCAGACCCGACCTCCTTTATTGTGAGAGGCCATTTGTTAACATGAAACAAGTCAAACTGATTTTTGCTTCATCCCAGGTTGAGTTCCGACTTTTCTTTCATATTGCTTTGTTTCTTGTGCAATCTTTCCATCGTGAAAATCCCAACCCAAGACGAGATCAACTTCTTTTCCCGACCGTGGTTAAAACTCCCCTGTAAGGAGGACAGTTTTGCCCAAACAGGGACAATTGAGGAGTCATAATCGATAGGCAATTCAGACAAATCTGGGACTGACTATCAAGAATGCTGAAATTCGTCAAATTGCAACACTTTGTAGGCCCCTCCTTTGTTAACTTCTTTCACGTTAAGGACCTCATAGCTCTCCTGCTGTTGATAAATTCAGGCATGCCCTGGGAATTTTTTTCGAACGAGAATGATTTAAGTTCAGAAAAACGGAAGTCATTTAGTAAAATTATGTTATGGTGGCATATCTGTAGTTCGAAAATTTAATGTAAAAAATTTTTTGCTAAATGTGGTTGTTTGTCAGTCATGAAATTCATTTCACTAAAAACTGTTGGATCCCCTTCTTTTAACATTCTTAATCAATGCCCATTATTTCCACCAATTGTTATAAAAACATCGCTTCTAACATACAAAGGTTTGGTAGATAGTTTTATAAAAGTACTGTGGCCCGAAAAACGCAATTATTTTGTTATTTACAGTATTTGCTCGTTTATGTACATTTTTAAGTTGTTAAGCTGCTGCAGAATGGGCTTATCTTCAATGCCAGTTGCCTGCTGTTAAATGTCGTTGAAAAATAACACGCGGTTTCCTTTGACTTCCTAAATCGTGTTTTTGATGCGTAAACTGATCGATTTAGATTGATTAGAGCTCTGCATTATGAACAGGAATCGATAGAAGCCGCAGTTAATAGCCTTAAACACTGCCTTCTTACCAGCAGGAACGTGTCATGCAGATGCTAGCACACAAGCCCAGTTTTTTGTATTGCTCGCTTTCTGTTTCTGAAAATAGCTTCAAATATTTCCAGCGCTAACATCTATACTCAGCTATTATTACTCTCATCATTTGTTACATGAAAACTGTTGTATAAGAAACTGTTTGCTATTTTTCAACTCAGATACCATGCTTCATGTATTGAGAAATCTGGGAAATATATGCTCTTCTGCCTCATTAAATACGAGGAATTATGTTTATCTTTTTAGGCTCATCGCTTTTAATACTTACTTAAAAATGCAGCATGACATTTCAATAAAATTAGCTGCAGATTTTTAAGGCTAAAACAACTTTACTCAAAAAAGGTCGCACCCGATACTTTCCGCGGGATGCCGCGCACTTTGTTTTGGTCGTCGGGTGAACGGCTGACCGTTCTGTGACTTTTTACAATAGGCGAATCAAAGCTATCTTTATTGCTCTAACTTGGCTAGTAGGAAACTATAGAAACTGTCGTTGTTGAAGCAAATTACTGGCTTTCTTTTCCTGGTGATTTATTTTTGTTACGGTTTGAGAAACTGGGACCCCACTTGACCTGTTTGCTTGAAACAAATCATTGCAGTCAATAGCAACATTAGATGTCAATTATAATGATGTTGATAAAATATGTAATTGTGTAGTGGTTACATGGTTTTGTTGTAGATGAATTCAATTTTTAAGTAGTGCATGTATTTAAACCGTGACCAAAAATAAATGAATTTAAATTATCTTGTAAAAATGGCTTTTCACTTGATATGACTAAATCCAGCATAATGAAATTTTTTAATAATCGTATATCTCGCGAAACGTCAGGTAAAAGTTCACTTTAGTGTTTATGTGGGATTTACTTAGAGGTTTTGTCAACATATTTTATTATTTTGGTAGTTTGCCTTGTTCTCCTTTTTTGATTTCATTATTCCTTACACCTCTAAGGATATTTTGATTTCTAAATATTTTTAAATTTAAGCAGCACCATTCATTGTTGTATCAGATTTTCGTTGTTGTGTCGTCGGGTTGGCTGAAAGGCAGCTTCTTGGCAGCTTTGCTTCCCTGTGCTCGGCACTCTTACTACTCAAGGCTTGCTACACAATTTCGCACAGTTGCTCTGCGAAAACCTCAATATCCACCTAAATCAGTTTCTAGAAACTGTGTCGGTAGGATTCACCCACGCCTTATTGTTCTGTTAATCTCTAGATTAAGTATCAGAAGTTTCTTCTTAGCACGTTTGTTGTAACAGATTTTGTAATCCTTTTGTTGGCGATTTGCCTTTTCAAGGTTTTGAATAAGATCAATCTCTTGATTGCTGTTGATTCAAGAATATGTTTTCAATTTTGCAGGTTTTGGAACAAAATGAGGATGGAAGATGGAAAGGCAGTGTTAACGATGGAAAGGTAATTCACAAAGCATTTATCTCAGTTTCAAATGTAATAAATTCTATTTCGAGTTGTAGAAATGCTCCACAGTCGATTTCAGATAATGGGAAGGTACTAACGCCTTTCTTAACAGTAATTGGCGTTTGTTGTAAGTACCCCTTTATCATATCTATATCTCTACTGTCTTTTATGTTTCCATTAAGAAAGGTATGTCAAAAGATAGCCGTGACTTGCCTCTCAATTACAGTGTTGTATCTGTGTAACACAAATCCTGTCAGGGAGTATTGGCCACGAACCTAAGAATGCCTATTCACCTAGATGCAAAGCCTTAGTTTTCTCGGTCATACATTTGACAAAACCGCGTATATTTGGACACTCATTATCTCGTTTTGCCAACGAGCAGTCAAATCAAACTATGCATGTGTTCATTACAATTCTAGAATTGTGCAAACGAAATCCTAGTCTTAAAGTCAGAAATAAGTGATTCAGTTATAGCTGTGACAGTTTGTAATTAAATATTTAGTCATGTTTTCATCAAATTTGTAATATTAAAAGCTAATCAAAGGTCACTATGAATTTATTTCCTTCATTTCGTAATTATAAGATCTAGCAAAAGAGCGGTACCGATTGCACGAGATTTGTATTCTGCTCAATAACTTTGAGTTCTCAGAAAAAGATGCCAAAGACTGTTAACACGATACCTAAACAGGAATACGTTAAGTTCTCTTATAACAACACTACCCCCCCCCCCCCAAGGAGTGTACTGCTATGAAAAGAACAGGAGGGCTCTCACACAAAAGTTTTCTTTATACAACAGAAAAAGTGGAAGTTTGCTACTTTTCCATATTAACGAGCCCCTAGTTACTACATCCCTGCACTTTCCCTTGCCCTTATATCAATACCCGCTTGTTATTATTTAGTTTCCACAAAATGTGTTTTCAATTGGCGGTTTTCAATAGTTTGCATGAAATTTTTGATGTTTTACTTTGCTTCTTGTGTCAGGTATCTAATGAAACTTTGTATGGTTTTCAGAAAAGACATTGTTGTTTGTAGTCCTTCAAATGTGTATCATTTTGTTTCTGTTTTATTCCAGGCTGAAAGAACTGGCTATTTTCCTTCGAAGTCGGTGTCAATAATATCGAAAAAACGCGAAACCCAGTCTCTTGGATCCCTGTCGTCATCTTCTGATTCGTCAGTAAACAGCGCGCTGTCAGGTATAATGGAGATTTTTTTTGTTATTTTCCTATATCGTAATATTTCGGTAGCCAGACATATTTTTGGTAAGATGGTACAGTTAAATGTATTGATAGTCTGTTTTAGGTTACAATGTTTTGAACATCTCTGTGGCCTGAGTATCTGTCCGTTATACGGAGATTTGCTCGTTGTTTAGTAGTTTCCGGTGTTGAGAGATGCCGGGTTATGAAAGGTGTTTTTGAGAATCGTCCGTTAGGAGTTTGTTACTGAGAGGTGTCCACTGTTGAAAGGTGTCCGATATTGAGAGATGTTCGGTATTAAGAGATGTTCGTCATTGACAGGTGTCCGTTAGCGAAGGCTCACTGTATTTTCCTTTGTTTATAATGGAATATTGCATAGAAGTTAGGTCTTTTGGTGGTAAGAAAAAACATTTTTATCTATAGACTCTGGATTACTTGATAACTTTATTTCAGATTAAAGGCATTGAGTCATCATAAAGTGGATTGGGTATACCTAAGTGCCAAAATCCGCTGAGTCATGATTTTCATTACTGCGATGCTATTGGTTGACCTGGAACTGGTCACATGAACTCACCTAGTATTGATTGACAAAACAATTTTCATCAATAGCAAGCTGTCAACAACGGATGCAAATATCACATGAAACAGCAGCGATCACGCTGAAACCAAATGACCCCCTATAAAGAAGGCCTATTTACCATGACTCAATGCCTTTAATATGGTTTTATATATCAGGTTTCGTTTGTCAGATATTCTTTTAAACTCTTTACAAAAAGTGAAATTTGATCAGCCTTCGCATATCATATCTATTGTTTGGAACGGAGTAGTTTTGTTTCGCTTTTCGTTTTATGTCGCTAAAGCTGGTTTGTTCCTGAGCTTAATTTTTCATCTTTTTATCATTAATCTATGCTCTGTTCGACCCTTCATTAATACTTAAATTTCTATTCGCGAGCGATTTTGAATGACATATTCTATGATAATAGCGTTTGGCACGATTCTTATAAAACTTTTTTGCAGGAAAAGATGGCAATCAACCAATAAAAAGTCCTTCAAGAAGGATGACAGGTAAATCATTTCAGCTCAGCAAATTTAGTAATACGTGTTGATCTGCTGTGCCTGTCCACCATCTTAGCTTTTCTAAATTTATCAACGTAATTTATGCAGTCGCATCATGATTACCTACCAGGGGCACATATGTAGAGTTTGTGGTGAGGAACTACCTACATAGGTCTGTAATGAGTTTTTGTATTCAGTTGCGGAACGCCACCGACAGTGATAACAGTTCATTTAGAACTGCTGCAGTTTAAGTTACACTTCAAATACCACTCTGTTATAAGTTTTAGTTGTTTTTTAAAAGATTTTTCATAGAAATGTCTTTCAGATAGAGCGAAGAAAGTTGAAAGTACAGTACAAAGGCGTTTCCGTATCTTTTTCAACATCGTTTGCAACGATCTTCAAAAGCTGCTTATATCACGCAAAAATATTCATTTGGAAGATGATATGGTGAATGTGTTTGTCTGCTAGGATATCAGACAATTTCAAAGTTGTTTCATGGCTAATATTAAAGGAAAATCATTCCAGCAATTAACGATACGGAGTCAAGTTAGATAGAGCTTGTATTTGCTAGAATTGCTGACCAACAGCGTAGCCGAAAGCTTATAGTTTGACAGGTCAAACAATAAAGGAAACTCTTATTTCTAGAATACTACAGAGCCGAGAAATTGAACTCAGAGCCGAGATTAGACTCGATTAATAAATGTAACCGTATTCAAAGTAGAGGTGTCATAACTGGCAGTAAGAAAAACATTTTGAGCCTCATTTACAATGGTCAGACCATGTTCTATCCATTTTTTCCAAAATGTCATATTTTGGGCCTAATGTGCGCTCGCAAGAAAGGCTGTCAGACTGCTGCGGGTACCAATCGAAGCGTTCAAGCCATTGTACCTAATGACCATAATCCCCCTTACTTCTGGCTTGATTTTCCTTCTGACGTAAATCTCTATATGACGATTTCTACAACACTTTCCAACCCTCTCTCTTTACAGTCATCTTTCAATTGTATTTGACTCTAATTTCCTTTTTTTCTAGAATCTAATAAACCCGTAGGCGTTGTTCCAGTTGGAACATATGAGGTTCTCACCCTAGCACCAAGTAAGGATGCCAAATGTTATCATGAGACCCGCAGTTAGAAACTGTATATACCAAATCAGCTTAACATGCCCAATTTTGCACAATCGGAACAATTATACATGTGTTTGTAAGACCAAATGTAAAGGCACAATCAGACATGTTATTCACTGATGATTAGCTTTATTGGTGCGGGATTGCTCAGTGGTCAGGGTATCGTACTACAGATCCAACGGTCTTTTGCTCGAGTCCCTTACACGACCAAACTTCCACTTCAAGTAAGGAGAGCGCCAGCCCTCTGTAATTCCAGGCGTAGGAATCATGAGGTGTGGTCACATCGAGAGGAAGCACCAGGACACCGCTCGATATGCAAAGCTTGTCAGTGTCCTAGAGACTACCTTTGAATGCTAGATAGAAACATTACACAAATATTTCTATGGTGTCATAAATTTAAGCAAATTTAAGGGAATAGGTTTTTTGAAAAAATGTAAGGAGGTTTTTGAATAAACATTCAAAATTATTTTCATGTTTCTGATTTTACATTCAATTTGTCACTTGCAAACTATTTTTACTTTCACAGCCTTAAGCCCGGACAGTAAGAAACCGCCAAACATTCCGCGCCTTAATAGTTTCAAAAAAGACTCTAAAACAGCATCAGCGCAGAGACAGAAGATTCAGGCTCGTGAGGAATTTTCCGCGTCCGGTTCGTTATCAAATCGATCCAGCTCTGCTGATACTTCAAATGATTCTGGGATTCACAGCCGTTTGTCTGGTACGATAGTGGAAGCAACATATGATGCAGTTCCAGGTCATCCAAGACTTTCCATGGAGGCAAATGTTTATGACGCTGTTCCGCAACCAGCTCTCAAGTCACCAAGGATATTCCCTACTCAGTCACCTTTTGAGGTATGCTTGTGCTAGACACAGTGAATTGGTGCTGAGTCTTTTTATGTTACTGTATTCAGTGCTGTGTTAAGCATGGTCCTAACTGACCATTTTTAGGCCTTTATTTCAAACAGCGTTCAAAACTGCCCGTAAAGTCGCATGTTAGCCCTATATCTCACACACCATTCAATTATTCCCTATAATTTCGCGTATCTAATAAGATAACTACCTCGAGGCTGGGAGAAATTGAGTCGTGCAATGACCTGAGATTTTCGTTATCTTGAAAATTAGAAGATTAAGGTAAAATATTATGGTTCTTCTCGTGTTGAGCTGGAAATATGAAGGGTGTAAGCAAATATTTCTGAATTTTATAATTCTCTGATCAAGTAGAGATGTGAATCAGGAATAAAACATTTTTGATGAAAATTCTTTAAAATTTGTAATATTCCTATGCCAGGTTTTATTTCTCGCGTTCCACAATACTTCCTTCTTTTTGGAAGCTGTAGTTGCCTTTTACATGAAAAAGTTTTATAAAAAAACAATTTTCACACCGGACAAAAGAGATTGTATATTGCATGTTGGGGAAAGTACAGTTGGATTCCGTTAAATCCGACCTGCATGGAAGAAAAGAAAAGGATCTGACTAAGCGAATGACCAACTTACCCGGGGTACAACCTTTGAATTGGATAGAGTAGAAATATCCAATTGGAATTGAAAAGCAGTCTGACACAATGTGAGTCTGGGTTATCCAGCTGTACATATATATTTTTCACTGATGCATACCAAGGTTTTTTCATCATCTTACATTTATCATCTAGCAGCAACACGAGCCGACAGATCAAGATAAACAGCGGACGACGAACTACCCTGGAACTAATTACGCTGAGATAGCGTTCAAAAACGGGGGCAGCCCAGGTCCCGATAGCATGGCTCAAAAGACCAAGCCAAATTATGCAGATGTTTATATAGCTGATCAGCGTTCAAATGAGTTTGGACAAAATGGGCCCCGTATTCATTCGGAGGCCAGGACCATACCGGGAACAAGTACGGGCAATAGGCATCTGGAGTGTGCGGGAGAAAAGGAGAAGATGGATTTGAATGAAGAACTTCTATCTAGGTAAGTTATGTTGTTGATAAGTTCAAACACAGGACTTTCAAAAAACTTGAAGGCTTATTGATTTTAAAATTATTTTATTTCGGTTGTGCCAAAAAAATGGAAAAACAGACACAATTACAGAACAGAGAGCCGACAATTGTAACAACTTGCAAATTTTTCTAAATTTAACTAACCAACTCTAAATACTGCGAGCACAAGTGAAAAATCATTGACTGGTCTTCTAGGCCATTGATTAAGTGGAATAGGTAATAAGCTAGTTTTTGTATTTGACAGATTCTTAGCGGGGCGCACACTGTTCCTGGAAGCACCTGTTTTGGGCTTTTTGAGATAGTGGTAATAAAAATTGAAACATATATGAATGAAAACGACTTTATTCTAAGTTAAGTTCTTTTACGACGTTGACATCATTTAGGATGGGTAGAACTCCGGAGGAGAAAGCCTCTCTCCGATCGACAAGCATGGCATTTGGGTATGAAGATATGCAAGGGCATTCAATGGAGGAACCATTCCCTTCGCCACCGCCGCCCTTGCCACTTAAGAATCAGGCATCAGCAGAAATTCCGCCGTCGCCGCCGAAGAAGATTGAAAGTCGCATTATTCATCACCGCCAGGATAATTACGAGAACGTGCAACCAAGGCAGTTTGTGCCTGTTCATGTACAAAATCCATTTGATTTTGCAACGAAAGACCAGTTGCAAGAAATGCCAAATCTGCAATCGGAACCTTATGTTGATTATGAAAATTACATGCCGCCGACAGCGACCATGCCCGCCAACTCTCCTAGCAATTATGAAAATTTCTTCCCTTCAAGCCAAGAAGCGCAGAAGCCCAGATCCGCGACTGTTGCTGCAAAGTCAGATTGGTCAACGACAAGACCAGTGCCATGTGAGTATTGAGATTTCAGAAGCACAGTAACAGAAAGTTTGAACTTGCTGTTTGGATGTAATAAAGATGATCTGATATTTTGTTGTTAGGTTGATTCATACGATAAAGCTTGCATATCTTGGTAGGCTTTTGAAGAATGCTTGCGTCGAATGCTGGCGTCGAATGCTTGCGTCGAATGCTTGCGTCGAATGCTTGCGTCGAATGCTTGCGTCGAATGCTTGCGTCGAATGCTTGCGTCGAATGCTTGCGTCGAATGCTTGCGTCGAATGCTGGCGTCGAATGCTTGCGTCGAATGCTTGCGTCGAATGCTTGCGTCGAATGCTTGCGTCGAATGCTGGCGTCGAATGCTGGCGTCGAATGCTTGCGTCGAATGCTTGCATCGAATGCTGGCGTCGAATGCTTGCGTCGAATGCTTGCGTCGAATGCTGGGTCGAATGCTTGCGTCGAATGCTGGCGTCGAATGCTTGCGTCGAACGCTTGCGTCGAATGCTTGCGTCAAATGCTTGCGTCGAATGCTTGCGTCGAATGCTTGCGTCGAATGCTTGCGTCGAATGCTTGCGTCGAATGCTTGCGTCGAATGCTGGCGTCGAATGCTGGCGTCGAATGCTTGCGTCGAATGCTTGCATCGAATGCTGGCGTCGAATGCTTGCGTCGAATGCTTGCGTCGAATGCTGGGTCGAATGCTTGCGTCGAATGCTGGCGTCGAATGCTTGCGTCGAACGCTTGCGTCGAATGCTTGCGTCAAATGCTTGCGTCGAATGCTTGCGTCGAATGATTGCGTCTAATGCTTGCGTTGAATGCTTGCGTCGAATGCTTGCGTCGAATGCTGGCGTCGAATGCTTGCGTCGAATGCTGGCGTCGAATGCTTGCATCGAATGCTGGCGTCGAATGCTTGCGTCGAATGATTGCGTCTAATGATTGCGTCGAATGCTTGCGTCGAATGCTGGCATCGAATGCTTGCGTCGAACGCTTGCGTCGAATGCTTGCCTCGAATGCTTGCGTCGAATGCTTGCGTCGAATGATTGCGTCTAATGCTTGCGTCGAATGCTTGCGTTGAATGCTTGCGTCGAATGCTTGCGTCGAATGCTGGCGTCGAATGATTGCATCAAATTCTCATTGCAACTTGGAACGCCAATTTTTAATTTCAAGTGTTCATTGTTTTGCAGTCAGTGCAAGACCACTGTCATTTTCAAGTTAAGAACAAACACGAATAAACAATGAAAATTATTATTGCAATTATTTCGCATGTTTGTTTGCTGAAATAGTTTTGCTAAAAGGCTAAAAAACTATTTACTCTAACTTGTATTGGTCTTTTGATTAGCTCAGTATATTTATTTTTCATTCATTGAATGAATCGACGTTTCTTCCAGTTAATTCTATTGTTTCGGCCTATTTCGGATGCATGCACTTATGAGGAAGAACGCATTTAAAGTACCGGCTATTTTCATCTTATCGACTAGTCTCATCAAGTTTAATTTGATTCTAGTAATACTTACAGTGTGTGTTTTTGTTATTTCCATAACAAAGTTTTTATTTAGCAGTTTAAGCCTCTAGAAGATGATTTCAATCATTTTGTTATCATAACCTCTCAATTTAGGTTTTGTCAAACACGAAATGGTTGTCCAGCTAAGTACACTACAGTGTTTGGAATTGTCTGTTACTTTAATTCAAATTTATAAGATTCAGATAACATAACTATTCAGACCATTCGAATATATCGCTATTTCATCTTATGTTGTTACCGTATTTATTTTCTAGTGCCACCCAAAATGAATCGAAAGAGCTGTCAGGAACCCTTCAGTCCAATCGCACCAACTGGTATGTTATCATGTTTTGATTAAATTTATAATATTTTTATAGCTATTTGGAGTTTTGAAAAATATCAGTAACTGAATGAGGGACATTTTGTCTCGTAGATTCGTTTATTCCATGCTACTTTTTTTACTGTTTCCCGGGCACATATTTTCAATTTGCCCAAAATGTGATCACTGTTTCAAGTGATTGCTAAATTTTTCCTAAGATTTACTTCATATTGCCACCAACAATGCCTGCCAAATTTGAATATTTATGCTGCATTCCCTCTCCCCCATTGAACAATGTTGTTTTATGCAGTGTTAATAGGTTCGGATTTGTCGAATGGACTCATTTCAGGTAACAATTATATCTGACTCCACAACCAATATTGTTTTTGAGGGAAGGGGGTAAGATGTATGAATTTTTACTGGGAACAGCTATTTTTTCAAGGCAACACTTAAACAGTTGGGCGCTCCAAGGAATTTTGGCCGGGATTGAACGTAGAATCAGGTATTGTTAGATATTTTGGTCTTTTTTAGATTCCGTGAAAACTCCGTTCCTATGCCAGCTGAATATGGACGAAAAGACACAGGTAATTTCATGTTTATGAAAATCTTTAATATACTGTTCAGTATCTTTAAAATGATTGTTAGAAAGTAAAATCTTTGGTTCAGGAAGGAATCAGACTCAAGCATTGGAGCTTTTTAGAGCAGTCACAACAAGCAAACCCTCTAAGATAATTTCGGTATATTCTGGAAGTATATTGATGATGAATGAATAATATACCGAAACTGAACATTGATTTTAGCAAATGTTTAATTAAAAATTATGTAATAAATTTCGAGTTTTGCTAGCCCCAACCCAGATTACTGCTTCCATTTTGAACAAATTTTGTACGTGTCTCTGTTAATCCAATGTACAAAGGTAGATTTCCAGCATGAAGTCCTTGTAATTGTCTTTTTCCGATGATCATTTTTAACGTATTTTTTAGAAAAGCTTTTGATAAAGTAACATAATGGTAAAATATTTCTCTTAGAGAAAATAGAAATCTTGAAGCACCGTTCTTTAAGTTCATGTTACTCGTTTTCTTGTGTTTTTTTATTCTTCAAGTCTCTAGCCATACATCTCGAATTTGATTTCTATTTTTTTATACTTTAGGACGAGAAGGAGTTATTGTCGTGGCTTATTGATCTAAAATTGCCCCAGTATTTTCAGAATTTTCACTCAGAGGGGTATGACATGATCAGCGTACGGGGGGTCACGCCAGAGGTATGTTTGTCAGAAATTTATGCCGCTTTAAACTGCCTTGAACCTCATTCAAGTGAAGCAGGATTGTAGGCCAGATGCGAATAGAGCAATTGATTGCTTAGGGTGATTCTGATGATGAATACGAAACAACGATGCATCGTGCAGACTTTTTTTCTTGCTACAAAAGCGGTAGAGCAATTTGAATAAGGCTACAAGCTAAGAGAGACTTTCAAACGATAACGTTTAATTTGATCTCAGCTTCGTGTAAACCTTAATTCCTCTTACAATCTTAAGCCCGCGCACACGGACTTTTGTCTTTGAAAGACGAAGATTTTTGTCTTTCGCATTCCAAAGACAGAAATCTGCCGTATGCGCTTGTCAAAGACAAAGATTTTTGTCTTGCAAAGATAGTCCTTGAAATTAAACATGTTTAATTTTCGAAGACGGTCTTTGAAAGACAAAGACAAAGTTTGCCGTGTGCGGATCCAAAAGACAAAAATCTATCGAAGACAGATTGAGTGGCCAATAAGCGACTAAGTTTTGATCACATGAAAATGTCCTCTTGGAACTTCCCGCCAAGCAATTTCCTGTCTGTATTTCAAAGATGAAAATCTGTCATGCGCGCAATCTATGATTCGTGCGGCTTATTTGGCTTATTTGAAGACAAAAATCTTCGCCTTTCAAGTCTGCCGTGTGCGGTGGGCTTTAGTCACCACGATTCATACCCATCTAGCTCCATCTTGATCAGCAATTAAATCCTACTTCATTTGGGGGGGGGGGGTTGAGGTTGTTTTTGTGCTTCCTCATTGGATGTGTCACCTTTATATATTAATTACTACATATTTGTTACCTGTATCGCCATTGCACATAAGCAATAAACAAAGTATGTACATCGTTTTCTTGCAGTAACTTGCTGAAGCACATAAAGCAAGGGATAGACTAGCTGCTTAGCTTTTGTTATACTTTGCAAATACAGCTATTTTTTTGATGGTTTTTTATTTTTGGTCAAAGGATTTAACAACGATTGGCATTACAAAAGCTGGTCATCGGAAGAAACTGCTTTCGGAGATCACAAAGCTCGGGCCTTCTCCAAGATTACCAACTCATAAACCGGTATGTGTTTACGAAAACGCCTAGTCATATCCATTTTGGCTGAAACAACACTTAATGGCTTATCTTAAACGTGACAGTGATAAAACAGTTGTATTTCAGTGCTTCTCTAGTCCTTGCTTGTTCTTTAATTTATCAGCATTTTCTCCTTTCTTTACTCTTCGTGCTCTTTGCAGTGCCCTTGCTCTAACAAAATCACTCTGTGTTGTGAATTTACAAGCGAGGGATATAGATACAAAATTAAGCACGCTTTGGAGATCACGTTTCGTTTTTGCCGTATTTCAGCATGTAAATGTAGAATATCCGCTCTTTCCCATTGAGATCTAAGTTAATACCATAATTTTTACCTATCTAGCCTCTTTTAGCTTATTTTCGATTCATATGATGTATTAACAAAAGGTTATTAATTTTTTCAAGGGTTCCCTCGGTAGCATTGAGAGCTGCAACATTGACGAAAAAATAATGTATTTCAATTCATTCAACGCAAGTTTTCGAGATGTAGAATACGGTTTCACAACAAAAACCTTTCAGTTCGATGGATTATGTTTATATCCTAAATCCCCCTGCCTTGTTTTGATTTTGCTGCATTTATATATCATATTCATTTAATCCACAGGCTGAGGTAGGACAGTGGCTCACACTTCTAGACTTGGCTGCCTACGAGAGCAATTTCATTGAGGGCGGTTTTGACGAAATGGATTTCATAAAAGATTTGGATTTATCCGATTTGGAAATGATAGAAATTAAGAAAAAAGGTCATCAAAAGAAGCTCTTGCTCGCTGTTCAAAAGTTATCGGATGTTGAGCTGACAGCTGAACTTGATGCCGTCGTTGCAGGTAAGAAAACCGTAATCCAAAACTGTCATTTCTTTAAGCTACCTACATTTAAGCATATAAAAGTGAACATAGTTATAAATGGATAAATTTCCTAAAGTAAATCTCAATTTTGCTCATTCCTGCAGCTGATGACGGACAGTAATATAAAATAAGAAAAGCCGGTGATCCCGAGTAATGAAACCGCCCGAAAAAGCCCCCGGTAATCGAGAACTAACCAAGACCGGTCCGGCTATCAATTGCTTATTGAAAATCAGCAAAGGTCAATCCGTGGCATATTGGTGCACTTAAGCAAGATTATCGCCTGTTACTATCATAAGGAAATTCGTATATTGTCCATGCAGAATCCAGCCTGCAGTAGAACTGTTACGAATAGTCTGTGTCTTTATGCACTTAATTGTCACTTAATCACTTAGATAGAATATCTCGGTGACAACCAAAACACCAATTTTCATTTAAGACGTTTAAGCCATTTTCAAATTTTATACCGCCAAAAAAGCTGAACATTGTGCTTCTAAATGTTTTGAATAAGATTCATCAACTAAACATAAGCTTTTGTATTTTCGATCAGCTAAAACGTTCTCGCAGTTGAAGATCAAGTTAATCTTGAAGGGGGGCAAGGACACAAGCCTGATTTTTTTCTAAGAATTGCTTATCTCCATTTATTTTTTCTCCAATTTTTTTATAGACTTGATCTTCAAACAGCAGCTTTTTAATGGATTAGAGTTTACTGTAACCCTCTGCAAAACTGGTTTTAGCATCTGTAGTGCTAACATATCTGAAATGCAGAAACAGAAAAATGAAAGTGTGAAAGTTTACTGAGCGGACGGCTGATTATTTTCATAGAAATTGCACTCTTCAAATTGCTAATAAGAAGAATGTAGTGTAGCGCTGTATTGTTTGTAGGCATTGCCCGTTTATGTTATGAGCAAGTGCTGAATCAGTTAATTCTGTTTGCTTGCAGTTTCAAAGAGTGACTCGCCAGTTTCGAAAACTCAAGCTCCGAGAAAACCTGCCAAACGTCTGGATGAAAGAGCAGAACCTTCTTCTCTGCAAGGCATCACCCCGCCTAGCCTGAAGCCTTTGAAGCCCATAGCAACGGCGAATCATACATTAACCCCACCAGCTGAGGAAATCGAGGAGTCTACTAGAGAATTTAGTTTCCCGGCTCCACCCCCAGCCAATGAATTAGAAAGTGCCTTCTTACTAAATCGAGATAATTTACCGCCTCCCTCGGGGAAAGAGTCCTCGAATCCCGCTGGAGAGCCAAATGTCCCCACTCCCCCAAAAGCCCCAGTAAGAGCCCAGACGCAGAAAGTAAACCAGAGTGTAAACCAAGAAGCACCGCGGCCCCGGTTACGAACTTCGTCACAACCAGTTGCTCCAAAGCCGAAACCGAAACCGAGGCCAGCGCAAAATGTCGGTCAGGTTCGAACTGCTTCCGAATATCATGCCAACGAGGCACCAGCTGTCATTAAGCCAACGACGCCACAAAAGCCAAATCTAAAAGCAGCAAGTGAAGATTCTGAATCGGCGGTGACTGCCTCGCGCTCTAGAGGTGACACCTTTCTCTTTCACTATGTCTTTACTGTGACGAATGTATCATTCACCATAAAGAGTTTTTGTGCTAATGCACTAACATACTTCTTAGATGCTGATCCAAACCCTAACCCTTATACATGGTTTCGTATGTGTGACCACATGCTGAAAAGTACGTTACCGTATTAAAGCCTAAACTGTGATTTTTTTGTCGTAACATGAAAAGCACATCCCTTGATTAAGATTTGAATACTTCTGGACTTGCAGAAGTTTAATCATTGCCGTTAATTTTAAATTGTTAACAATGTCGATGGGTTTGAACACTGGTAGCAAGCGAAATGAACTGAACTAATATTTTATCTTCAAGTAGAAGACGGTGTACTTTTTAGTTTTTTGTGGTTTAGCTTATACTTATTTCAACTTGGCAAAAAATAGCAAATACAGGAAAAATGAAGATACATTGCATGTAGCATTCTGGAAAAACTGCCAACATGACTAGGAAAAAAATTTATCAATAAAAAGTCAGCCACACCACAAAAGTTTTTGGAAGATTTACAAACACGTTTAAGTTATTTGATGGCGCTGAAAGTTCGAATTTACAAAGTTACCTCGTTTTTTTATTTACAAAGTATGAATTGTTCTTTACCTATCTTCGTTTTCATTTAGATTTCTGGCTACAGAATCAACAGCAACCACAGCCACCTTCACAAGCCGCTGTTACTCCAACTCGAACAAAGTCAATATCTGGGATAAAGCCATTGCCAGCACAGCGGCCTAATACAATGCCGGACGCAGAGTCTCCAGCTAAAACACCGCCCGAACCCCTTACTCGCAAACCATCCCTTAAAAAGGTCCCACCGCCGACACCTCCTAGAAGAGACAGCATGTCTAGTAAGAAACCCGAGGCAGCGCACGACTCTTCACAGAATGGCAATGAAAGCACATTGGCCGAAAGGTCGAGAACTTTTTCAGGTAGGTCAGACTGTTTGAATTGGTCAGAATGTTTGTGCAGCTCAGACTCTATTTCAAAAGAAAGAACTCTTGAGAACATTGCCTTGCAATTCCTCGGAACGATTCTTTTTCTAAACTCCCCGTACAATTTGAAGCAAGGAAATACATTTGAAGCAACGAGTATTACTCGCGCCTCTTTTGTCACAATACAGGCTGCAAGACTATTAACTGTTTAAATTTCATTCACTGATACCGTGAAATAATGGTGAAATACCGCGAGAATTTAGCATTTACGCCTGAGATCATTGCAGTAGATCCCCCTTTTCTCTCAATGGAGATATGTAATCACCACCTTAGATATAGGCAGATATATATCCTACCTGCATTTGATTGGAATAAATCCTGGTAGTTATTCCTTTGCAAAAAAATATCCCCAACTTTAGAATGTCATTTTCCTGCAGCGGTGTAGCATTGGGGATTGTAGACAGGCAAACTGTTTGGTTGACATCTCATGTACCAGTTACTGATGGCTTAAGCTCCACTACCAGCTTACAGTGCCACTAATCATCTGTGATGCTCCACAATTGGCTCTAAGCAAAAAATTGGCTCTGAAATCTGGTAACATTTCAACTACAAAAGGAGCATTCATTTGGTCTGGCTACTAAGTAGAGCCAAAAATGGGTCTCACATATTCAACTAAGGAACTAAATCGCCATGCTCAAACATCTCCTTTTTTATATTATTTTCTGAGGAAAGTTTTCAAATTTCGAAGACATTTTTGGAAGAAAGCATAAATGTTTTTCTGGGCTCTGCTATTGGGGTTTTCAAACAACACAACAAACATTGGGGTTTGGGAAAGTGGCGTGGTTTTAGGCCACATAGAAGCTTCTTAAACTATTTGTTCCATTTTTAAATGTTGCCCAGTTATTTTTCACAGACGAAGTGTGATTTGCTCTTCCCAATACAGATTTTCATTTACCTTAGGGTAGTTTATTTACCCGTATTCTGAAAAGTGATACGCTAACACATATCTGTTTTAAAGAAAATGAATCAAAACATGCAACTAATAAATTATTTTAAATTGGTTATAAGGACTTGAAACTTCAATTTGTATCAAAATAAATATTCAATTTAAACTTGTGAAAATTCAAATTATTTTCAAGTCGCAGAGACTTAAGTTAAGCAGGATAAAATATAAACGGTCATTTGACACCAAAATTTCTAAGATGATATTTATGAAAGAGTTTGTCACTGAAGATTCGCCCTTCTTTGCTTGTACTCAGTCAGAATGGCGGGTTCTTCAAAATGCGTCTGTGTATGCTCAATCATGTGTTTCTCGCTGAAATGAATTGGTGTGGGACAATACTCGTTGCAAGTCTTGCATAAAACAACGCTCTTTTCTGGATCAAGGCCTCTTTTTCTGAATTTCATCTGAAGCACTCGAGATCCGCAGTTGTAAATCCGTGTATTTGATACCACGATCTTGGTCAGATTGCGGGCAATTTTTGCGATCCAAATGCATGTTGGATAAGCCATTGTTCTCGTCATAGATACATCAAGATACTCCAGTGACTGGCATCTCAGAACGACATGTTGAAGCCCAAGGTCGGTGATACTATCGCATCCACGTAATGACAGTCTTCGGAGATTTATCATCTTCTGTGAAATAACCATCAGGCCTTTATCGTCCAAATGTTTCGAGTTGGGTAGAAACAGCCCTTCTATATTCTTCAGGAATTTAGCAATCACACGGATCGTGTGGATATTTATAAAACACGCGTTGATAACCCATAACTCTTTCAACAGCAACAATTTCTTCGAGACTGACACGATCATCCTTTTGCTTAGCTGCTGTTCACCAAGTTTTAGTATCCTGATATTTTCGCATTTATCGATTACATCTTCAACATCACGTGAATCTGCAAGTGTCCCATGCAGCGCAAGAAGCCTTATGTCTTTTGTTGTTCGTCTACCGAGCTTTCTCATGTACAGATACAGGTTCTTTCCTCTCAATCTTCTCTCGCCAGTTAGATCAATCTCTCTAATTCGGTACGGGTCCCCTTTGCAAGATGTGTAAACTGCCTTGCTGATTCGCGATAAATTGCACCGGTCTATAATGTTCAAGTACTTGATGATACCCTCTCTAACTTCGAAGATCAATAGCACTATTTCCAGTTGAGAGAATTCTTTGCGACGTTTGACTGAAAAACAAGTTATTCATAAGCATAATGCATGCAATACATCTGTTTTTACAAGAACACCGAGGCATGATTTGCACAAAAAGTAAGAACATCGTAAAGGCGTGTCCATCCTGAGATGAAAAAATTAGGAGAAAATAAGGTCTTCTTGAAAATTCTGGACTGGATTAAGAGCACTCGAGTCTCAATCGTCGACAAAAAGCCTCGGCAAAAATTACCTGGTTCTTATGAAAAGTTCTTGTGATTAAAGAGTGTACAACAGCAATTGCAGTGCATCATATTTTCTCTTGTCAGTTTATGCCACAATGCTATCCCAATGGAAGGATTATTTACCCCAAAAAGTTTTCCCTGTAAATGACAATCTATTTATCGTATAGATATACAAAATAACTGATAAGCTACTGGGTTTAGACAGTTAGAAAAGTGAAGTAATTTTTTTATTATATTTACTATTAATCAAACTATTTTTACTAGTAACTTACTATTTTTACTAAGTTTTGGGGAAGAGGAAAAACATCTCAACACAGTGTGTCTAGGCTTGGAATTTACTAGAATTTTCGAATTTACTAGAATGCTGCTTATCGTCTACGATTTGTTTGCTAGATCTTCTTGTCTCGTTTAAAGGATTCAAATTAAAGAAGATGTTTTATTTTGGCAAATTTCTGCTAATAAATTTCAAATAACTATCCTCGTTCTCAGACTTATTTTTATCAGAGTTATTATGTTCTCAAAACTATAATTTTCCTGGTTTATTTCACATTTACCTATCTGTTGTCTGAAGGATAAACCGAAGACGCTCTAATTAACTGCCTATTTGTTGTTATACAAGGATCTATCAATTTATTATGCCCTTACATTTTCGTCTCATCATCTCCATGAGCCTTCCTCTCCGGCTTGTAACATCATCATCTGCCCAGGCCACTCTCCTGCTGTGCTTTGTGCTACCACTACCCATTTTTAAGCATCTAACCACTTGCCACCGCTCCAACAATCTCCTCTAGTTTGTTCTTAATGCTATTTCGCAGCATTTTATATATGTAGATTCCTTCAATGAAACGTCACAATTGATTATGTTGCATCTCTTGGTTTCAGGCCCCCTAGATGAGAAAATCCGCGAAACCTTCAGAGGAAAGGCGACAAAGCACACCCCGGTCAATGGTATGTTTTGAATTGCTTTGCAAATCATCTCCGACTCAACACTCGCTAACTGTGCTTCTCAACTGACTTCTCAACAGAATTTCTTCTTGTTATTCGATTCATATACTGATTGACAGTTTCATTTCATTTCAACAAGTCAGATTAGCTACTTGTTCCCTGATAATTAGCCTTTGGTAGAATTAGAGTAATCCCATATTTATTTTGCAAATTTCACTGTCCTCAAATACATATCTGAAGTTGTTTTCTATGCTTAACTCTTGTTGAAGTCTGCTTAAGATTTCGTGTGGATCGACTTGTTTTTTTCATCTTGGAATCAACTTCTAGACACTTTTCACTCCATGTTACCGCAATAGTCTATTTTTATGAATATCTCATTTTTCCACACCCTTAAAGACCAAATGATAAAAGATGAAAAATGTTGAATTTTTTTGCCCCATGCGATAAAGTGCAAAGAGGAAGGGAGTAGTCCCGAGAGACTTTGCGTAGCCCCCATTCTTGTATTTGCCCTTACGCATTTCTAATGAGGGAACATTCTATTGCTTTTTTTAACAGTTGCTATCCCAGAACAAGCTCCAGAAGAAAAGCCTGATTCATCGAAATCAAAAATCGACGAGGAGTAAGCATTACCTTTCAAAATTCTACATTATTTGCCCAGAATTTATTCGGTGTAACCAGCAACCGGAGTCTTGGTTTTATAGTTTGATTCCCGAATACCAGCACTTCCTCTCTTTTTTCCCCCCAAAATAATGTCAATAATTAAGATTTGATGCAACTGTTTCATATGCCAGTGCTTATTTAAAAGGGGTAGAGGGTAGTAAACTCGGCATTGTAAATTTCCTTTAGTGATTCTAGATTTGTATCCCCTGGAAAACTATATATTTTTCATTCAGTCCCTGTTACGTGGGCAGACTTTTTCATCAGATATTCAATAGATTTTATATTTTTTAATGTTTTCTGTTGTCGTTGAATATGTCATATTGTTTGGTATGAAATTTTTCATGAATAGCTGAAGCAAAAGTCGCAATTATTGCGTAAAAAACGCTAATGACAATATTGACATCTGGTGAAAAACACTCATAGTCAGTGTCCATAAATCCCGATGAGACATTTTATACCCAAGATTAGACATTGATATGAAATATCGTTATTTGTAACTTTTCACTGGTGTTATTGATAAATCTCCTTGGCTTTATTAAAGTTTTCTGTTCTTTAATTCGATAATGTTTTGCTTAAACCGGGTTAATCTTATTTCAGATTGGCAGCAACGGATTCAATCATGGCAGACATTGACGATATGATAGCAGATTTCACAAACCAATTAGATTCAATGTTTTAATTTATTAATTTCTTTCCCAAATATTTCACTCATTGATATTTAATTATCAAGGGACGTAACGATGCTCCTTTTCTACTCACCAGAGGGATTTAATGTTTTTGTAAGGAAGGCTGGTTATTGATATTCCTCGTGGAAATCAGGCAAATTCCCTGAAGAATATAAATGCACGTGCCATGACGCAGTGCGTTTCAGTTAGGCCTGCTGTTTGTTAGGCTAATTTTTATAGCAGTTTGAGGTAAGGGTAACGATATAGGAAGCATCTTGTGCGAAAGCATGCAAAATAGATTTCAAAGATGTAATGAGGTATGTAATTGAATTAATTCTCACGTTTGTACTTATCCTAATTTCCACCCTAAGGTTGGAAAAATTCCTTTTTATAGAACTTGTGAAGGCGCGTTGAATTTGATTAGCTTCAAAACGTTCGTAATTCAGTGTTTAGTTATGTTCGCAGTTCAAATTACCTGGGTATTTCAGTATTAGTAAATGTCTTTTATTTGCTAAAGCTTGGCCCGTTTAATGTATCTATGTATTGAAGTTAAAGGGACAGCGGATAAAGTGAGTTATGGTCTATCAATTCATGTGTTGATGTGCCAGTGTCGCTTTTGCCTAGAGCCCTGAGAACAACAACAACAAGACCAGATATAGAGCAGCTCAGATCTGCAGCCATATGATTGTGAAAATATATTTTCAAAGTTTTGAATCGGGACCACAACTAAAAAAGCCGTAAACTTTATATTACACCAGGAAAAGGACAAATCTTTCAAATATTAGCTGGGGCATAATGGCAGGCTTTTCCTGATCGAAATATTGTAGATACTATGGTTCGTAGATTCTTGAACGAAGCAAAATCGGTCATCAGCCCTTAATAACACAAAAAGTTGTGACGTATACAAAATAGTCTGGCACTCAGCATAAAAACATCAGATCGTTTCTGAGCCTTGTTTAGAATTTCTGAAATAAATCCCTGGCTTTTCACTGATCGTACCTCAGCCAACATGTGATAGGTTTTACTGATCTCCCACATTTGGATTGTTGCTTGTTCTTTTGAATTATATTGCTCCAATACTAAAATTCAATTAATAGATGCATGACGTCATCATCTTCCCATTCGATTGGTTGCCATGTTAGGCCAGATAATTCCTTGCATCGTTTAAGATTTCAACCGAAATCTCGCTTTAGTGAATTGTAAATTTTATATTGAATGAAAATCTTTTGATTTAGTTTAAATGTCGTTTTTAAACTCGTTTTAAAAGTTAGCTTTTTCTTCGTTTGTGGGTGTCTATAGCTTAGATGCACACAAGCTACTATCTTGAAATAAGAGAGAGTTTTTGCTTGTTTTGGCAGCTTTGCAATGTTTTGTCAAAAAGGATTCCAAAAGCTCCGGCCTGAAAATGTGGAGTTAACTTAAAACTGAGCCTTTAGTTTGTAAGCAGCGAATTTGTTCAATTATTAGATATGTTATTATTCACAAAATTTCCTTAAAGGGCTGTTTGAATAAAATTTCGACAACGGAAAGTTGAGACATCGCAAGAAATAAACCAAATCTGATTCACTGAGAAATATTTAATTCATGTAGAAAAACAAAAAATTAAACACTCATTCTCTGCTCGTTGTTTGATTTTTCAAAGACTAAGGTTAATTGCGACTAGCCTTAAAATATCAAAAATCAGCATTAATTAAAAATTCCTGTTAAACCTGGCGACAACGGGGTATGCCATTTGCAACACACACATCAAAGAACTAAGGCTATTTGTTTTAAAATTCTTTTCCTAAACAAAACTAGCCATTTGAAACGAACTATTTCTCGCAAATATACATTGATAAATAACCATTATTTTTAGTTATTACTGTTTTAATTCAGCCATTCTGTTCAGCGCACTTCCAGCTCTGAACCATGTGATTTGTCCCTCGTTCATTGTATGCAGTAAATTAAAGGTTTCGGTGCTTCCATCTGCATGTTTGATTCGGCAAGAAACAGGCTAAAATAAAAACCAACGCATTTATTTGGCCACGCATTTCATCTGGCACAAAAATAACATTCAAACTCATTAGTGGCCTATTTTTTAATGGGTGCCTCTGTAAGAATATGTCGTAAACATCACTGATTGGGAAGAGGGTAAAATATGGTATTTTATAGCTTTTCGCATCATATCACTTTTTGATTAAAATGAATTGAATTACTGAGGGTGGTGCGGCCCACTGGTAATGCATCTATTGGTGATGTGCTAGAACATTGAAATCACAAGATCATAAGAATTAAGCTTTAATCTTCAAAGAACGGAAAATGCATATTTTTAAAAAATTCTAAATTTCACATTCACAGTAAACCCTTGGCAAAACTATTTGGATACAGTGCATTCTAGTCTCTTGAAGAGCTATGGGTTCAAATGACATTTTTCAAATAATTTTTTCTTTTAACCTTGATACCTGTTATTCTACATTTAAAATTGACACAGTGCAATTCTGGTTTCTCTTTATCCAAGAATATTAAGACAAAGTAAGAGGTACATAAAATAAAATCATTATTTAAATACCTTTCCGGGTGAAAGTTCACTTAATCCTAGCAGAGAAACTCTATCATTTGGTTGTATTTTGTCGTAGTCTGATGGGTTTTCGAAGACCAATGGCAAAATACCTGTAAACGAATGAAATATGTTATGAAGGAATAAAACAAATAACTAATATAAACTATAATCTTTGGTAGACTTTGATAAACAAGTCAATCTTAAAGGGATAGTAGCAAAATAGTATAGGAATAGCCAAAATCACTTGCCTTGTTTCTTGAGATTTGTTTCTGAAAAAAGAAGATAAAAATAGTGAAAAACTCCACAGTTATCCGAATATATTTTTAAGTCTAGTTAATTCAATTGAAAGACGTATAAATCAGAAAGATTACGCGACGTCATTGAACAGGATCAAGAAATCAGCAAAAGAATACAATTTGATTTGCTGGCGAACGACAGCTTAAATGACTTCAGTCGAACGATTGTGCATGCTCTTTGACTAAATGAAGATGTGGAGGGGAGCGAGGGAGGGGGCAAGCGAGGGAGGGAGGGGAGCGAGCGAGAGGGCTTGGCCCATTTGTAAAAAATAGCTCGCCTCACCAATAACTCTACAAAGACGACCATTTAAAATATTAACTGTCGAGTTAAGATTGGCAGATTAATGAAATGGGTCATACCGTGGATCCGTGCAAAACTCTTTACTATGATTGCCCGTGCTCCCAAATGTCTTGGCTCCAAAGCTGCGTGTTCTCGGCTACTTCCTTCACCGTAGTTTTCGTCTCCAATAGCAACCCAACCCATTCCTTGAGCCTAAGACAGCAAAGAGTTTTGGCTACTTATAGAGAAAACATAGAAATTTGTAACACTGATCATTTGCTAAGAAAAAAAGGAGGCCAGTTCAAAAGCGTAAAAATTCTAGCTCTTCCTTTATTCACTGGTTCACTTCACATCAACTCAATTTAATTGCCAATGTAAAACAGTGTGTTAAAAATTCTTTATTTCACGCGAAGACATATCTTCTAAGGCAAAAAGCTGAAGACTTTAACAAGCAAATTACACAGGCCAAAATGGCACTGTTTTTGTATAGAGGCACCTAAGGTAACTGAGGTCATAGCTTGCTCTGTCTTTATACCTTATAGAAAAAGTTGAATAATGTCAAACCTTGTAATGCCTTGCTGTGTCAGGGACTGCTCCATATTCTCCAGTTAACAAATTCTTAACATTATTGGCTTCGCCATTTTCGGTGTTAATTGCACTAGAAACACATAATTAAGATCGTTACTTGAGCTTGAAAAGCACGGGTTACAAATATTATTTAGCAACAATTGGAATTCTGTATGATGAACAGGCTGTACGCAATCACGAAATTTACGAGCGCATTTACGAAATGCTAACAATGGCGACATTGCTGGAAAACCACAGATAAAGGAAAGTAAACAAGAAAAAACGAAGTTGGTTGCAAAGACTTAATATTATAGAAAGATATCTAAGCCTAAGAATATAGCAAAGTACATTCGCCTCCCGTTTAAGGGTCAAGTTTCAGTCGTATTTCTTCCAAAATCGACAAAATATAACCGAGTGATAACAAATTCTATATTGCACACAAATATATGACATCTAAGCCAAGTAATGAGCTTACCCAATGAACATGTTATTTGAAATATTGTCAAGATGGCCTCTGTATTTGAGCCATGGTCCTGCCATGCTACGAGAAAATGTTATTCAAATAAAAAGATGGCCATAAAAGTTATCGAGAACTGGTTTAGTTTCAAATAAAAAGAGCTTGACAATCAATAACGTCAAGTCATTCACTTTGCAATTTTCAGACCCTGTGTACTGAAGGATGAGAACTATTTTGGCAATTTCTGTCTAAGGTACATGTTTTTAGAACACCTAATAACATGATAACACTCAGTCACTTCTTGCGTATGATGTAGTCATCAAGAAGAAAAAATTAAGTGAATTAAATACCTGATGTGATCTGTGGTACATTTTCCTTTAATCTGGAAAGAAAACATGCCACGTTATCCACAACAAAAAAACTTGTGGGTGAAATAGGAAGGTAAGCAGGTACAAAATCAAAAATACATTGGATTAGCAAGCAACAAGTATATTGATTCGCCATCAGTACAAAAAGGGAATTCAAATTTTGCGGTATTATAACTTTGGTTTTAATTGATTTGTTCGTAAGAAACAACATTAGCGCTTAATATTAAGAAACAATTTTGAAGGCTTTAGATTTTACAGTGACAAATTTATGGTACTTTTAAAAAGTCTCCCTTTAGTACAAAACAGAAACCTGTATAAAAAGCAAACCTTGATTAATATCAACAAGTCCTCATAATCTTTCCCATTCCATTTATCGAAAGGTTCCAACAACTGAAGACGATTGCTATTTGGGTCAACATCAACGGTGAGGGATGAGCCATCTGCAGGTGGTTCCTGGTTAATAGAAGACAGTCGTTCAAAATGTCGTAGCTGAGTTTTGCAGATGAGTAGAAATGTAGTTTCATTATTTCTTAGCTTTCTTGATGTAACTAACAATACGTTAGAAGGGTAAGCAACACGTAAAATTATTTTTTAACTGTGCAGATCATAACAAACAAACTATTTTGCATAATGAACCCAAATAGAACATTTCTGTTGCTCTACAAACAACATTGTCGTCAAATTTGTCATTTTCCCTGTTTCCAAAATGTTCCTCTTAACTGCGAACGTATCTCAATCAATCAACAACTGGGGCAAAAATACTTGAACCTTGAAGGTTCCTCCTGCCTCTAGACAAAGAACGTATCAATTAAATGCAGATGAAATCTCAAATACATAGACAACCCATACCTGGTACGTGTCCATTCCAGGATCAAATCCCTGTAAACAAATGTTTAAAATTACTCGTTGAATTGTCCATTCGTACAAGTAAAAATGAGTGAAGTTTTGTACCAAAATAATTTATGAAATTGATTTAACGAATAGAAATAGGCATAGCGAGAAGAAAATGGACGGAGAAATAGACACGGGTACCTTTTCAGGTAATTCATCACCATAAGGACTTTCCAGTTTGAATTCTTCGCCTACAAAAATACCAGGCATCAAATAAATAAAATGGTGTCTGATAAATCAAATCATCACCATGGAGATTCAAGGTTTAAACGGGAAGTTGTAATGAAATTAAAATTGAAGTGCTCGCTTCTAATTGCATCTGCGTTGGCAATGAGATGAACTTTACTGAAGATCAAGGAGGAACAATTGATCGTCATCCCAGGAAGAATAACAAGGTTTTTTAGTTGGTTGAAAAGGCTAGGGAAAGGCTCAAGAACCTATAGCTAAAAATCTAACAAGGGGAAGTGAGATGGGATTAGAAAGATCAAGCTTGTTTATTCTTTTTAATGAAGACAGGTTGTTGGGAAACTGGAAGAAGGTAGAGCATTCGCAAATTTACAAGATCTAGGGAGGGAGTTTTTGGATAGGGTTAATCATTACTATAAACATAATATAAAACAGCAAATGAGAAAACAGCAAATCGTTATTTATTGGTATGTCAAACTATTGAAAGAAATATGTTACATTATAATGACTGGCTTAGACTTATAAAATATGAAAAGATATTAAGTCAATACCATTGCTGCCCTTAAGGGAGTCTGTTTCCGGGTTGAAATTCAAATCTCCAGCAATTGCCAAAGCTGTAACAATCTAAAAGGCAAATAAACCTCTCATAAGCAACATTGTTGCAATTCAAATTGATGCAATATAAATCAAAGTGCCGTGCTTTTATAAAATAACCGGGTATAAAAGAAGTTAAATGTGCTAAAGCTGGAAAAGGTTTTATAAAATATACAGATGGAAAGAAGTTAAAGATGCCAAAGCTGGATTTAACTTGAGGATAGAAAAGTAGCCTTGACGGTTTTTGACTCTGATAGCACTGTCATATGTCGAAGTAAGCGATCTCTATGTAGATGGTTGCAATGACATAAGAACACGAACTTTTTAATTTGAGGAACACGTCTTACCTCAGGTGATGCAACAAACGCATGCGTGTTTATGTTGGCATCGTTCCTACCAGTGAAATTTCTGTTGTATGACGTCACGATTGTGTTCTTTTCTCCTTTTGGTACATCTTGTCTGTGAACAAAAACTTCAAAAATAGAATAACCATTATGGTACTCACTTCAGAAGAGTTGATGTGAACCATTCGCGAAATTGCTTATAATCACAATCATACTGTGCAAAGAGATAACGAGTAAAGAAATTTTGCTATCCATTTTAGCAGAATACTGAGTAGTGTCCATCTTTCATCCGGACAATACTCTTCTGCTCAGAAAACCTCTTAAGAAACAATGCAGAATTTGGATGTGGCACTCGAGTTTCCTTTGAACTCTTCCTCAAGGTGAATGCCACTTGGACCGCAATTTTTTCTGGTATCTGCTTTTAGTATCATAAAAAAGCTTTTGGTATCTATATGAATTTATGATTATTGTTAAGAACATAAATGAGTCCGTGATGAGATGTTGCCTCAAGTGTAGTATTAAATCTACCTGTCCCACTGTCCAATACATGGGCCACAGGCATTTGCTAAAACAGTGCCACCAAAGTCTCTTAGTGTCTCTGCGATTCCGTCACGTTCTATCGTAGCTCTAATCTGTTCTGATCCAGGTGTAACGGTGTACAACGATTTCGCTTTAATGCCATGACTCAAGGCCTGTTTTGCAACACTAGCGGCTCGCGTCATGTCTTCATAACTGCTGTTGGTGCAGCTTCCAATCAACCCTTGAAGACAAAATAAACTTATTTAGTCTGCATTTTCAAACAAGCCCAAATTCTTGATACAGGAAACCAAGAAAAAGAGATTTTTCGTACAAACAATGTCTTCAGTTATAACGTTACTCTTCATATAAATCATGGAACTGACTGGATAAAACATTTACTCAGCCGTAAGTTGATACTTACCAACTTTTATATCGGTCGGCCAACCATTAGCTTTTGCATTTTCTCCAAGCTTTCCAATTGGATGAGCAAGATCAGGAGTGAAGGGGCCATTCACATGAGGCTCAAGCTACAACCATGAAATTCAGATTAATTACCAACTGGCTTATTTGGATATTTTTTTACATATGTTAATAACATCCTATTCCAGCTTGAGAGGGAAATGCCTTCTAGACCTTCTTGTTTATTAGAGCAGATTTCTCAACGGCTTGAATTGCTTTGTGCAATGTTGAAGATTTTTAACACCAGCGTCTAACCTTGTATGATGTTTGTATCAAAATAACATGTAATTTCACATCAATGTTAATAAAAAACAAGTTATATTATCTTTAGGATTTTCGATTCTGCTGCTAAATAATAAAAGAGAATAATAAATAAATCACTGTGTAATCATTACTTCACTCAAGTTTATCTCGATCAGCTCGTCATAAGGCGCGTTTTCATCAGGAGAGAGTATGTGTTGATACTTGGCCGCCAAATCAGATATAGACGATCTATTGGATGCATGCAGAAATCTTGCCATGCTTGGTCCAAAGGGAAAGACGGAAGTTGTTGCACCGATTTCAGCACCCATATTGCAGATGGTACCCATTCCTGAAAAATACATCAAAGTACATTAAAAAAAGGAACACACTATAGGACAAGACACAAGGACCTTTAACCAAGATACGGACAGTCAATAAGCTTTACAAGAGCAATCAAAGACTTAAAATGGTGAAATATACAACAGAGGTAAACAGAAAACGAAATCTGCCAACCTGTGCAAGAAATCGAATCAACCCCAGGTCCATGATATTCGACAATGGCACCAGTTCCACCTTTTACGGTGAGAATTCCAGCAACCTTCAAAATAACATCTGTAGAAAAAAGAAAACAAATATAAACAGTAAGTTTGTAGAGGTTAGATAGGGAGTTGGTTTATCAATTTATCATGGATTCGAATTTACATTTAAGTAGATCAAAAACTGTGAAAAGAAAAAGAAGGCGATGCAAGGTACCCTTTGGCGATGTCCAGCCACTCAGCTTGCCAGTCAATTTCACACCAATCACCTAGGGCAACAAATTTTGCAACCATTAAAACTGAAACATTACAAAACAGTATCAGAGCACGAACAAAATCTTTAACAAAATGAAAATTGTTGTGCTAGAAATACGATTTCAGAGCTGGCATCAGATATTTTCTTCTCTATTGAAAATTTGAAATCTAAAAATTCATATAAGATTTTAACACGTCAGGTTAACTATCATGATAAATACAGGCTTTTATTGCTAACTCCTGCAAGTTACATGATCTGCTGAAATGTAGAAGATTTTGTTTGTACCTTTGGACATTTGAGTTCCCATGGGAGTCCTGCCATAACATCAACTGCATCTGCACCACCCACTCCAATGCACAAGCCACCAAGACCACCTGAAAAGTTGATTTTATTAATTACAAATATAGTAATTGCTCAAGTGAGGCATTAATTAATGTTCTATTGTTTTAAAAAAATGAAATCTGCCTAGCATATCTTCAATTTTTTACTGTACTTTAGAACACATTTGCTTCCTTCTGGTCTTGGTAAGACTGCATTCATACAGAAATATTTCAACATTCTGTACTTACCTCCATTTGGTGTATGACTGTCAGTTCCAATCAAAAGAACTCCAGGGAAAGCGTAATTCTCTAAAACAATCTACAAAAAATTGACACAAGGCCTTTCAAATGCAAGAACAAATAAATCAAAAACCATAGAGCGAGGAACAATATTAAAGAGCTTAAATTTGACAGTGACAGAAAGAAATTCTTTGCACAATGTGTATAAACCTGATGGATGATTCCTGAACCTGGTTTCCAGAAACCAACACCATATTTTGCACCAGCACTGGCCAGAAAGTTATACACTTCTTTGTTGATATCCTGTAAAAAGAGAAAAGTGCATGGATTGTTTTCTTGCTAGACATTGAAGTATCAGCATAATAAAAAGGTAAAAAGTTTGATATAGTCTTCGATGCTTCACTACATCAATGCAAATGCTAATCTAAAAAGGCTGGGTTACGAGAAATAATCCATGATAAGATTCTTACTTTAGCCCGTGCCAAGTCTTTATCTCCTCCCAGTTGTGCTTCTATCAAATGGTCACAGTGAATTGTGGAAGGTACAGCAACCTGAAAAGTTCATAACAGACAAGTCTTACACAAGTTATCAAATCAGTTGTTTTTATGTAAAATCAATACGTAAACCATAACATAAAGCAACACTATACTCCATTTATATCATAAGTAACCATTCTATACTCTGTCAGTGAATTGATTTAAAAAAGCTCACCCTTTGCAGACCACTTGAAATGAACTGCAACATTGCCATTTGTGCAGTAGCATCTTGCATGGCAACTCGATCTGGGCGCAACTTCAAATAGGACTTTCCTCTTTCAATGTCCTGTAAATAGATGAAATTGTCTTAGTTGTGTTTACAAAATCCTGAATAAAATTTTATTAAAAAGATTCTATTGCACGAATAAGATTCAAAAATCACACTGGAGAATTGTCAAGGATTGTAACAAACTATTTGCCTTGGTAATATGATAAAAGACTCTTGAATCCAAAAGTTAATCAAAGTTGAAGCTTTTTTCAATCAAATACTAACATTTTCAGGCAGGGACCTTTAATCGCTCTTTCTTAAAACTTGGTGTAATGCTGTTATGAATAAATAGCTTAGACCAAAAGGTAGTCAGCTTTTTATATTGCTGTCAAAGACAGAATTAGGCCCTGGTGAGTGCATGGTAAACTGGTCCTCTGGAAGAGACATCAACAGTGTATAAATAGTAATATTCAGGTGACAACCTCTGTGAAACAATAAAGGATTACTCATGACCTATAGAGAGATCCAGAGAAACATGCACTCAACATGGTACTCAGAAAAAACTCACTTGGTTGATAGGGTCATCAATATGACTGTATAGGACCTTCTCAGACAAAGTAAGTGGTCTTTGTAACCTAAAATAACATAGAATTTGTTGATGTAGTCTCTAAACAGGGTACACATGAGGGCAGACAACATGACTGGGTATCTTGAATTACTCAGTTTCTTACTTTGTTCTGTTTAATTCTGAATAACCAAATAAAAGATCGTGAAAAATGCTCATAAATGTAAATAACAAACAAAACAAGGGAATGGTTACCTGTCTTTAATAATTTTCAGATTACTGTCCATTTTCTCATAATTAATTGCATTGTTTGGGTCAAATTTGCTCATGGGTACCTATGAAACAAACAAAAACTTTCATATTGATCAGAAGATACAATCCTGGCCAGGGGTAAGAAAAAACATCAACAGTCAGCTGATTCAAGTCTGAACATAATCAATGGTTGGCATATTCCTTAATTATGTGCAAATAATTTCAAGTATGTGAATATGCAATTAAAAAAGATCAGTAAAATATTTTCCATTACCTTTTTAATGAATGCATCATACTGATTACATCATATGACAGGTGCATATGAAAGCATGAACATAGAATATCATATATGTGTAGTTACAGACCTATAATTTCTAAACATTATACATAAGACATAAATCTTTTTCATCACATCCTGATAAAGCACATGGAGAGCCTTTGAAATGCTGATATACTAATTGATAAAAAATTTAACACCCACAAAACTTTTCATCATCATTGTGTCCAAAATAATAGGATTTTAACTAAAAAGAAACTTACCATGTTTGATAGAAAGGGTGATGTCGCAATGGCCCTGACATGCTTTCCAATTTCAGCACCAATGGCCTAATATGCAAAAGATAGTATGAATATTAAGTTTACATATTATCAGAGATGTAAGATCATTATAAAGGGATATTTATCGATTAATTTGAGCTACTACCTTTAACTCTGATAAATGATAAAGAGGCAAAGCTGTGGGCCTATCATAGGCTTGTAGCTTCCTGACCTCAATGTTTTTATATTTATGCTCATAACAGTTGACAATATACACAATGTACTACAGGAAGCATGGAGGTGCATCACAACCCTGTGGTCATTAACAGTTAATTACAAGTCTTTCAAAATAGAGGTGGAATGATGCAGTTGAGAATCAAGTTGTTTGGGTCTGCATTCAGAGTCCTCAGTTGTGTTATGCATCATCATTTTGATTTTGGCACAGACACAAATAAAACTTGACAATTCCAAAATTACAAACAACTTAAAAATGTTTCACAAAGGGGGTAGGACAAAAGCAGGCTGTCAAAAATGGTACAATGGGTGGGTGTATTCTAACATAGCCTTTATAATTTTATTGTTTATATCATTTGGTAACCTTTCATCTCCATACAAAATAACCATAATTGATGATAGGTATAGAAAGGTTTTTCGGAGAGAGGGCTCAAGCTTAAAATTCTGGGAGACTTCAAGGGGTTTTTGAATGAGAGATCTCAGCCCTTCACCCATCACAATGCTTGGTTGAACAAATTCTATGTTAGCATCCCTTTTTGTGCTTTAAATTTCAATCAATGAACTATTTCCTATGAGTCTTTTTTAATTTGTGAATAGGCTGAATGATTTCGTAAACACAACAGAAAATCTTTAACTGAAAGGTGATGAATATTGAGTGTGGTCATGTGTGTGGCTTCTAGAAGTTGTCTGCAGCACAGCCCCCCTTAACTTTTTAGGACAGCAACCCTGGTTTTATATGCTCCAACCCTAAATATGCAACATGGTTATCACAAAACTAGAATTGTAATGGTCTACTGAACATAACCTCTAAAAACAATGTGAATGAAATTCTTTTTACAAAAACTCTAACTTTGTGCATTTGTTTGAAAATGGCACCTGTTGTGGAAGGCAATTAGACCAAGCTAAATATTCTACATACAAAATCATTTAAATTACAATTATCTATCTTTACTGATGTTCATACACGCGGTGTAACACAGACACAACCGCATACATGTTCTCAGTAAAAATTTAAAAATTTTTTTTTGCAAAGCATGCAGGCTTGCCTATTTTTGTAAGAACCAGAGCTCTGCTGTGCTCTAGCTAAAGCAATAGACCTATTTAACGGTTCTTTTTAAAGTTATTAACTAACATTGGAATTTTGCAGCTTTTTCTCAAAAATAAGTTTATTCCTCGAAATGGGATTGGATGCTTGCGGCCGAGTAGCTTGCCAATCAACACTTGAACAAAATTGAGTGAGGTTATGAGGAGAAGGATGACTCACAGTGCGTTGCTTTGCTACTAGTCGAAACATTTTTCTCTCGATCTTCGGTTTTCTTTTGTCTAATGTGTTCTTCTGAGAATAATTTCAAAGACACATGCACACCGCAACTAACGATTGGTGCAAAGCTTTGAAAAAGGCCTGAGATCTGCGATTCTCTGGTACCATAGGTCAGCGGAATTCACTTCAACTGACATCTATCCTAAATGCTCCGCCGCATAATTGGACGCATCAATAGCCTCATTTGGCCTGAATTTTCAATAGGAGACTTGAAGTTGGTGCGAATATTTTTGGCGGGAAATATCACCAATGGAGAATCAGTTGTTTAAAAAGTTTGATTTATATTAAATATACGACGACTTCCTATTTACTTTAGCAACCATGTTGTAGGATTTTGATGAGTTAATTTATGGTGTAAATTGAAATTTTAAATATATTGGATCTGTTGTCGATACGAAGGCGAAGAAAAGAAACACACAATGGAAGATTGTGATTTGCCCGAAGAATACTATGCCTACGGAGATATTGACAAGTACGAAGACCAAATAGCCGATGATCTTGATGCTTTAGATGATTTGGACGCAGGTAAAAATGCCAGGTTATAAATGTGTGTAAGAAAATAGCTTTTCTTCTCACCGTCACATTTAGGTCTTATTTACAAGCGACTGTGATCTGCAGAATTCAACGTTTTCTCTTTTCCATCTTCATATTTCAAATTCTTAGTGATTAACACTTAAAAATGAAATGTAGCATAAAACAGAATATAGCGGATTAGACGAAACTAATATAGCGAAACTAAAGAACTAGATAACTACAAACAAGAACAGGGTTGATGATATAAGTATCTTGGTGAGAAGAATTCAAAGAATGAACCCTCAGAAGTTAAACTAAGGAAGAGAGCACCCCTTGTTCTTATTAATAAACAGCACATTCAGAAATTAAATTTCTCATATTATTAATGACAATCGTGATAGAAAAGCCTTTGAATTAATCTATTTTGTCATTTTGCAGAGGATTTCCCTGTGGTAAAATCTAGAACTTCAAAGCAGAATGAATCTATAAATAAAGGGAAACATTCAAATGGACAAGCAGACTCTTTCAAAGTGTTATCTTCAAACTCAAAGTTTACTGTTGAAGAGATTGATGATGAGGACTTTCTGGAGAGTCTTGGTGAGTCAAAATTGCTTATTAAAATCACTCTTATAATCTATATCTCGCCAATTGATACAAAATTTAATGTTCTAGTTAATTTTAATTATTTTTTCTGAATTAGCTCCAAGACTTCCAAAATCGAAGAGGTTGAAAATAGATGAACAAATTGTTGGTGATGATGATGATGATGATTTGGAGTCATTTTCTGATCCTGTTATACAAAGTGAACCAATTCGAATTGTGCCAAGCAGAAAGTATGTCCATAGACTTCCACCACTTGGAAAAGATCACATCACTATAACAGATACAGAAGGAAGAAGAGTCTTTCTTCCTATTGAGAAAGCCAGTGAAGATGTAAGTGTTTTTAAGACATTAATTTTTTTTCTAATGGCTATATTTGCTATTGTCACACAATACAACCAATATCAAGAACTGTATTGATTGTTCAGACAATTTTTATCTTTGTCCTTTTATGATTGATCTTTGTCCCATGGAAAATATATTTTTGATGGCAATCTTCCATACACTGTTGTGACAAGGATCCATTTTTTCGTGATACACATCTAAGTTGTCATCTCAAAAAAGTTTCAGTGAAACATATCTAAGTTGTCATCTTTTAAAGTTTCACATATTCTCCCATTGATTTTCTGTAGACTACAATTTTTTCACATTTCTGAGAAACCTTTTCTTTGAACAGTTTTTAAAATCAATTTTTAATAATTCACTCTATTGATCAATTTTAAAGATCTATTCTGCTGGTAAACCAAAGGCAAGCAACACAAGCCTTCTTCAGATTCCATTTGAAAATCTCAGAGAAATTGTTGATGCTAAGGTATGCAACAAATTGAAATCACAATATTCTCCTTTATTCCAACTATTTTCTGTCTCTAACATTTTCTTGTTGGTTGTGGGATCTGAGTCATGAAAGGATCTAAATTGAATCTATAATGAGTGAAATTGGCTCAAGTTGAAACTTTTCTGAGTGTATTTGATGCTTTACGGGGTTTTGCAATAACTATAGATTTTGTCAGCATATGACCATCTTTTCTTAAGGGTAAATGAAGGTGGAAACCATTGATTGCTGAGAAGCAGTGTCAGTACCAACAGGTGGTATGGGAGGCAGGGTAATTACTTTTGCCAAAACATGGTCGACATAATTTTTCTAAAACTTGATGAATATGCATTAGGTAGGGATTGGCCATATTTTTTCCCACTCTGCTATAGTTTGCACTGTCACTTCAAAGAAGCTTATACAAAAATGCATTAAAAGACAACACCGCAAAATAAGTTGAAGTTTATATCATCAACTGTCTTGTTGATATTCAAACATTTTACGTTTTCACTATCTTAATTTGATAATTTTTTTTATCTTCACTTGGTAGCGTCATGCAGATCTAATAAAAAGAGCCAATGCAGTTAGGGACATTGATCATGGGTAAGGAGTTTTGGACATACTAAGAATAATATTTTGACTGTTCATTAAACTTTGTTTATTTTTCAATGATAAAAATTCTGATGTAACATTTTCAAGGACAAATTAAGCTATCCTCCTTCTCCTTTGACTAAGGGGATTAGAAAGAATGATTTTGTACCTATCACCAGATTTGAAAGATTTTGTTCCAGTCTCAAGAAAACCCATGCGGTTATGTTGTATAATTCAAAAACATGAAGGGCAAAAGCCAGGAGATCAATTTAATCCTACACGTAGCTTTCTGCCAGTGGATATTCATTCAAATACCGTTAATCCTCCAATAAGCCCTCGTAGGCTTATTTGCAAAAATGAATTTTTGGGTGGAGGCTTATTTGAGGGGGGGGGGGGCTTATTTCAAAGTTTAGTATTTTCCTCAAAGGTCAACATAAAAACGACATAATTTTCTCAACAAAATAAATTGGAAAATTACAAAAAGGCTTTTTTGCAAAGGAACCTTTCTTGAAATAAGATGTTATTCTGCAATTATGCTTGTTTGCAAAAATGATTTTTTAAGGCGGGGGCTTATTTGAGCATAGGGGCTTATTCGAGGATTTACAGTAATAAGATTCTATTATTAAATCTGCTCCAAAAAAATACAACTTCCAATGAATTTAAAAGCATCAAAATGGTAAAATTTATTTCTTTTCAAAACAACCACGGTGCTGTCTCTGTTAGTAATATTGTGTCCTATCCTACTACTCCAGCAATCTGTAGGTTTGTAAGGTCTCATGGAATTTCTCGGGCATATGAAGAAAAGAAACCAGCTAGTTACAAGTTACATGTATTTCTATACACCTTATGCTTACACTAAATGCTTCAATATGACTAATAATGAATTAAAGAAATTTTGTGTGGATATTTTTCTTTCTTGCCTTCCAATTATTTATTTGCCATGACAACCCTGATGAAAAAAAACAAAAATTTAATGTCGGTTGTAATTTGGTAAAGTTAACCTTCTACAGTAGAATTTTTGATGAAATTTTGATAATGCTACTCAATACCCAATATAACTAAAAATAGATATCAAGTTCCTATCAAAAAAATATATAAAATAAATTATGGTTTCTTCTTTTTCTGCCAGAAAACCATTTAGCTGATATAAGAACTGCATTCTTAATGATGTCATTATATGTGTAAATATTGTTCTTGCTTCATTTCAAATTTCAAAATTTCAGCAATCTTGATGATGATATATTTGATGTGAACGAAGAAACAGAAGAGACCTCAGATGTCCCTGAAATGGATACATCACTCTGGGTGGAAAAGTTTACACCTAAAAAGTTTAGAGAGCTACTAAGTGATGATGTAGGTTTCCTTTGTCTCCAGTTTCCTTTGCTACCTTCTTTTGTTAGAAGTTTTCTTAAGTCCTCTATTTTCCATGCTGCAGTCTGGCAAATAGTTATCAACAGTTTGCCATTTTTTATGTTAAAAGGTCGAGATATTCATAAGTTCAGTAGTGTTTTTGTTTATAAACAGTACAGACCCTAATTTGTATGATATCAATGTTATAATACAGCATAGTGTGTTGCATTTAAGGTTACCAAAAATTCATTTTTGGCTCTAGAGCAGGCTTTTGGTTGTTTCATAATCGAATAGGTGTTTCAATGTCAAGAAATATGTGGTATGGCTTGGGTTTATAATTGTCTATTTTGTTTATGCCAATAATGTTTTTGCTGCTTTAGGCTGCATAACTGTAGCTAATTGTTGGGATGAAAAATGTACAAAAGCCAACTTTAAAAAAAGTTACAATTGTTTCTGCAGGGAACAAACAGAATTTTATTGAAGTGGTTGAAGTTATGGGATGAGTTTGTTTTTGGAAAGAATCAGAAAAATAAAGTAAAACGGAATAATTTTAAAAGCAGTATTCAAGAAAAGCAGAACAATGATAATGCAAAAAAGTTTGGGAAGAGGAAACAAAACTGGGATTACGAGGAAGAAATGGTAAGATATGATCTTTAATCTATTCCATTTTGCTGGATTACTTAAGAATTCATTTTTCTGGCAAACTAGATCCACTTGTCTCATAATTTTTCTGATAATTTTAATGATCGTTATCAGTTAAATAAAATTTGCCAAAATAATCAGTATGTTGTATTTAAACTCGTAATTTCGAGAATGAATTTATGTGAAAAAGTTTATTACCAGAATATGAATGGTTGCTTCAAGATGTGTAGAAAAATTGCTAAAACAATTTCTTTTTTATCAAGCTGTTAATACATAGACGTGTTGTTGTTTTACAAAAGCTGATAGATAGTTTCAAAGATCTGTTTCTCTGCCTTGCATGACTTTCTATCTTCCTACCTAAAGGTAACAGATCACACAGGAAGGCCAAAATTCAAGGTAGTAGAATCTCATTTTTTCATTCATTTAATTTATTGTCAGCAAATTAAATTCGGTTTCGCTGAAATTAATCAATTTTATCAGGTATTGTTTCGCTCAGTATGAAGATTTGTAAAAAATTCCTTTACCCAGCACAAGGCATTTTTCGTCTTTCATCAAGGCATTTTACAACATAATGCTACTTAAATCTAAGTTACTTGTCCCTCTTTTCTCGAAGATATGCTTGATTTTCAAAATAAAACTACTATTGTTTCCTTTCATAAGCTTTCAAGAGTTCTCATTTTTAAATGATTTTAGCAGAAGAATGTGAATACCTATCGTTGTTGCAGCATTTCTTTTTAATAGGCACTCACATCAGCTGAGAATCGAGAGCAGTATGATCGCACTTTAAACGCTAGATCAACTGCCTGCTTTTTGTATCGCAACATTTGTATTTTAAAATATAGATTGCTCTCCTTGCTGGCAATCCTGGATTGGGAAAAACTACCCTTGCTCATGTTGTCGCAGAGCATGCTGGTTATAATGTTGTGGAAATGAATGCAAGGTATTTACGATTGTCTTAAAAACTTCAACTACATTATATGGGACTGCCGCTACTATGTCTTTGATCTGACTTAAAGTTATTTAATATTATTTGCTGAAAGTCAAACATTTTGTCTGCTTAAGTAAATTGTGGAGAAATGAGATGAAATAAAAGTCACCCTTCAATGGGCTGGGTCATACCCCGTTTCGAGGGTAAAAAGCACCCATATTAAACTTGATCGTATTGAATTTATTACGCATGCATTTTAACCATAAGAAAGCAGAATTACTCATTACATAACTTGCGCTCATTGGCCAAACAGACGCCGATTGAAACAATTCCACAACTTGACTCTCTTCTTTCAGTCATGTAATATCGTTGTATGCTTCTTTTTTCTGCCAGTGACGACAGATCAGCTGAACTGTTCAGGAACAAACTGGAGACCACAACCCAAATGAAGTCTTGTCTTGGGGATGGAAACAAACCAAACTGCCTCATTATTGATGAGATTGACGGTGCTCCATTGGTATTATATCTTTCACTTGATTTTCACTGTACTGTTTCTTTTGAAATCGTTGATATCTCATGTAGCCTTTTTACAATATTTTGATAGCAGTCTTGCCATGTAAGATTCTTTATCTACACTGCCTGTTTTATTTGATTGATCTAAAGGACTGTTATTCATCTAAAGGAAGTCTGACTTTTCATCTAAAGGACTGTTATTCAATATAAATATGATATGTTATTATTCTGATATGATGCATCTGTACATAAGAATTTTTGTTTCCTAGCAAGCAATAAATGTCTTAATCCAGGCTGCCAAAGAAACTGAGGGTAAGCTTTTCGCCTATTTGAAATACCGTCTCTTATTTAATAAGAAGGAGAAAAGCACGCTTGAGTCTTAGATTCTTTTGATATAGTCTTTTAATGATTATTCTTGAAAGGTCTTTTATTAGTGATAATCAAGAGTCGCCATGCAAAGAAGTGAAATAAGAGGCTTTGACAGATTTTGTGCCACCACACCAACTTGGAATGAGATTGTAAAAATGGGAAAACCAATGAGACTTCAGACAGTCGTCTAGTTTCGCCTCATATCAGGGCTCATTAGCACAGCTTGACTGAGTAGAACCTTTATACAGCTGTCAAGTTAACTGTCTTTTAATTTCATGAGTTAAATAAAAATGACCTCGCTTAGATCATGATACTAACAACTTTGGTGTGTTTGAAAACGAAGCATATGTTGGTCAAAACTTTATGTGAGTTCAATTTTGATGGCTCCAGCCATGCTCAGTTATTTCTTAAAGATGGTTTAAGAATATTTAAAATTGTTTTGATAATGATGTTTGTGTATTAAAAAGTCAGTTTAATGGTGGTTTTTATTTTGTTTCTATATGCAGAATCAACATCAAAAAAGAAGAAAAAGTCCAGACTGACACTAACCAGACCAATCATATGTATTTGCAATGACTTGTAAGATCAATTTAAATATGTCGTTAATCCTATGATTCTATTTTTCCAGTTTTTCTAGGCCTCGTTTTAGATCTATGACTGTCTGAGAATTTAGGATATTTAGCTTTTACAATTTACTATTAACCCAGCACTACTTAGTATTGTTTCAACGCATGCGTTACCCATTTACATATCTAAATGCATATATTTAATCATTATTAAATACACATCATTACCCTTCTACCTATATGTCCTTCACAGTAATTCTTTTGCTTTCTTCTTGTATTTTTTCTATTTCTTTCAAACATAGGTATGTCCCAGCTCTGAGGCAACTGCGCCAGGTGGCCATGACTTTATCGATTTCTCAGGTTGTTCAAGGTCGGTTGGCCCAACGGTTATTCGAGGTACTCAATTTTATATTTTTTAGTCTTTATGTACATATTACGTTTGTTACGTTTTTGGTGACGTCTGATTCCGCAAACCTTGGAAATATCGAATCGATTTGTGACAAAATATGATTTATTGCTGAATGGAAAGATCACAAGATTGTCAAATTGTAACAATCACACTAAAAGAAGATTACTAGATGAGTACGTATTTATAGGGTTATATCCATCTAAAGTGGGACTGATTAAGATATGTGGTTACCAGCAGCCCAATGATCGTAATAAACGTTGCACTTGGGGTCGCAACTTAGACTTACTCCATGAGTCGCTGTTTCGCTACTGCCTCACTTGACGGACGCTACAATCTAGTCGCAACTTAGAACCATCCTAACACACACCACAATTACCATTAGCCTCATTTCCATTCATTTTCAACTTTCAAATTTACTTCATTCAGGGACCAACTTCTACACGAGTCTTTGTTCTCGTCTGCTTTCTCTCTTGAACCAATTAGTTTGGATAAGCAAAGTTACCAAATATTTGACGGCAGTTTAATCTCGGGTATACGATGCAGAAAATGTTTCTTCAAAGATCCCTCTTGTCACAGCTCTTCTTTCATTCAATAGCATTAAATTGGCAAACGATAAAATACTAAAAAGACAGGTGAAGTAGATCAATACTAATAATGCCTTTAGAATCACTGAGATAGCATTCAACTGCCTACTTTAAATAGGGGGTCTTTCAACATATGTTCGCTATTTGGTTTTAGATATCTCGAAAACAGCAAATGAAAGCCGACATGGGGTGCTTGCTGGCGTTGTGTGAAAAGTCTGAGAATGACATCAGATCTTGTATCAATACACTTCAAGTAAGTTTGCATTCCTTGCCATTTATTGTTTTTTTTGCATAGTTCTGGTATTTTATCGATTTTTCAGATAGTTAGTAAAAAGCGAAGTATATTGTGGAAAGGTTTTTTTTTAAATAAACTGTATAATATGGAAATGAACAATTTATAACGGAGGTCCATATTGAATGTAGACCTGGTCGTGTGTTGGCAGAAACATTTCTTCCTCCTTTAACCCTCAATTACTGACATGTTTTGTAGACACTGATTGGTTTAAAGGAGCCAATCAGATGCGCCCGCTTTTTCTACTGACTAATCTGTTCTCTCTATTTTTATTTTCTTAAATGGCTTATTTGAATACCCCTAAGGTCGATATGTATATATTTAATTATTTCGATAAGGTCGATAAGTATTCCAGTCTGCGATAGCCTTTTTTCATAGCAAAATAACAGAGAAAAATCATCTATTAAATACATCTAAGCTAAATGGTCATTTTGGAAAAGACTTTATCTCTAGAGAAGAACAACATTGCAGTTTCTGCTTAGTGACAGGTTTAAGGGTTTTAGGAGATGAATTTCATTTACTTATGGCGTGTCCGAAATTTACTGATAAAAGATGCTATCTCTTAAATGAACACCAACGAATAGCATCTAACAAGTTGGAATCAATTTATCTGGATATTAAGCCAAGAAGACTTAAAATGTCTCAATTTAGTTGCCACATTTCTATATAAATGCTTTGAAACAAGATTGAAAGAACAGTAGAACAGTACTAATTCCCTAGATGTTCAAACCCCGGATTCTAATTATTAGTTGATAATATAGATTTTTCGCCGTAAAATGACATTTTAATATTGCGTATTTTTGATTTTATCGTCCATTCATAATTGGCGATTGTATTATTTAAATTTGAGTTGACATTAACGTTTGACAAGTTGTTGTAGCAGTAATTATATTAATATTTATTGTTGTGTTAATGTTATAGTTAGGTTAGAGGCCACCTTGGCCTAGGTACCTTTTTAAAAAAAAGTAAAAAAAAGAATTTATGCATATGCAAGTGAAAAGATGGCAAAGCTAACAGCGATCGTAATCTTTGGTTATAAACAGGAAGAAGGTTCAAATTGTCCAGTATAAAGCAGCGGCTCATATGCATTTTTTAAACAGGTTTTTGACAAGGTTGAAAAACGCTGTTAATTATGCTGGATCCTTCTAATTCATTGACTAAACAATTTTTTGGTTAAGTTTGATTCAAGTACGATTTATAACTTAAATGGCAAGATTGTCAAGGAAACTCTTATGGTGGCTGGCTAAACTACTTATAGACAAAATAAATATCATATCGTTGTCATGAAAATACTTTACCCGAAATCCATAGTACCTAACTGTCGGTGTTGGCTCTTTGAAAGATATAAGAAATACATTTTGATTTTAAGCACCAACTTCGGGGATTGAACAAAAATCTGCCTAGATGTACTGCCAATGATCATCCTAATTGTAATTCACTGTTTATTCTTTGACCAGTTTATGTTTAAGAAGCATGGAGAGTTAAAACCGGAACATTTGCAAAGTATCAGTATCGGACAGAAGGATTTCCAAAAGGGTCTTTTCTTCATTTGGAAGTCGATTTTTCAACTACCGAAGCCAAATCGCAAGCATTTTGGGTTCCTTCAGCAGCTGAAGAAAGACGGTGCTGGGCAGAATACTCTTGCCTTGTCAGGTGTTCAAAATGAGTTCGGCCCATCAAAGGCTCAAACGAGCAATTCTCTTCGCTTTCATAATATTTTGCACTTGGCTTCATCCAATTCAGAGTTCGAGAAGATGACACAAGGTTTTTATTCTTCTTTTTTTTCAGTATATTTATTTTTCAGTTCAAAATTTCTATTGTTTATTTCAAGGGCCGAGAAAGGTTTCGAAATGTGGTTTTGATTTTCGCCATTAGGTTCTCAAAATTTTTTGCCCCCGCTCTCACGGCTATTGGTTTTTTTCGCTAAGTGCAAAGATATTAAACCTATTTGCCAGTAGATAACTTCAGGCTTCTCTTACCCAGGTAATCGCAGAATGTCTGGGTGAAGCATTTATGATGACTTTATGTGCTTCTTTATTATAGGAAATAGTGGCGTGACCAGGACTTTTATCATTATCTTGATACTGATTATAATAATTCCAACTATAACATGTTTTCACATTTTCAACCACTTTGCGTCCCCGTTAATAAGCTTCTTTCTTTATCTTATAATCAATTAACTGAAAATTATGAGTACAATAACCAGAAGTGGTAGGGCAACTATTTTGTTTCCTAAGCCTTTGTGTATTAATAAGCTTCATTCGTATTATTTAATATCATTCGTTAAATTTAAAGTTTGTTTTTAGGGTTGTTTGACAACTACTTGAATATGAAATCAAAAGATCCTCATCTTGAGACTGTGAGCATGTTTTTCAATACCTTTGTATGCGTTAAAGAATTATTAATGCGAAAAAAATTAACCTGATAGGGCTATTATACAAAAGGTTATTTAGTTAATTATTATTTTCAAAATCCAAAATGAACGATTTTAACAGCTGGCAACAGACTAAACGGGTCCTTTGCCAGAAAAACCAAATGCTACTTCTTTGGATTTGCTGCTATTTAAAGAAGAACACGTACTACCTCTACTGCTTTTTCCTAAATGCTCTTGTATTAGAAGACTGTCATGGGGGCTAATTCACCAGGAACAGATTCCGAGGGGTAGTACAAGTTCCTAGGACCCACGTTCTCGGCTCCTATAAACTGAAGCAAAATACTGATCTTTATTGCAAGAGACAAAAATCGTTATCAAATACTCAACAAGCTCTTAAAATTTCTCTAAAAATTCATGAATTTCAATTATGACATATTCATGATGTCCACTATTCCTGGTGAATTTGTGTTTTCATCCCATGCAGGCCAGCTCAATGCATTTTACATTTGATTTTAATTTTCCTTGTCAAGGTCGTACAATGTGCCAGTTGGCTTCAGTTTGGCGATCATTTGGAGAAAAAGATTCGTTCTCAACAAGCCTTCGGCTCCTATAAACGTTCTCGGCTCCTATAAACTGAAGCAAAATACTGATCTTTATTGCGAGAGACAAAAATCGTTATCAAATACTCAACAAGCTCTTAAAATTTCTCTAAAAATTCATGAATTTCAATTATGACATATTCATGACGTCCACTATTCCTGGTGAATTTGTGTTTTCATCCCATGCAGGCCAGCTCAATGCATTTTACATTTGATTTTAATTTTCCTTGTCAAGGTCGTACAATGTGCCAGTTGGCTTCAGTTTGGCGATCATTTGGAGAAAAAGATTCGTTCTCAACAAGCCTTCGTTTTCATGCGATTCTACCCCTTCTTACCCGTTGCATTTCACATGTACCTGGCGAGGCCTTTGGCGCCAAAACTCAGCTACAGCAATAGTGCCGTCGAGGTATTTTCTTACATTTTCATTAGCATTTTCTGTACTCAACTATTTAGGCATACCGAGCTACGTTGACGATAACATGTATTTGTTATTTTAGAATGTTAAACTTGATTTGGTCTCTTGACATATCGTATTCTGTTTTTATATTGATCAAAGAACTTACTCGAAAATCTGAAATAATCAGCCAGGGCATTTCTATGACAGAAAATGGTCAATCCAACACGTGACTATTCCATTTTTTCTGTTTCCCACCTTAACTTTTGCAACAATGAAGAAATAAGCAAATACATGAGATTCTGGGACCGTGAGACTTTATTAACCCTGGGACAATTCATAGATAACAAGACAACTGTTCTGTTCTGCCTCTCTGCATATAACGATGGTTTACACCCAGCATATACTGATGCAAGAAATAATTTCAAGGAGAGGATTGAGGAAAATCAATAGCTAGTTTAAGTTGAATAAGTTGTTTTACGTCCAGGGCTTTCTGATTCTCTCACACAGTCTTGTTTCCAGCTTTCTACTACTTTTTCCAACTCCCCTGTTTATTCATTTCTAGAGAAATTTCCAATCTCCTATATGTTAGAGATCTCAGAATAGTTGGCCAGCAAAGATCTTTATTGATGTCTGTACAAGACAAAATTTAATTGATATCAATCCAGACAATTTTGCACTGGTCAATAGATAAGAATAAAAAGTAAACAAAGACAAACTTCATAAAAAGAGATATATTTTTTTTAAATCAGTGACAAGGAAGTATTTCAAAGTTAGTAGACAAAAGTTGGGAGGAGCATAATGTTTGGAGAAGGGGTAGATTACTTAGTTATAAAACAGTTATACATAGAGAGGGAATTTCAATGCTTTTTTGAAAGTTGGGAACAGGTGCCTCAGTTTTAATGTTTATTTCGTGCTTTTGATGTCATAGGCAAATATATATTTTAGGCATGGAGCATGTATACTTTTTAACCCTATTATTTATCTTTTTTAAGTTGCATTGATAGACTAAGCAAATATTTTCATCTGGTCTTTCTCTATTCTTTATCTTTGTTTCAGTTCCATACTAGAGTATCTCATTCCAAACAACTATTAGAAGCCATAACAAGTGATATCAAACCAAGCGTCAGGAAAAATGTTGGAAATCTGTCTTCCGTACAAGATTTATTTCCGTACTTATATGAAATCATTCATCCAACATTGAGGCCTGTGAGTATTTGTTCTCTTTGTAATTAATTTTAGCTTTGTATTAAATTATTTTCTGTTGTGAACTTAGTTAGTTGCAAAATAAATTAAGCATTTTATAAACCATAGGTCACTGGATGAACATCCTCTTTCGAAAGTGCACCCCACTCTAATGAGCACTCTTTGAGAATTCACAGTATTTGCTTCTATGGTATTTATGTTGTCTCTAAAGAGCTAAATCATTTTGAATCTGCCTCATTTCAGGTGAATGTTCAATTATATAGCCAAAGCGAGAAGAATAAACTTTTGAATTTGATCTTGACCATGATTTCATACAACTTATCATACAATCAAGAGCGGAATGTTGATGGCCAGTACACCTATGTCCTGCAACCGTATGTACATTTATTTTGATAATTCTAATTATTTTTTTAAGGAATCTTAATTAAGATTGGAATAATACCAATAAGTAGCTGCAAGTTTTCATAATTGCCATTAGGGTCGGCGAAACATATTTGAAAAATGGAGGGGCCAAAATTTAAAGGTTGTGATAAGGATTAGTAAAGGCCGCCACCATGGTTGGCGACAAGTAAAAAGATTTATAGAGGTATATATGGTATTCTAGGGTTTTCTAAAATGATCATCTAAATAGATTTTGACTGAAACAAAATCCGAGGCAATATTTTCAAGCTTACATTTATCACATATCCCATAGTTTCATCTATTTCAATGTTACATGAAATAGAAAAGATCTTGCCTAGAATACGTCGTTTCTAAAAGACTGAACACTCCAAGAACAGGCTGAACACCCCAAGAACACCCCAAGAACAGCCTAAGAACAAGCCATTAAGCCGCTGAACACCCTTTAAAACATATCAAAATCGGCATGTCATTCGAAAAATAATTTGATCAATCAATCAAAATTAATTTTGGGGCGGGAAAGGACCTGATAAGTCTAATGCTGTTGGTGTTGTTACAACCAACTGATGTTTTGCGCGCCAGAAGTGTGAACGGGGGTTTGTACACGCGGAGCAAATTCGAGTTTGACTCCCTTTGTGCATT